ACCCCTTAATCATGTGTAGTACCAAACACATCATTGAATTAATGTTATCATTTTCAATCCAATGTAATCCATTGCAATCCAATTCTACCTTATAATTCAATCCAATCCTAGTCACCAAACATGACCTAGTGTATAGAATTATTGTCGCTTCATCAATTTCTGCACAATTATTGATAAGGGTCAGACCTTTCCTTCACCGTTGTATATAGCATGAGACCAAGAATAAAAATATTGATGGTAATGTCAATATCAAGGAAAGATATTCCTTCACAAAAAGCTCCAATAGCCAACATTTTCATAACTATCAAAAATAAGTTTAAAAGCTCATCGGCTTCTTGCCATTTCACAGGTTCCGCATTGTTAGGCCAGAATTAACTTGGATGCATTGTTAAGCGCTGTCAATGACGTTTTAAAAGAATGATCACTCGATGAGGCTCAATCCATGTCTCGCTTACACGACCAAGGTGACGAAGGACCTGTAATGAAGATGCACAAGGATTCAATTTTATTCACTCAAGTAATTGAACATAAGTAACAAGGGATGTAAGAGAAAGTGGAAAACAAAGTACAAAAAGGATTCGATTCCTTGTTTTTCAAGTATTAGCAAGCAAATCCAAATTTGATGAACTTAATTTCTCAATCTTTTCCTAAAAGGATTCTGATGATCATAGCCATCTTACTAGCTTATAAATAACACGAGAATCAGGTTGTTTGTTCAATCATAATCAGTGAATAGAAATTACTTGTTCATTGATGAGTCGATTTTATATTATATTTAACCTCATTCTTAATATATTTTGGTTAATACTTTGGAAGACTTTTGATACTTTGAATTATATTTCCAATATAGGACTTTCGACTTCCTCTAGAGCAAAACATAATCAAATGGACGAATTTTGGAGTAATTCCAGTTGGAGGACGTACGTGAGTCACTTAGCTTGATTGTATCAAAATATCAGACTTTTCCACTAAGCGATGATTTCCTGGTGAATAAATGAAGGAGCGATGTGCAGTGTTGGAATAGTGACGTTTTGGGCTTGTATTGCATTTTTGGAGCCCAAGATGACCTCAGATGGGTTCGAGGCCTTCTGGAGAAGTGTTCGGCATATTTTTATCTTTAAAATGAGCTATCTTGGACCAGATTTGGAGGAGATTTGAGACCAAAACGTGGCTGGGCATATTGTGGACAGATTCTCCTAATCCAATTTGGACTTTATTTCCTAGTCTTATTTTATTTTAACTTAGTTTCCTTGTGGGGATTGGGTAGCTAGGTTTTAGGAGATATTTAAGCTCCTTTTCGCAGAAATTTAGGAACTCCCTTTTGACTTCTTTTTGGCTTTTGGAGCAATTGTTAGGGTTTTGGATTTTCGCGACTTTCAGGTTCATTCTTATTCTTTTTAATGATATTTTCTTGGATTTCAATTATGAGTATGCGTAACTAAATCTCTTTTGCTAGGGCGAGGCCGTAAGCCTTAGCATGAATATGTAGTTTTATTAATTTGCTTATGAATGGATGCATGTTTGCTTTGAATTATTAATCACTGTGTTTAAAACTATCTATCTATTTTAATGACTGATCACCATTAGGATATGTAGACAAGTAATTTGATGCAATTTCTGTTGGAACATCACCCTGAAATTGAGGAGGGCTTCTTGTGATTAGTAATTGTAAGTTCACTTAAGGTGAACATCACGCTCTTAAGGGTTGCATGGTTTTTCAAAGGGTTTTCACAAAGCTTAATGAGTCTTGCATGTTTATATTTGATCTGAACATCACGGACGTATTGCATGTTAGATGTACGTTTTCGCTTGAACATCACAAGGAAAATATGCATTAGGAAAACCTAACCTTCAAAAAGCATATATGTGGGAATTCATAAGTAATTGATAGAATTGCATAGGATTGCGACGGTGTTGGCTAAACCCTAGTTTTCTCTAAATTGTTAGTCTTTAAAAAGAAATCGTTTTTCTTCTTTGCTGTTATTATTTCCCAACTTTCAGATTTCTTTTACTGTTAGTTTAATCTTTTCAAATTCATAAACTTCAAATCTTTGATAAAATATATTTTAGTTATTAATTAAGAGTTAATTTAATTACAGATTAGTCAAACAATCTTTGGGGACAACGACCTTGCATGAGCATTTATACTACAATTACCTTGTATTCTTGCAAGTATTTTCAGTGATTTTAACCCTGTTTGCGCAGGTACTAAAAATCCTATCATTCATATCAGAAAGAACTAACCATGTATGCTCGTCGAGAAGCACTTGCTCCTAGAAGAAAAAGAATGACAATAGGGCAAAGACTAAGCAGCATCCATGCGCTCATCTTGTTATCCTTCCTGGGGATGACGTTTGTGTCAATGCTGTGTTTAATTTTCGGATTAATTCACTCTTTGATTTTTACCTAATGATGAGCAAGGTATCGGCTATTGCATCAGCTGGTCTAGTTTTGTTTTCAGTTTTCAGATTTGGTTAGGTTTGTTGGACCTTTATATTGTACATTTTTTGGGCTGCCTCTTGGTTTATTTGGTTTTAATAAATTTACTTTTTTTTAAATTACGTTTTAATTGAAAGACATTTGTGGCGTTTCTCATCCTAAGGTTAGATCCATTATCTTATAATATTTGAATACTGTTATGTGATATAACTTGTGATAATGCAAGTGGATTAATTACCCATAAATTTATATCCAGTAGAAATACTTGGTTCTATCCATAGGTTATAAATTCATAACTCCAACTCCACCACTTACACTTTATTTTTTATAACGACAAAGAAAAGGAAAATAGAAAAGAAAAAAAAAATTCACCAATTTTGATAAAAAGGTAGACAGAGTGTTTTTCTTTATTCCTTACGAATCCTAAACTTATTCTTATAACATCACCACTGGTGGAGACTGATTTCCTATGGGGTAGGCAATGGAAATGGGAATACATGGGAAAATCGTACATCGATATTTGTAAATTGTAACTTATAAGAAACAATAATAGAACGTGTGCAAAAATTGTCAATTGGAAATTAAATAGGATTTATTTTACAAAAATATTTACATTGTGAAATAAAGAAATTTGTCTCCGTATAGAATTCAGTTCAGAAGTGTAAACCTAGAAGTGGGTCCACGGCCATGAAATGTGTCATGTCATGTAGAAAACTTTTGTACAGAACAAGGACACCCAGACAAATGTCATGTCATGAAGAAAACTTTTGTGTGACTCCAAGCTTTCTCCAATATCCCTAAACCCCACCCAACTAACTAAAATAGTCCAGTTATTTTTTTCTCTTTTTTTAAAGATAAACTATATTGCATTGAATAAACTTAAGTAACAATACAATCATATTCTGAATCAAAACAAGAGTTCCTCGAACCAAACCAAATCATGATCAGTTCAGTATCGAGATCAAAACATACCAAACTATGAGCTCAAACAAGGCACATGAGACAACGATGCACTTTGAACCTATCTCAATCCTCATAGATTACACCAAGCAGAAAGAGATGAAATATTACTCAGTTTGAGCTCTAATGTTCCAATATGCCCCACCACTCTCAAACTCTCCAATTTCTCATTGAAGAAAAACTAATTATGTTGACATGAGAGAAATGAAGTTAAAACAACACCCTTTTTTCCCCTCCTTGTTACAATGTTGAGAAGTTATGATCACCTTTTGGTTCATTTGTTTATTAAGTATGCATTGTGTTAAATTGAATGACTTAAGTCATAGTAATTAGAAAAGGATGAATATGATATGAGTCATGCTAATCTTACCATATATAAAAGTCATGTATATATCTAACTTTTTATTAATTTATGGTGACTTTGTAAAGAGGAACCCACTATAAACTTCCACACTATGTAAAGACACATGCTCCCTCTATACAATATGTGTATTCATAAGGGAAATGATAAATACTTACGTTGTAAAGACACATACTCAAGTCAGGACGTCCCAAATATCGACTTTTGATAACTAGAGTGCAATGCATGTGTAGTGATGTAAAATTAGATAAAGGAGAGGGAGGGCACATGGAAATTGAAAACAGGAAAATTGGACTCCTTTATTTTGCATTTTTCCTTTTCATGTAGTTTTTTCTTTTTCTTTATTATATAATTTTAGCTCATTCTATTTTATAATTTGTTTCATCTTGATTTTATTTTATCTTTACTTACTTTTGGTTTTCAAATAATTGTATTTCCAGTTTGAAAAGTTATTATCTTGCTTTTTCTTTTGGTTACTAAAAACATAAAAAAGTAAGGTTGAATACTTCGATATGATTTTAACCTCGATGATTACATTGTTGATTGTCTTTATAATTTTTCATAATAGGTTGATAGGTTTAAAGTTGCTTACTTTAGGCGCTCAATTCTTTGTGGATTAGTTAATATAAGTTGTGTTTTTGTGGATTGGTTAGTATAGTTAATAACAATATGATGTATTGGTTAATATGTGTTTTGTAATGTAGTTTTTTTAATGAATTATGAATGATAATATTATTGGTATATTTTGACGGGTCTTTTTTGTATAAAAAAATTTGTGAGCTTTTACATGTCAACCCCCGAATGGAATATTCCTGGATCCACCATTATTTAAGTCGTAATTAAACAATTAAGTGGAGAGTTTATAAGAAATTGTAGCTAACCTTCCTTATAAGCTGAAATGAAACTACACATAATCTTCTTATTTTCAACGATACCTCATTCCCCTACTGTAATAATACAACAAGAAACATACACACATATATAATAATCATAGATGAGGCAAAGCAGTGAGGGTTTATGGGACTAGTTTGCCACGTTGGGAGTTGTTGCTGTAGCTGCATTTTCCACTATTCCTGGGCTTGAAGTTGAATCCATTTTCCTGTCAAGGGCTTGTTAAGGACAAGACCAAGGCTTGCAACCTTCATGATCATGACACCACTAGGCGCATTGGAAGTCTGTTGGGACAGACTTACCACAATAATTCAAAAGCAAGCTTAAGGAGACTGGCACATTAAGATTGATGCCCAAAACGTTGGCCTTAATGGCAGTGCAAAGGCAAACAGCAGCATCAACATCAGCAAGACCGGCAATGAGGCTACAACAAGGGGGTCTTTCGTGGGGTCCCCACAACAAGGTGCACCAAGTCATTCAACAAATCGCCACATACCCCTAGCTTAAGGGTGTCCTTAGGGCAAGAGGCTTTAGGGCTAGGGCTAGGGCTTGGGGTTGGGGTTGGGGTTGGAGGATATTGTGTGGGGGTTGGTGTTGGGGTTGGAGGATATTGTGTGGGGGTTGGCGTTGGGGTTGGGGTTGGGGTTGGCATTGGGATTGGAGTTGGCGTTGGGGTTGGAGGATATTGTGTGGGGGTTGGCGTTGGGGTTGGTGTTGGGGTTGGGGTTGGCGTTGGAGTTGGGGTTGGGGTTGGGGTTGGCGTTGGGGTTGGAGTTGGGGTTGGAGTTGGCGTTGGCGTTGGGGTTGGGGTTGGGGTTGGGGTTGGCGTTGGAGTTGGGGTTGGGGTTGGCGTTGGCGTTGGGGTTGGAGTTGGGGTTGGAGTTGGTGTTGGCGTTGGGGTTGGGGTTGGGGTTGGGGTTGGCGTTGGGGTTGGCATTGGGATTGGAGTTGGCGTTGGGGTTGGAGGATATTGTATGGGGGTTAGGGTTGGCGTTGGGGTTGGGGTTGGGGTTAGGGTTGGGGTTGGGGTTGGTGTTGGCGTTGGGGTTGGGGTTGGAGTTGGCGTTGGGGTTGGGGTTAGAGTTGGAGTTGGTGTTGGCGTTGGGGTTGGGGTTGGCGTTGGGGTTGGCATTGGGATTGGAGTTGGCGTTGGCGTTGGCGTTGGAGTTGGGGTTGGGGTTGGAGTTGGCGTTGGTGTTGGGGTTGGAGGAGATTGTGTTAGTGTTGGGATTGGGGTTGGACTTGGGGTTGGGGGAGATTGTGTTGGGGTTGGGGTTGGCGTTGGGGTTGGGGTTGGGGTTGGAGTTGGCGTTGGTGTTGGTGTTGGGGTTGGAGTTAGAGTTGGGGGATGTGGTTTTGGGGTTGGGGGAGGGCATTTTGGAGTTGGAGGAGGTTGTTTTGGAGTTGGGGGAGGTGGTTTTGGGGTTGGGGGAGGGCATTTTGGGGGTGGGGTTGGGGGAGGGCATTTTGGTTTTGGGGTTGAGGGGGGAGGGTGTTTTGGTTTTGGGATTGAGGGGGGAGGGTGTTTTGGTTTTGGGATTGAGGGAGGAGGGTGTTTTGGTTTTGGGGTCGAAGGGGGAGCGTGTTTTGGGGATTTTGGTGGTGTTGGTGGTGGACAATTAGGAACATGATCACTTGAACTCACTGTAGTGAAAAACACAAAGGTAAGAGAGAGAAGAAGAGCAAAAGTTGCAAATGCATTAGGAGAAGCCATTTTAGAACTAAATTCCCCTCAGGCAGTGAAGTGCCTGATTGAAATATACTTGCGTTAACTTATAGATGGAGGTGGTGGATATAGTGAACACAATTAGGGTATTTATAGACTTTCTTTTTCTCTGACAAAAAAAAACTTTCTTTTTCAGAAAAATATATATATAAATTCGTCAAAGACACCCCCATGTGTGCAGACAGCGTACACTGTTCTGGGTAGCAATAGGTCATATTCAAATTTGGAGCATTCTGAATTTTGTGTTTTCTAATCTATGGCACCAAAACAAAGGACTCCCGTGTTCTTATTAGGCAAAGAAGGTTTACACATCTTGATCGTGTCCTTATTTTGCGAAATACTTCCAAGAATCAAGGTTCTCCTTCTACTAAAGAGAGTTACCAGTCGACATCGATTTTGAGTGTGTAGATAGCTCTCTGTCACTGAACGACGAGCCTCTACTAGTAAGAGATATCACTTTGACAACATGAAGCACCTATATTGGTTGTGTAGATAGATGCTCTTTACCACCGAATTCATAATGACAGATATCACTTTCACAACAAGGAGTAATTATGTAATGAAAACTAGTAAACTACCAAATGTGTCGACCTAATAACAATCAAACTGGAGCCTTCCGTTCTACTTGCTCACTGGTTTCACACCCAGAAGATAAATGGTTCTCCACTGTCAATATTTTGTTTTGTTTTTTTTCTTCTTTTTTTTTGTGAAAATATTTTGTTATTCTTTAGTCACAAGACAAACAATATGAATTTCTCTATATCAAAATTTAATTATTATGGTTCATTTTAAAAATAAATAAATACAATCCATCCATGAAATCTTAATTCTTTTGGGAAGGAAGCTTTCATGCACTAATCCCAGATTTCTAGGAAGCTTTAATTATTATGACTTTTGAGTGGGCCAAGGGAATAAATTAGAATGAAGCCTTTTTCCCTTAATCATAGTTTAACAAGAACTAAATTTTTTGTTTTGCACATGTAAGGTGTTTTCTTTTTTACTTAATGAAAGACCTAACAAATATTTATAATATATATAGATAAAAAAAAAAAAAAAAAAAAAAAAAAATTTTGGGCCCTAGGCCATAGTCCTCGCGGCCCAAGCTCAAGAGTAGTGACAAATATCTGATGCGTAAAGATATGAAAAAGCAACTTATCAGACAAAAACAAGACAAAAAACCTCAATCAAATTCAAAGTTCCATTATTTAGCCAGACAAATAATGTCGACCAAAGTTTGAGCACAATCTTCATCATGATCTATATTACAATTTACAAAGAAGAACGAGACGAGAATTTTCATTAATGTCGACCAGTGAAACGATAGATAAGATGTGCTTCATTTAATGCAGTTAATTTTGTTGTTTGGGTAACCAAAAAGAACAGTGCAGTAAAAATTCACCTCACGTATGAACAAATTACATGGCAAAGGGCACGCGTAGGCATGATTCTCAGAAACAATGGTTAAACATGAACAAACGCGGTTTTGAAATCAAAGCACAAAACACTAATTTTGATTAACAAAAGTTGGCCCTACAACTTTCGATCTAATTTTGGAATCCATATGGGACATCAAAAAAGCGTTTAGGTTAACGTGTTTATAGCTCAGAACAAAACATAGATTTATTTCGCTGGCTTACAATTAAATTTATAATTTGATTAGATTAATAAAGTGGAAAACAAAGTATAAAAAGGATTCGATTCCTTGTTTTTCAAGTACTAGCAAGCAAATCCTAATTTGATGAACTTAAATTTCTTAATCTTTTCCTAAAAGGATTCTGATGATCATAGCCATCTTACTTGCTTATAAATAACATGAGAGCCAGGTTGTTTGCTCAATCATAATTAGAGAATAGTAATTACTTGTTCATATCAGAAAGAATTAACCATGTATGCTCGTCGAGAAGCACTTGCTCCTAGAAGAAAAAGGATGACAATAGGGCAAAGACTAAGCAGCATCCATGCGCTCATCTTGTTATCCTTCCTGGGGATGACGTTTGTGGCAATGTTGTGTTTAATTTTCAGATTAATTCACTCTTTGATTTTTACCCAATGATGAGCAAGGTATCGGCTTTTGCATCAGCTAGGTCTAGTTTTGTTTTCAGTTTTCAGCTTTGGTTAGGGTTTGTTGTTGTTTTCGGTCCTGATTAACTTGTTGGACCTTCATGTTGTTTCTCAGTTTTTCAGCTTTGAGCTGGTTGGTTGTAAATTTGTTGGGTATGCCTTGGGCTGCCTCTTGGTTTGTTTGGCTTTAATAAATTTACTTTTATTTTATTACTTTTTAATTGATAGATATTTGTGGTGTTTCTTGTCCTAAGGTTTGAGCCATTATTGTATAATAATGGAATATTGTTATGTGATATAACTTGGGATAATATATATACGTAGATTAATTACCCACACATTTATATTCTGTAGAAATACTTGGTTCCATTATCCATAGGTTATAAATTCACAACTCCAACTTCACCGCTTACGCTTTAGTTGATAAAGAAGAAGAAAAAAAAATTCACCGCTTGTACCCTTTCTCTTTTTTGTTACATTGGGTGAAAAGGCAATCCTGTTTCGATACCGGATGCCATAGAGAGAAGGGGAGAGCAACAACCACTTGGTAAACCCGCTTGAAAACACTTACGACCCTTTGATAGAAGGTAGACAGAGTGTTTTCTGGGGCCAAAAAAATGATGATTTCGTTCTCTTTATTCCCTACAAATCCTAAACTTATTCGTACAGTGGAGACTGAGATCCTATGGGGTAGGCAATGGAAAAAATAATACATGGGAAGGAATACATGGAAAATCGTATATTGTATTTGTCAATTGTAATTTCTAACAATAATAAAATGTGTGAATATTTACAATTGGAAAATAAATATGATTTATTTTACAAAAATATATACATTACCAAATAAAGAAATTTGTCTCCATATAGAATTCAAACTATTCAGTTCAGTAGTGTAAACCTAGAGATGGGTCCGGTAGTGTAAACCTAGAGATGGGTCAAGGACATGAATATGTTAGAAGAAAACGATGTACAGAACAATGACACCCAGAGAAATGTCATGTCATGTACAGTGACAGAACCGCGTGGGAATCAGAGGGGTTCCAGGCCCCTACTCAACTCTCTCTCTCTCCTCATTGTTACAATGTTGAGAAGTTATGATCATCTTTTGTTTCATTTGTTTATTAGGTATGCACTGTGTTAAATTGAACGACTTAAGTCATAGTCATTAGAAAACAATGTATATGATATGAGTCATGTTAATCTTACCATAAAAGTCACGTATCTAACTTTTTATCAATTTACGGAGTTTGTAAATAGGATCCAACTATAATTCACATTACGTAAAGACATATGTTTCCTCTATACAACATATGTATTTAGTTGTGATATTGTGAATTTAAACTACACATTTAAAAAGCATTGTAATGAAACATTACTGATAAATATATATGTTATCCCGATTACAAACATCATAAATCGAAGTGTCCTTAATAACATCTAGTGGTTCTTCAAACTACTCAATTGTAGACTTACAAGAAAGAGCACACCTAGCAAGTCTATGAGCCACTTCGTTAGCTTGATGCCGCGTGAACATAAAACTAAACCCACTATGGTCTTTAACCAGGGTCTTTATATTTTCAATAATACTACCAAAATAGGATTGGTCTTCATCCGGTTGTGCAAGAATCACAGGCTCACAGCCTCTCTTGCCGCATAAGCCTCAGTGTCACCAACCACTAAAGCCTGCGGAATGTGCACCACAGCAGCAGCCACAAACTGCCCCTTCTCATCACGCACCACCATTCCTACACCTCCAGCCTCTCCCCCGCCCCATCAAAATTTACCTTAACACATCCACTCGAAGTGGGCCGCCATGGAATATGGTTATCACGAATTTTCTCCTTCAACTTTCTCATGCGAGCTCAAGGACAGTCCTACGTCCATGCTAACATGGGCTATAGCCCAAGTGACTTGATACTTTACTAGTCCAATATTAATACTTAGCCCACCAAAGCACACCTCCATACACCCCATCCCAGTGATCCCAATGATCCCAACCACAAAAAATCTCTTTTTTTCTCTTTAGTTAACTAATCTCTCAAGTGTGGCAGTAAGTAAAATAAATACTAACCCACATTAATATTTAATATTCGGCTGTTTCTAGAAAACACACTACCTTTTTTTGTCCAAAAAAAATTATATACCTTTTCTAGTGCACATAAAACGTCAATTCATTTTTTTTGTTATAAATTTTGGCTACCTTCTTTTCATTTTTATTTTCCAAGTTGGCTTGGCTAGATGGATTAAAATAGCTCAGTTTTTTTTTTCTTCTTTTGTAATGGATAATAAATGCTTTCAATTCTTTTCCTTTCATGGAGAAGTTTATCATGTAATTGCTAATTGACCTTAAAATTCATACTTCAATGAAATTCACTAATATCGTCAAGTTCTAAGTTTGTACGTAAAGTAAATTTAGCCCACTACTCCTCTCTGCATCCAATTGCAAAAGCGCCAATTTCTTGTGGGCTCTTTTGTTACCATTCCACAACTTATTATTGCCATTTGTCCAGATAGCCCACAAAGTCAACAATATCAAATCCCGCACTTACCCTTCTTCCTCCCTTTAGACCATCTGCATCCAGGTTCTGATTCCTATTCCCCCCACACACACAACACTCTGAGGAAATCGCCACCTCTCTCTTCATCAAGTTCTCCTTGGTGCGCAGAATATCATGGGTAAGCTTCCAACAGAACACTTTAACCTTGTTCGGGATCGATGACTTCTTCCCTTTTATTAACTAAGGATATTTTGTAGAATTTGTATACAAGATGGATAATTATATTTTGAAGTTAAACCTTATGTGAGCACAAATTAATATTTTTTTAAAGCAAAAATACACTCTTCTTTGAAACGACCAATTCAACCATAAGCCGAAAATGTATGAATATTCTTGGGGCTCGCTTAGTGAGTTGGATTATGTAGATATGATTCATAATCCTAGTCAAATGTTTGGTGGCCTAAAAACAACATGGATTGGATTATGTCTAATCCTACTAAAGCCAAAATGTAGTAGGATTGATGCAGCCTGACAATAGATTGGCACAAACCTTAGCCTAAAACATGTAACTTTGGAATCCACCAGGAAGATACAAGAAAACCTCAAAGTTTATTTGATAAATTGGAATAACAAAACATAATAGCCACAAGTAAAATCTGTTTGAATACTCCTAGAAACCTAAGGAATAAACAAGGAATTAAAATAGAAAAAATAACAAAGCTTCCAAAAATTGTAAAAACTTTAAAATTGGATTTCGGGCAACTAAACAATCTCGGATACCCGAAAAAGCCCATACTCATAGTCAAGCAATGAGTTTTACTCATGACGTCATTCTTTTCGAATCGATGGGTCATGGGCTTGATTCTGAGCTCAAAGCCCAAATTTGCAATTTGCCCGATTTACCCTTGCACGTGCGTCACTCTAGCTCCTCTTCGATTGTTTCCACCATATGTTATACATCAAGGATTATATGAATCCTACCAAAAGGGGGGGATCAGTTGGATTGAATTATACTGAATCCTACTAAGTCATGTAATATAGCACATTTCAATTCATCCAACCCCTTAATCATGTGTAGTATCAAACACATCATTGGATTAGTGTTGTCATTTCAATCCATTGCAATTCAATTCTACCTCATAATAATTCAATCCAATCCCAGTCACCAAACATGGCCTAGTAGCTCATCAATTTCGGCACCATTATTGATAAAGGGTCAGGCCTTTCCATCACCATTGTATATAGCATGAGATCAAGAATAGAATATTGTTGGTAGTGTCTAGATCAATGAACAAACTATATGGATTTCTCTATATCAAAATTTAATTATTATGGTTCATTAAAAAAATATTAAAAAAAACAATCCATCCATGAAATCTTAATTCTTTTGGGAAGGATGCTTTCATGCACAAATCCCAGATTTCATAGGTAGCGAAAAATATCTTATGCATAAAGATAGGGAAAATGCGACTCATCAGACAAAATACCTCAATTTAGCATCTTTTTTCGTACCTCAATTGCTGCTTGCCACACAAGGTCCACTATTTAGCCAGACAAATAATGTCGACCAGAGGTTGAGCTCAATCTTCATCATGATCTATAATACAACAAAGAGACAAGAGAATTTTCATTAATGTCGACCAGTGAAACTATAGATACGAATACGATGTGCTTCATTTAATGCAGTCAATTTTGTTGTTTGGGTAACCAAAAAAAAATGTGCAGTAAAAATTCACCTCACATATGAACAAATAACATGGCAAAGGGAACACGTAGGCATGATTCTCAGAAACAATTTCAACTTTCGATCTAATTTTGGAATCCATATGGGACATCAAAAACACGTTTAGGTTAATGTATTTATAGCTAAGAACAAAACATAGATTTATTTGGCTGGCATTCAAATAAATTTATAATTTGATTAGATTAATAAAGTGGAAAACAAAGTACAAAAAGGATTCGATTCCTTGTTTTTCAAGTATTAGCAAGCAAATCCTAATTTGATGAACTTAAATTTCTTAATCTTTTCCTAAAAGGATTCTAATGATCATAGCCATCTTACTAGCTTATAAATAACATGAGAATCAGGTTGTTTGTTCAATCATAATTAGTGAATAGAAATTACTTGTTCATATCAGAGAGAATTAACCGTGTATGCTTGTCGAGAAGCACTTGCTCCTAGAAGAAAAAGAATGACAATAGGGCAAAGACTAAGCAGCATCCATGCGCTCATCTTGTTATCCTTCTTGGGGATGACGTTTGTAGCAATGCTGTGTTTAATTTTCGGATTAATTCACTCTTTGATTTTTACCTAATGATGAGCAAGGTATTGGCTTTTGCATCAGCTAGGTCTAGTTTTGTTTTCAGTTTTTAGCTTTGGTTAGGTTTTGTTGTTGTTTTAGGTCCTGATTAACTTGTTGGACCTTTATATTGTTTCTCACTGTTTTCAGCTTTGAGCTGGTTGGTTGTACATTTGTTTGGCATGCCTTTGGCTGCCTCTTGGTTTGTTTGGTTTTAATAAAGAGATATTTAGTCATATGTCAATTCTTAGCACTAAAACTATAAATAAACCCTACACCATTTAATTTCTATAAACAAACCCAAAAAATGATAGTTGACCCTATTGAATTTAATTTTGATTATTAAATTACTTTGATGTCCTATTAAGTGTTTTGGGCTTTTTATGAGGTTTTGGAGTTGGGTTTGTTTTAAGAAATCAATGGCAGTTTTGTAATTTAAAAAAAGTTATAAGCCTTTTTGTTATATTGTAAATGGGTTTTGGATGTGATTTTAAAGTCCATTTTATATAGGGTTTTTTTTTAATAATTTGGGCTTCTATATTGAGTATAATAGTGAATCTCCCATTAATAAATTTACTTTTTATTTATTACTTTTTAATTGAAAGACATTTGTGGAGTTTCTTATCATAAGGTTAGAGCCATTATTGTATAATACTGGAATACTGTTTTCTTTTTTTTTATCAAGAAGGTGAAAAACTTCATTCAATAAGCAGCCAAGTACAAGAATTCCTTACAGACCAGATAACCTTGCGTTGAAAACCCCCAATGGAAGAAAATTAGATATATAAAAAGAGTACCGCGACATCTAAAAAAACTATTTTTTAAAAAACATTCGAACTATTCTCTAAATCCTTTCCCAAGAGCGGTGACAACCAGCTTGCAGTGATATATTCCCAAAAGCAAAAGGTTTGTGCTTTCAGACCAAATTGTGCCAAAGAATGAGCCAAGCAATTGCTCCACCAATGTCCAATTGAGTTGCGAAAAAATGAATATCATCAACCATATTTGATATGATCTTACTTAAAGAATTACGGAGAAAGAGTTGATTTATACAACAAACGGTAACTGAGACACGTGGCAATCTATATAGCTAAACCATTAATACAGGTGGCAGTCTTCTTGTTATTATTCAAACTTGAAATACTTTAGCATTCTCCAATATCCCACCCAACTAACCAAAATAGTCCAACATTACATTCAGTTTTTTTTTTCTCTCTTTTTGGAGAAAAACTATATTGCATTGAACAAACTTAAGTAACAATACAATCAAATTCTGAATCAAAACAAGAGGTTCCTCAAACCAAACCAAATCATGATCAGTATCGAGATCAAAACATACCGAACTATGAGCTCAAACAGGGCACATGTGACAACGATGCACTTTAAACCTATCTCAATCCTCATAGATTACACCACTCTCAAACTCTCAAATTTCTCGTTGAGGAAAAACTAATTATGTTGACATGAGAGAAATGAAACAACACCCTTTTTTCCCCTCCTTATTGATACAATGTTGAGAAGTTGTGATCACCTTTTGGTTCATTTGTTTATTAAGTATGCAGTGTGTTAAATTGAATGACTTAAGTCGTAGTCATTAGAAAACAATGTATATGATATAAGTCATGCTAATCTTACCATAAAAGTCACGTATCTAACTTTTTATCAATTTATGGTGACTTTGTAAAGAGAACTCAATATAAACTCTCACATTATGTAAAGTAACATGCTCCCTCTATACAACATATGTATTTATAAGGGAAATGATAAATACTTATGTTGTGATACTGTGAATTTGACCACACATTAAAAAGCCTCACAAGAAAAAATTACTCATACAATGTATATGTTATAAGAACATTACTGACTCATACCTAGTACGTCAACAATACGAGCAAATATCATGTATGTACAATATGCACACACAAAGCATGTGAACCATGGAAGCTTAGTGTCACAGGTCGCACATAAGCAAGTGCTACCGTGACTCCGTTGGGACATCTATGTGCTTATGAGGTGGTATAAGTGTGGAAAGGCGAGAGCTTATGAGCTAGAATGGTGGTGTTGGCCAGGTTGCACTTATGAAGGGTATTTTGGGTATTTCTGAAGGTTACGGGAGGAACCTGAAGAAGCTAAGAATACCGGGACATTCATGATGTTGAGACGTAGGCAACGCAACTAACGGTTCGCCATTCGGAGTTCGTATGAATGAGTTATGCCCAATTATGACTCATCATGCATAGGTAATGTTTCCTCCTAGCAGAAGGCTAAATGCATAAAATGCTATATAGGGAGTGACATGGTGTCATGCTCTCCACCACCCTTGGTGCTTACACCCTTGTGGCACTAAGCAAGCATCCTTATGACATTGGAGGTAGTCATAAGGGCAGGCATAAGATTGTTGAATGATAATCTATGTCTCCAAGGGAAAGGAATTCCCGATGACAGTACGAACACGCCGGCATAAGGGTCGTTCGTATTGCGCATCGTTGTAAAGAGTGAGGTCAACGTATAACATTCGCTATGCCATCGGCTAGCGATGCATTTGAAAATACTCGATGGACTTGGCTTGGGTTCAGCCTTGTCTAATGTGGAAGGAATATATTCGGATGCCGGTACGCATAGGTTGCGACCCCATGCAAGGCATAGATGATTATGTGGGACATTCGGAATACATATGTCGCCAAGGCTTGGGCCACATGCAAGTATGACAGCTTGCGTGTGTAGCTTGAGGATGTGGGCTATTGTGGTTGCTAACGAAATGACTAACAGAAGTGTGGGTAAACCGATGATGTGTTGGATCGCTATGTCTTAACTTGGACATGAGCGAGCCATGAGTTAAGCATGCGACATGGTCGATGCAGTTAATGTGTCTTATGCAACGCTTGAGGTGTTGAGGATTCGTTGCCGAATGAGAAGTGATTGTGTTGTCACAAGGAAGTGTGACTCGTTGTCTAGCCATGGGGCGTGGCGCCCATGGGAGATGACACTTGATGGTGAACCTCTCGTGGAGTTGTGAGAGTCATGAATATCATGAAGTGAGAGATGGTTGGCTGGGATCCGAAGGGATCCTGGGCCGCACGGGTATGCTTTGAGCGGCGAAATGTGTGTTTCACTTCCGCCGCGCCCCTCGTGACATTAGGCATATATCATGTATATACATTTAATCATCCTAAGTTTTAATTTAATACCATTTGACCACACCTTGAGCAGTCTTAGCAGAAACGGTTACTATTGACTCTATACGTAGCATTCTTTTTCACTATAAAAGCATAAGGAATGCAGACATACTAGTCTATCAAAAATTCAACCAATTCAACCATAAGCCGAATGTATGAGTATTCTAGTTGTATTATCGTCGCTTCATCGATTTTGGCATAATTATTGATAAGGGTCAGACTTTTCCTTCACCGTTGTATTATATACAGCATGAGATCAAGAATGAAATACATTGTGGTAATGTCAAGATCAATGAAAGATCTTCACAAAAAGCTCCAATAGCCAACATTTTCATAACTATCAAAAATAAGTTTAACCAATTGAGCACAGCCTAAAAAGCTCATCGGCTCCTTGCCATTTCCAACGTTCCACACATTGTTAGGCCAGAATTAACTTGGATGCAATGTAAGAACTTGCAGTTTTGTTCAAATTTGAAACGGATTAAGAACCAAACAGACAGTTCTTTGAAAAAGCAGGCCCTGTCAATGACGCTTCAAAAGAATGATCACTCGATGAGGCCCAATCCGTGTCTCACTTACACGACCAAGGTGACGAAGGACCTGTAACGCAGCATGCACAAGGATTCAATTTTATTCACTCAAGTAACTGAACATAAGTAACAAGGCATGTAAGAGAAATGCCATTGCAAAACCTTGCACTTGTCAAGCCATCATCTTCCAAGTGGATATAGCATAGAAACTCTTTTTGTTTAATCACTTATTCAGAAGGTAGGATCTGAACTTAAGACCTCTTTGCTAGTAGAGAATGTAGCCATTAACTAAATCATACTCAAGGATTATCTTACATATATGACTAGCTAACTCCATTTGTATCAACTAAAAAAGATAACAGAAATCAAGTACAGCAGCTTGATACAATTACCAGGGTAATTTGACCAAATTATAAAATATTCAGTTTGTAGGTTCATGAAGCATGGAAGGTAATATATTTACTCAAGTTTAGTAAAAAACCAGTGTAGTTTTCTTAATTGAACTATGATTTTTTTTTTTTCCTAATTTCTTTTTTAGTTTTTCACATCATAAAAGTTTGAAAAATAAAAGATAAGGCACAGACTTACAGTTAGTATTGCTTTTCCAGTGTTGTCAGGCTTCAAGGCTGGTCCTTTCATGTCAGTTTCGAGAAAGAAGTGTTTTCCCTTTACTGCTTCTGTCATTGCAATATCTCTCAGTTCCTGCACATTTTAGGGTGGGTATTGAATACTAAGGCATAAGTAAGCAATTACATGCCATGATCAGGAATATGACTAATTAAGCAGCAGTGACAGCCCACATGCCCGTTGACTGAAATGGTAATACAGATCACAGAGTCCCATATTCCAAAACCCTACTAGACGCATCATTTATAACCAAAAGAAAACACAATGGTGTTGGAACGGGACAGAGGAAAGGACATTGCTATTTCTCTCTTCTTCTTTTTTATATTTACTTCCAAGAGTGCATAGTAAGCAACACAATATGAGGTGGCCTGCCCTCAATCCTGAGAAAAGTGAAGTAAGCATGCCCTTTTAACCTGGGATCAATTCCCACCTCCAAGGATGGAGAGGCTTATATGATGAGAGATAGCTATCTCCCACTTTGTAACCCATGGGCCCAATTGGCCACCAATGGAACCCCAGAACATTGAAAGCCTATAAGTTCACTTACCAGGGCCTTTTCCCAACTATCTCCTGCCACCTGCATGATAATTGGTCACCAGAGTGAGACCTGTGCAATAGCATTAATGTACAAACCAAAAACTCAAAGAGATGGAGCATAAACCCTCTTCTTCGGGGCAGATATAAGCTGAGAATTTGCTTCAGCATATGTTGCCATGTCATTGATAGCTGCATTGATCTTTTCTACAGTAAGCCTTCCTCTCATGTATCTGCAGCTAAAAATACTTAGAGCAAGCAAATGACGTGAATAATAAGGACTAGATACCTAAGAACTCCTTTTCCATCACCTACCCACCATGGAAAGAAAATTGGGGAAAAATTAAAAGGAGACAATATCGGATTACCCAATATATATCACAGTTCTATTGAATTACTAGCTATCATATTCTCTTATATGCCAAGGCAACACAAAGAAAGTTATGTTTCAAATTGGAAACCTTCATGGTTATAGTATGTGTATCATAGCTGGAAAGAGTTAGAGATTTTGAAGTGGTGGAACATTCTTCAATGAAAAAGAAAGGATAGTATTATGACATATCTGTATGAATGGAAAGAGAACACCTTCTAAATCCTTTTTAGCATTGCCATATTTCTTGCTTTTCATCAATTTTATTCCCGTTGCGTTTTTTTTGTTTTTGTTTTGCATACTTGCATACTAGGGGGAAGCTTTTTGTTCCCAACAAAGGAAATGTCTGTAGTTTGTGGATGTATAGTACTTTAAGATCAGGTCGACAGACAAGTCATCTAACTCATTTTTACTCTGGAATTTGAAGAAGACGTGACAGCGACAAGTCATCTAACTCATTTTTACTCTGGAATTAGAAGAAGACGTGACAGCCAACTTTACTTGTTATTCATTTGAGACAAGGCTTAAGTCCAATACTATTACTTGTTTGTACATGTAGGAGTTCGACCTCATAGATTTACACAATTACTAGACCTCTATGTCACATTTATACAACTTGATTTTGAGATGTCCCATTTGGACAGCCTATGCCCAACTCAGATGTGAACGCACCTATCTTGTAAGTAAGCTTTTGTTTTCAAAAGAATACAGTGAAGATGAGACGCGCTCTTAACAAATAAAGTAAGAGAATTTAAGAAAAGTTCACTCACGCTGACAGGGAATCCAGCTCTTCAGCAGTTATGAACCACAGTGGTGGAGTGGAACGACCCTTTTTCTCCTGAAATTAACAAAAACAGAAAGCACAGATGACCCTCCTACAGTATCTGAAATATAAAACAAAAGATGGTTCGAGAACAAACTAGCTAAAGAACTGAGCAACAGTCTTCCATTATCATTTTGTGCACATCATTTCCCAAGGGCACAAAAGAACAAAAAAAATCCAATCTTAGTATGATAGTACCCAACCCTAAGCAATACACCAATAGTATGAAGAAAAGGGCCACTCTTTAAGAAATACTAAGCAATTTTCTGCACATCATTTATTACCTTAGGTAGTGCTGCTGGCACTTCCTCAAGCTTCAACGACTCGAAACCGGTGTTTTGTTGAGAGCCTTCTGGGAATAAACTGAAACAAACAACACAACACAAATCCTGTAGCTGTCAAATGCAAATAAACTTCAAACTCAAACCAAAGTTACTTAATCCATATGGATGCCTGAGAAATTTGTTTTACCATCTATTAGTGTCCAAACCCAACATAGACATTCTTTCAGGAATATGTGAGGGCACATAAATTGACAGGTCCTGCAATTTCTTTTGCTGCTTCACCGCCGCATCGATGAGTTTCTGCCATCACATTATAACATCTAATTGTAATTCACTGAGAATTCTACAAGAAAAATATGTACCAAACGCACCCAGATGATCAAATTTCATTCTTTTACTTTCCTAGTTGCAAGATTAAGAATTTTACTTCATTTTTTAATTTCCCCTTTTTAAAATTCATATTTCGAATATTGAAAACTTGAGAGAGAGATGGAGAGAAGGGGGGTACTTTGGCTTTGGGGATGGCTAGGGTTTCGTCGCGGAGGCTGTCCTTGATGGCCTGAACCTGAAGCTCCATGGCCTTCACTGCGGCGTCAACGGCCGACAAATCGGTGACGCTGCTCGCCGGATACACTGCCACGGGGACATTTCAGAGCTCAGATAGACGCCTGGGATTAGAGAAATTGAATAAAGCAGAGTAGCAGTTGGGTCGGGTCGGGTCGGGTCTTACTGTTTCGCGCAATGACGAGGTCTTGAAGCTCCGCGATCCGACGGTTGAACCCTGAGATCACCGAATCCAACGACGCCCCTGCTTTCTTCACCTCCATCTCTCTCTCTCTCTCTCTCTCTCTCCAGAAATTTTCAATCTCTTGTTTGGTTTATGCGTTGTGGTTGTGGGAAAATCTCGAGTTTCTCTTTCAATTTGGAAAGGTTGTTTTGGCGGGAAATTGTGAACGAAAAAGAAGTTTCAAGGCCCAGCTCCTCAGCCCACCTCATTTTGGCAAAACCCAAATTCATGGGCTCTTTAGCTCCAAAAATTTGTTTATATAATCTTTTAGTCTACTTATGATCACCGAAGTCCGCTGTAGCAATACTCACGAATGGATAATTGTTAATCCGGGTTCGAATCCCGGCAGCGGAATTTCTTTTTATTTATATCTTTCCGCTTATATCCATTGGGTTAGAATTGTTTATATAGATTTTCTGTCTTTTTATGTACACCAAATCCGCTGTAGCAATGCTCACAAATGGATAATTGTTGATCCAGGTTCGACTCCTGGCAGCGGAATGTCTTTTTTCTTTTTTTTCTTTTTTTATTTCCTCAGTTTATGTATTATGATTATGTATTGATAACTTAGGATTTTTTTTGACATTTTTTTTTTTTTTTTTTTTTTTTTTTTTTTTTTTTTTTTTTACGATATTAAGCGAGTTAAGGAGGGGAATCGAACCTATAATCTATGAACAAATGCTCTTAACCACTGAAGCTACAAACGCCTTGCTAACTTGGGGTTTATAATATCAAAAGTATTTCAATATACGAGTTATATTCATTATTTAAAAACATCAACATCAGACTAGCTAGATGAGTTTGGTATTGCTAACTTGGGGTTTATAATATCAAAAGTATTTCAATATACGAGTTATATTCATTATTTAAAAACATCAACATCAGACTAGCTAGATGAGTTTGGTATGAGAACATCACTTGGATTCACAAGAAGTAAAGTTGAATTCGGTGATAAAATATCAGTAATTAGAAGAGTGTGAATCTACACTCATCCATTTTCAAACGTTGCATTTGACTTGAGAATATAAAAACCAGAAGCACCGATCCATCAAAAGTACTTAATGCCCAATTTAATAATAAATCAAAGTGCATAATTAATTGGTTAAACTAGGTTGCCTCCACTTAATCTTGGGAGACAAAATGTATAGGGAGCCTCAATCTGGTTTCTCAAGTAGAGAGAAATGATCTTATCTTGGAAAATGCAAACTTTTCCCACCTCTTCTTCTTTCTTTCTCATTTATTTTTTTCTTTGGGATGAATGATTAAAAAAATTAATAATCGAAAAAACAAACAAACAAACAAGGAACAGAAATTAACAAGGTTATGTGATGGGGATTAGCATGGAGTGCAATTTGAGCCGTTGGATCACATGGGGAAGAGGCACATTGGGTTTCAACTTATGGATTTGTTAAGAATTTTGGCTACTAGGGATACATGGGATGTTTGTTGCCATAAAGATTGTTTATGGGGATTTAAAATTTTGAGTTGAATCACATTTACAGATTGCCTGTTTTTGGAGACACCCTTGAAAATGTTGCATCTTATGTCTCTCTGGTTAGGTCTGGGTCCTCTGGGTCTGGGACATGGCGCATGCCTAAGAAGATTTTTGTGTTGAATAATAAATTAATCAAAATAACTGCACTTCGAGGGGCTGGTTGTATGAACAAAATATGTATAAGGCATGAAGGTCAAGCACTAGAAAAAGGTTCACTGTCTTTTCTTGGCACAACAAATAGAAAAGAAAGACTTATGAATAAGATATGGATTTGAAGTTCATTGCATTGTCAACGATCTCTAAAAGGCACAAGGAGTCAAGACCCGCCAAAAAGGAAATATAGGATGATATATACTAAGTAACCGTGGAGTCATTTTGTGTGTGTTTTTCTATAGAAGGCATCAACACCTTTCACGTATGTCGTCATTTAAACGTAACACATGGAAAAGATATTGGTAACGTGAGAGTATGGTGGGTTATTGAGCATTACATATGGATAACCTACTCTAATACCATATTAGAATGTGAGCATCCAATTCAAAATCAATTAGGTTGAATTCGTGTTAATATTGTGCGAAAGAAAAACTTTGGATGCATGTGGAGCTCTCCATTCACCAGATGATCATTAACTGCTAGCCCTTCCTCGCAAAGGAAATACATACCAATGCAATAACATGCAAGAAACATATAAACATCAACTAGAAGTGTGGGGTCATCAAAATACAATTGCCACCCTCATTAATTCAGAGCCAACCAACCACTTGATATATATCTCACCGCAAATATATGCTCTCTCTCGACCTATCAATGTCTTCGATAATGCTTAAGGCCATGTATCATTTAATGCTTTCAATTCATTGTTTACCTTCATTGTCCACAGAATTGAAGGTTTCTTGAGCTCCATGCCCCTCAAACCATGAAAATATCAAAGATCTGGGCAGGAACATATACAAATTAATCAAGTAAGTCCATCCCAACACATGTTCTAAATAAAAACACAACTTACCGATCTCATTACAAAACGGAACGCCTTTAGCAAGGGCACTTTGTGGTCGGTAAAGGCATTTTCCCATTAGAGTGACACTTTTTTTTTAAGTGTCTACATGGCATAAATTAACCCGAACTTTACCATCAATTTTTTTTTTTTACCAAAAGCTAAAATTGGGCAGGTAAGTTAAGTTATATATTTTTGCCGATCAATTAATGTGTTTCCTGGTGCGCGCTATTCAATTACCGAACCATTGACCAAAAGCATAAGCATCTGAAATTAGAATAGTTAGGCATGCATGCGGTACTCTTTCACATTTTCCTGTTTAAATCCTGATAGCCCACATGAAATGATAAGAGGCTGCTCTGATGTAAATTAATGAAATGAAAAGCCTGATAACACATAGAATTTCCACTTTTGTTATACAGTCATATAATATATATGTAAATAAGCATTTTACCCTAGCTAGCTATGAGGACTGTGAGGCCCTAAAAGCTTTCTTCACTACCGTAACTTCCCACATGCATACATAAGTTGATGGAACATTGCATTGAGAGAGAGAGACAGAAGTATATATTAGTATTAATTATTAATGCAAAGGCAAGGGAAAGAAACGAGAACAAGAAAAAAGGTGGGTCATCAGCTGGTGATCATTTAGTTATATATGATGAGAATAGATATATATATCAGTTGTGAGAAGGAGGGTGTGTCTTTGGGGGTGAGTAGTCCAGATTGAACCCTGGTTGTTTCTGAACTCCACGTTTCTTGTGGGGAACACGCCATGAAACTGAATCGAAAGACGACTTGTTATCGTCATCATCTGCAGTTATTGGATGATGTTCAACAGCACCTGAGGCCGACCTCTTTGTTTTTCTTGATACATCACTGGCTATTGTGTGCGTGGGCTCCATAGTGTTGATATTGTTATCACTTTGAGTCTCTGCTGTGCTTTGTTCTTTTGCCACTTCAGGTGCTGCCTTTGATGAGAAAGACTTCACCTTTGCCACAGCTGGAATGTTATCATCAGAACCCTTTTCTTTAGTACTCTGCACAAAACCACAAAAGCTAGCTAGTTAAGTGGATTGGTTTAATTTAATCCAAATTTCAGATTTGGACAAGTGATTTATTAATATCATATATCAATCTACAGTATCTGGTACATTGTCGATATTACAAAATATTAACGAAATATCAAATACAGTATCGAGAATGTATCAGATACTGTAGATTGGTACCCAGTATCAGACTCTATTTCCCATCATCTATTTATATTGTGCCGCAACTCAAATTGAAAGAATTGAAGAAATCATATTAAACAACATGGTGCACATGTTACCTTGTTGATGAGATGAAGTTTGTTTTCAGGCTTCTTCTCAACCCCACCGAGACGCCGGGCGTTACATGCATGCAAAGAAAGGCAAAGAAGGAAAAGAAGAAGGCAATGAGCACTAGTACTTGTTGACATATTAAGAGAGAAGGATGCAAACAAATGGAGTATTAGGGATACAGAGAGGAAGCTTGCTTGGGGAGGGGGTGTTTGCAGTAGAGCTAGTGATCAGAGAGGAGGTATATGTAGAGAGAGGGAGAGAATGAGAGCAATAAATGCAGGTATTTGATCAGAAGATTTAAGAAGTTTGGTAGGTCTAGCAGAAGAACATGGAGGTGTATGGATAAGGAGTAGTAGAAAAGGAAAATGAAGATATGGGTGGTCTCTTACTTTGTCCTTTCAATTTTCTCTCAAATTTCAATTGTTGGGTCCCAAGGCACAAGACACACCCACGCACCCACCAGAGAAAGAGATGCAACTCTCAACCCTTTTCAAAATATATGGGGGGCCTGCTCACTCTCTTTTTTGTTTGGATTATGAGAGAGAGAGAGAGAGAGAGAGAGATCTAATTTTACTTTCAATTGTAGAAGGGTTCAAATATATATAATAGAAAAATGGGGCTGCATGCACAAGAGGTGAAACAAAGAACAAAATCAAGAAAGCTAGTGTCTACTGTCTGCCTAATTGTTCAAACCGAGGCACACTCTAATATCCCTTGTCTTTGAGATATAGCGTAGATTAATCAAACCCATTTGCATGTTGTGCGTTGTTCCCAGCCCCTACCCGCCTTTTTACCTCTTGGAGCTTGGACAACTTAACTAATGATTTTTTTAATCACGAGTTAACTATGATTATTATTATATGACTAATTAATCATCAAATCATGGTCACATTCAAAAGGCAGCTAGGGTCATGACCTTTTTTGTTGTAGTACGTCCTTTTGCTTTACAAGCAACGGAGCAATGGAGGGTGAATTAATTTTCTATTTCCAAGCAAACTATTGATGCATGCACATTCAAGAGCTAAAATGCAATATTATGAAGCAACTAGGCAGGTCACTCTGGGAAAAACTTCATTCTTCGGAACTCACTCTCATTTCGGTAATAACTTAAACAATAACATTATTTATACCATATTATATTATAAGCTATGCATATCTCACAAAGGTAAAATTCACATTCATGTGTGAATTTGAACAGTTCATTTATTTACGTTTAATAAATTGTGTGTTTGAGAGGTTTAGTCTCTTTTCCTCTAAAATTGAGCGACGGCTAGAGAGGCTAGGTTTGAAATTCATGATTAATCAAATGAAGTTTAGGAATCGATGGGGCTAGCCTAGGCTGTATATGAACTGAATCCATGCTTTTAAGGAAGATGTTTCACTTCATGCTCATGGTGATTAATTAGTTGGTACGCATCCACGCTAAATGCCTTTTAATTAGTCTCTCCTATAATTTAAAATATTGTTTAGATGGCAAAAGGGTTTGTGCGTACGTGCAACAGAAAATTTAAAAATTCTTCATTAAGCTGCTTAGAAAACAATGTATATGCAGCCTTGTAGTTGATCACACTAGTAATGCAAATTAATTAAGCGTACGTGGTAATTAAAACTTCCTCAAATTGGGCTTCTTGTCATTACAGTAGTGTGTTGATCAACATAGAGTAATTTTTAGGTGCATATGCTAAAGACATAAATGCTTAATTTGTACCACCTTGTTTTAGTATCGACACTTGTAGATGCAAAGATATGGGTAAAAACTTATGTTTGATAAGTATATACGTCTCTCTGCCCGTCGTATCTTTCAACTCTAAAATTAAATTTATCTATCATCAGTATTCATACTCTTTCGACACTTTGATGTATAGACATGAACAATAACTTAGTTATTATGGTTGTATACACCCATTCTCATTGTCTCTCTCTAAATCCCAACCCTACTTGTCTTTCATGAGTCTATATAATACAAGACATTGACAAGGGCAGCGTGATATCTACCCTCAAACGATTGTATAGAGAAGAGTGGGTATGGCATTATGGCATAATGGCATTGACATAATTCTTGAGATGGGATAGAAATTGAAATAGCGTAACTTGGCCCACATGTAGGGCCTACATAAATGTGTACGATGTGGGGACAGCAGACAAGGGCAGCGTGGACCATACCTCTCTTGTTCCCCTAGCAAGGACCACGACAAAATGTCCTAACCGTCATTACCGGCCAAGCTTGACACGTGGCGCTCAGCCATGTGAAATAGTCATTTACCAGGTGCTGTCGCTGAGGTCCCCACGAGTCCCTGGGGCCCCATTCTCCCCAAACCAAATTGAAGCATGTAATCAGGCTTTTGAGTTACGGCACAAATTGTGCGATTATGACTTCTTAAATATAATTTTTGCTTCTTCTAGCCTTTTAAATACTTGTACTCTATATCTAGAAATTCATTCATTGATCTATGACTTTTATACTGTGCTTTAATTGTACATGAGGCTGCAGAGGTAGGTTTAACTTCTAAAAATCAATTATACGCATATGCACAATTTCAAAACGTTAGCTATATAAGATTTATAGGTAGGACAAGCATTAACTGTTGTTTACCAATTCTTCCATCAATCCTAAAATCCCTCTCTTCAATACTGAATTTTTGCAAAAGTTTTATGCAATTCATATACTCCAAGGATTATTGCAGAAGTTTAATCATATCCCAGAATCTTATGAAGATTGCCTATTCTGCACTCAGTTTATATGCATAGACAAATTGTTTCACAGTCAAATAAACTGAACTAGGTGCCTCAGTGCCTGTCATGCAGTCAATTAATCAAGTCATTAATATATAGAGCTATATATATAAGCAGTTTAGCTTTGATATAGCACAGTAGGTAGCAATTTGTTTCTTCAAAAGAAAATGATTTGTTTCTTCACAAGGAAATGAGCCCAATTAAGTTGAAAAGCTCCCTCATCGGACAGAGATTTTGGGTTTCACTCAGTTTACAGAAAATGGGAATACCTCAAATGTTTGCAAAACTGTATATAATTAAGGCTCATTTTCACAAATGGTCTCAGAGATTTACGAAATTATCACTTTTAGGGTTTTATGATTTTTTGTGACATTGTTAGTCCTTAAGGTTACTAAGCGTACATCAAATTGGTCCATGTCGTGAGATTCCGTCAAAAATTCTATGAAATTGCTTACGTGACACATATATAGAGCACACATGTCCAATAGTAGCACCCCACATGGATTTGGATTTAAAAAAATATATTTAAAATGTTTTTTTTTATGAGACCAATATGATTCTAAAGATAACTTTAACCAATTCACAAAACTCATTACAACAGGACCTAACATGAAACTGGTTTACTTTTTCCTGTCAACGTTCTCTGCCTTCTCCACAACGACCTTCAAAGCACAAAAGAAATAATTAATCAAGGACTGAATGCATTTGAACCAGTATGATGTCAGATAAAGGCTGCATTTCTTTTTTATGCATTTGAAGCAACGATTGATGTACCACAAGTTTACCAGTATGATGCATTTTGAACCAATATTACCATTGTTTTCATGCATGGACTGAATGTACGATTTAGAAAGAGAACAAGTAGCACCAACGAAATGAACCAAATATATTCGGGGTTTCCGAAGCCTCCTCATAGAAAACCAGGGCAGGGTTACCTGGTTAGGTTCTTTTACAGAAGAGAAAAATATTTGTTCTCTCACTCTCTCCACCCTTTTCATTTGGGCCACAGCGAAGTGTATTACGTTGGAATCAACCATTCATATGATTCTTTGATAGAAAGAATCACAGAAAATGGTATTTTGCTGCCATTTTGAAACGATTTAAAGATCACCGAAATAATGTCTAAATTATTCAAGGTAATGATGAAGGCTGCTTTGCTGTTTGGGCGAGCTTTCTTTTTATTGCTCGTTGACGGACGGCCCCTTCGGCCTCCTCTTCTTTTCTTTCTGTTATGACAAAGCAAAGCAATTTCTTGCCGCCTTCTTTCCCATTCAGGCCCAGCTAAATACATGAGAGCCAGGCCCTTTTGAACAGAGTTTAAGGAGGAAAAATTACCAAATTGACAAAGAGATTTTGGTTTTGACGATAATGGGCTTTTCTGAAACGGCTAGAAAAGAAGCCGGTGTGCTAGTCTAGTTCTCATGCCACATCCGCAGTAGAGAAAAGCCCAGAACGTCCGTTTGGTAAACCCCTTTAGTTTTCACTTCTTTTGCTTGGCATTGACCCAATAGGTCAAATCCACTTGTCATTCATTTGGGCCACTTGCATAGTCCAATTCAAACTAATCTACTTCCAAAAATATGCCTTATAAGAGCACTTCCAGCAGTTGGAATCTTGCCATGGCAAGGGGGGAGCTAGGGCTGACACTATTCACGAGAATAGTGTCTGCCCTTGCAAAAAGTAAATTGCACTTCCGGCAGTTGTCATGGCAAGGGGGGGTACTATTCAATTTTTTTGTTTTTTTCACAAATTTCTTTACCTAAACAATTAATTTGGACAATATTTTCGGATGAGATTTTTTGATAAAATATTAGGATAAGATTTTCATATAAGATTTCCGGTTTCAAATTTCAGATAATGCTTTAGTTATGTTTGGTTTTTTTATGCTTTGGTTGTGGTTTGTTTGTTTTTATATATTTAATGCTTTGGTTGTGGTTAGTTTTTTTATGTATGGAATGTTTTGAATAAAAAGGAATTTTATTTAATAGTTTCTTTGATAGAGAAAAATTAAACTTGAAAGTGAAAAAAATTTAGAGTTGAAAGTGAAAAAATTATTGAGTAGAAAGTGAATAATTAAACTTGAAAGTGAAAAAAAATTAGAGTTGAAAGTGAAAAATTATTGAGTAGGAAGTGAATAATTAAACTTGAAAGTGAAAACAATTTAGAGTTGAAAGTGAAAAATTATTGAGTAGAAAGTGAATAATTAAACTTGAAAGTGAAAAAAATTTAGAGTTGAAAGTGAAAAAATTATTGAGTAGAAAGTGAATAATTAAACTTGAAAGTGAAAAAAATTTAGAGTTGAAAGTGAAAAAATTATTGAGTAGGAAGTGAATTTGTTGTTAAAAGTGAAGAGTATGGATTGGTATTTATAGAAAAAAAATTCAATATTTTTTGGGGTTTTTTTAAAATTTTTTACGATTTTTTTTCATAATTTTTTGCCTTGAAAAATTTCAGGGCGTTGGATTGGATGAAAATTCGAAAATTGGAAGGACTAGATCGCACCACGTGGCAGCAGAAAGAAAAAAAAATTACGCCTGCTGACGTCAACCTGCCTTCGAGCTGCTGCTCGGGTAGCCCCTGCCTTCAGGCCAGCCCAGGCAAGTGGACCCCACACTGCCCGAGCCAGCACTTGTTGCTGGAATGGCATTTTGGGCTCTCCCACCCCCCCCCCCCCCCCCAGCCCGAGTGGGCTGCTGGAACTGCTCTAAACAGCTCTAGTTTTTATGTGCAGCTATGCTGACTTGTGTGGAGAATGTGAATCCCCTCCTTTGTGACCATATTGGTGCGGTCTCCGGTCCCTTTGTGGCGACTGTGGCTCGGTTTTGTATTTTATTTTGATTGTGTATGGGAAAAATTTGTTATACTAGACTTATTGGTTCTTAATTTAATCTTCTTTGTGCTTGTGGTACTTTGTTTCTACATTTGGCATTTTCGGCCTTGTATTTTCTGTTTGTTTCCTTCCCAGTTTTGGGGTTTTAATGAACTTTGACTAATCGAAAAAAAACCTCTAGCTTTTCAATATGGAATTCATTTCAACTCAAACATAGCTTGCAATGCCTTGCATAACAAACACTGTTTTTATGAACTTTTAGCAACGTGGAATTTTAAGAATTTATTTCAAACTATATGATTTAAGTTAGAAATAGTGAGAAATTTTTCAAAAAAAAATTATTCTGGCCAAACATTGATATTTGAAGTCACAGAATAAAAGAAGAGGTGACTACCAGCCCGTAAAAAATTTCAAGGAATTTTTCTGTGTTTGGAAGTATTTTGGTGAATTTTCAAAGTTGAAAATTGTTAAACTAATAAGTCGTGATATGAAAAAATGTGGAGCATTGGATGAGGAAATGGTATTCTAATCGTGTGGTCGCATGGACGCTAGCTCAGTAAAGCGTGTCACTCTACTTTAGCATCTGTTGGAATGAAATGACGTAATATCTGATTGGACTATAAAGAAGAAGATGAAAAAGAAAAAAAAACTTGCTTGGTTATTTGAACTCGAGTTCTCTCGTATTTTTCTAACCAAACCTTTATTTTGTCTATAACCTTTTGCAAGTCCAAAATCATGAATACGAATCGATTTCGCCTTACGATCAAGAGAATGAACTCTACAAGTTGTGGTAAATTATTATGAACTTTGAGTAGGTTTCAGATTTTGTCCACATTTAGATTATTTGGCTAATTAGGCTATGATTTTGTGATTTGAGGTGTTGTTTGAGTTATTTGAGGCTATTGGAAACTAAGTTGATTATTGACAGACGCAATTGAAGAATTTGAGGTAAATTCCTTATTTTGATGTCAAATTTTTTTATTTTGGTTGGCCACCATGTCTAACAAACTTCTGTGCTCGTTATATTCTTCATCTTAGCCAAAATGGCTTTGTGAAGAAACATAAGAATTAGGAAGGTCATTGCCAACATGATTACACATACCATTATTGCTTATTGAATTTTAGAAGTCTATTGAATCAACTTTTGATACTTACTGTCTGTTTCCAATGGCACAAAACGCTACATAAACAGTTGACATTAGCATGTTCTAAATTCTAATGCTCTTTACCTTTACTATTGTCAAGTATCAATTAGAATTCATTAGTCTAAATTTGTCTCACAAAATTTCGTAAAATTTGCTCCTAACAAACTTATGTACGGAACTGAAATTAAATCAACATAATTTAGTTATTAGTCAACAGAAATTCAATTTTCTACGCTCTCTATTCAAAGATGATATCAGCTAAGTTTACCCATTTGTTGTAGATGGATTGACCATTCTTCTTCTTTAACTGTTGTTTTGAGCGAATGTTTTCATCCACTTAGACATGTTTAGTGATTGCGATTGAATTAGATGATTTGGTAGCATAGTAAATTATATTATATTAAATAGGGTAGCCGGTAGGTAATCGAATAGTGCATTTGGTGCTAATACGCATGATTAAGGAGCATAATTTATTAAAATATACTATTACATGGTCTAGCAGGATAAGACATAAACTCATCCAGCTTAATCCCATCTTTTTGGTGGGATGGGATTTATAATCCTATCACTTTCAAGCGCAATAAAACTAGACATAATTCAATTCATGTTGATATTAAGTCGCTCAAACATTTGACTAGGATTATGAAAAAAATATAAGCCGAAAGTTTTGAAAAGCAAAATTTGGAGGGAGAGTGCGATGAGTATTTTGGGGTTTGAATAGAAAGTATTTAAATTTGTTACTCAGTGATACAAACTTCGACAAAAAAATTGAAGCTCTGAATCGCAACCACATATTTTTAACTCAAACCAAATATCTGGTCCGTCCAATCCATCTCGATATCTTCAAACCCAAAAAAGGCCACGCATTAACGTGCCGTCAGATTCAGTTTCGAAAACCAGGACAGCAGAAGCTGTTCTCCCTAAATTACTTAAATAGCCCTATACTCGCGGAGCCTTGCAGGAACAGTGGAGCTAGATTGTAGCCAAATGGAAAAAGGTAATTTAGGAAATGCCACCAAGATGCAAAAGCCACTTCAGCCAGTTCATCTTTTATCTGTCTCTCGTCGCTCTCTGTAAACTAACAAAAGAAATAAACCATCACAAGGACAACATTCTCACGCGCCCTTTTAGAAGAGTGCATGGGAAATGGGATTTTTCTCTTCTAAATATTTATTAAATAAATTTTATTTCTTTGGGATTTTTCTTTTTTGGCATTCTGGAAATTAAATTGCTTAATTCAGTTGGAAAATACATTTTTTTATATAGAAATATATTTATGTAAACATAAATATTTTTTTCATTTTTGGTGTGGTTGAACATATATTTTAATTGTGGCAGAACAAAAACATATAATTTATTTGTCTAGGAAGTTTACGATTGGCATTTACGTGTGATGCATGAGAGTGGGTTTGAAGTGCGTGACAGTAACCCTAGCAGGGAGATAACTACATCTACAGACAAAAGCCACATAAAAAAATTGTAATAAAAAATGAAAATGAAAAATGAAAAATACAAAATAATAAAAAAGTATGAAAACGAGAGAGAGAGAGAGAGAGAGAGAGAGAGAAGCACTTTACCACTTTTATATGTTGCACGCATCCACATAGCAGAAAACAGAAGGAAGACGAAGTACTACTCCCCTCAAGGCACCGGTAGAGGAGAAAGAAGAAAACCCACCAAAGGGCCCAAACCACACACAAGAGATGAAGAAGAAGATGGTTCCAAAAATGGGTCTTGAGCCTTGAGGTTTTACATCAAACACAAGAGCTTGTTTTGTTTGCAACAAAGACAGGCATCAGGCTACTAGAGCAACAGCAGTAGCAGCTAAGAGCCTAAGAGCTAGGTGTCTGTGTGTTCTGAGATTTCATTTCAGCTGTGCATGCACTTGGGCAGCCTTTGTTTGAGTCAGAATTTGATTTAGGCCTAAAAAACCAGAGCTTTTGCTTCTGTAAATTTAAGCATTGAGCTCTTGTGTTTTTGTAAATTTGAGAACCCATTTGTATATTGTTCTCTGGGAGTCTTTTGGGAGGTGGGTTTTTGTTGTTCTTGAAAAAACTGGAGGTTGCTGGGTTCTTGGGTTTGTGTGTATTTTTGTCAGTGTTTATTTTGTTAGATGAAGGCCATGCCCCTACCCTTTGAGCAGTTTCAAGGGAAGGGGGTGTTAGATTTCTCTTCTTCAACTTCAGATTCACAGCCACCGCAAAATCAACATCTCCACCACCACCACAATCAGCAGCAGCAGCAGCAAAAGTGGAACCAAAACAGCAACAAAGAGAATTGCTATGTGGGCAGCACTGAGCCCACCTCTGTTCTCGACACCAGAAGAAGCCCAAGCCCTCCCACATCCTCTTCAACACTGTCTTCTTCTCTCGGCGGCGGCGGCGGCGGCGGAGCCAGCGGCGGCGGTGGTGGCGGCAGCGGCTCTACAGATACAACCACCTGCTTGGGCACTACTGCAGCGGCGGTGTACGAAAACCTATCTCAAACACCATTAGAAGAATCAAAATGTGGGCCGGCGCTTGGAATGGAGGACTGGGAGAGTGTCTTGTCTGATTCTCCGGGTCAAGAGCAGTCCATTCTGAGGTTGATTATGAGTGATATTGAAGACCCTTCTCTTGGATTGAACAAGCTGTTGCAGAGTGGAAGCGGTTCTGATCAGCAAGATTTGGAATTCAGTGCAGGGTTTCATGATGTGGTGGATCAAGGAGGCTATGATGGCTTTGAACCCAATACTGGGAATTTGGTGAGCAACATTAATGTTGATCCTTCTCTACATGCAACATCTGGTTCTGATTTTGCTTTCAATAATAGTAGCCCAAATGTTCAGAGCACCAATGTGAGGCTTGGGTCATCATCTTCACCAAGCCCCATGTTCTCTGCTTCAATGAACAACCCTTTCCCTGCTTCACTTTCTCCTGGCATGTTTCAGCAGCAGCAACAACACATGGGTATGGATGAGAAGCCTCAAATTTTCAATCCCCAGATGGTGATGAACCAAAACCAAGCCCAATTCACTCAAAACCCAGCTATGTTTATGCCTTTGACATATACCCAATTGCAAGAGCACCACCTTCTTTCACCACCACCACCACCCAAAAGGCTTAATTCTGGTGGCTTTGGACCCAATTACCCGGTCCAAAGAGCACCGTTTTCGAATCACGGACAAGAGCTATTGGTTCGGGCACAGCAGCAGCATCAGCAGCAGCAGCAGCAGCTTCAATTTCTTCCACAGCATCTCCAACAACAGAGGCCAACAATGTTGGTGAAGGAGAATATGTTGAGCCCAGCAGAGGGAACTAAAGAAATGATGAACCAGAACCAGCAGCAGCTTCAGCAAGCAGCAATTGACCAGCTTTTCAATGCAGCAGAGCTGATCGAAACAGGAAATCCGGCACTCGCGCAAGGGATATTGGCGCGGCTCAATCACCAGCTCTCTCCCACTGGTAAGCCTTTTCAAAGGGCTGCTTTTTATTTCAAGGAGGCCTTACAATTGCTCCTTCACATCAACACCTCCAGTAACTCTTCTAATGCTTTGTCACCTTTTAGCCTAATTTTCAAGATTGGTGCTTATAAATCATTCTCTGAAATCTCACCTGTTCTCCAATTTGCCAACTTTACTTGTAACCAAGCCATCCTTGAAGCTGTGGAAGGCTTCAACCGTGTCCATGTTATTGATTTTGATATTGGCTATGGTGGGCAATGGGCTTCTTTTATGCAAGAAGTTGCCTTGAGAAATTGTGGGGCACCTTCTTTTAAGATCACTGCATTTATATCCTCCTCCACGCATGATGAATTTGAGATTGGTTTCACTCGAGAAAACCTCAAACACTTTGCTAGTGAACTTAACTTGTCATTCGAACTCGAACTTGTAAGCCTCGAGGCGTTGAACTCTGGTTCTTGGGGATTGCCCCTTCATGTCTCTGAGGGTGTGGCAGTTGCTGTTAATCTCCCAATTGGTTCCTTTTCAAATAACCCGTCATCACTTACTATGGCCCTACGCTTTGTTAAGCAGCTTTCTCCAAAAATTGTGGTCTCTTTGGACAGAGGCAGTGACCGGACCGATGTTCCATTTGCCCACCAAGTCATCCAAGCCCTTCACTCTTACTCCGGCCTGCTTGAATCACTAGATGCTGTAAATGTAAACCCAGATGCCCTGCAGAATATTGAGAAGTACTTGCTCCAACCAGGCATTGAAAAGATTGTAACCGGCCGCCACCTTTCGCCTAAAAGAACACCTCCATGGAGGGCTCTGTTTTCGTCATCTGGGTTCTCCCCATTGACATTCAGTAATTTCACCGAGTCTCAAGCCGAGTGCTTAGTGCAGCGGACTCCAGTTGGGGGTTTCCACATCGAGAAGAGACAGTCTTCGCTTGTTCTCTGCTGGCAGCGCAAGGATCTCATCTCAGTCTCGGTTTGGAGGTGCTGAAGAACCAGCATTTTGAACTTGGTTCTACCAATTAATTCTCGTCTCCGAGGTGCTTCATAACTTACTGCTTTAGTTTCGGAACCTTTTTAGTTTTCTTCCATCATGCTGCAACTATGCTAATTGTCTATGGTGCTGTAGTAGGCCTTTTGTTTCCAATGAAGAAACCGAACATTCGAAAGTAACTCAATGGCTTTGTACAGTTTTTTCATATTTTCAGTTTCTTACTATGGATTTGGGTATATCTATAGTGGTGTTTTTTCATAATTAAGTTGGTGAGTTTTTGTTGTACGCTACACAACAAAGAAAAGTAGAACTCAAGATATATGAGAAAATTATATGAACTTCAAATTTGATACCCCAAGTTTTCAAGCTCATTTGAAGTTTTTACCAATTGCTTGGAAATTTTATGACCTGGTATTCAACAATTCAAAGGATTCTTCACCAAACCCCAATGATTGTGAAATTGTGTACCAATACTTCATTTTGTATGTGAAAATCCTAGAATATTGGAATTTATCCCTCTCTCTCTCTCTCTCTCTCTCTCACATGAGGTTCTAGCTGAAATCTTTGTCCCCTAAACCAGTACTTGTCAGAAAGTAGTGTTCTTTTGCCATGTTTATTATCTGTATTTCTCTTCAGATAACTTTCGGTGGTTTTAAAAAAACAAAGTTTCTTGGTACAACAGTTTGGTTCAATCAAATGTTATCAGAAGTACTTGTTTCAATGCCGACTTTGTTTTGGTCTCCATCAGATTATTGGCATTTTCTAGTGGCTGGGATAATCAAAACAATTTTTGGCTATGTTTCTGTCTTTAGTTTGTCAATTATTGTCTTTCCAATACTCGATGGACCCGTTCATACTTTCTGCCAGTCGCAGTTTGACATATATGTAGAAAGAACTCATTAAAAATCCAAACATATAAGTTTTTTCATATGCATTAAACTTTTTTTTAGTACAAGCAACAATCTAAACTAAAGGGGAGAAGGCTCTCTCTTACACACACAACTAAGATGTAGTACAAGCAACAATCTAAACTAAAGGGTAGAAGGCTCTCTCTTACACATACAACTAAGATGTCATAGGATTTCGAACATGAGATCTTCTATCTACAGATCAAGGTCCTTTTCAACTGATCAAGGTCATTTTCAACTGATCTAGACCCCGTTGGCCATATATGCATTAAACTTTGATCGGCTGTTAAGAATAATTGGCGAATGTTTATGCCAGTTGAGTTAGTTATGTAGTCCAAGGTTGGAAACCAGACCTGTTGTATATATCAAATTAGATGATAAAATCTACAAAAAAAATTAAAAATTAAAAAATTATTTTAAATAAATAAATCATATATTTCGTAATCAATCAAACTTTGAAACGACACTTACTTTTATAACAATTAATTTATTGTTATGAGTTTATTTTTTATTGACCATAAATTATTAGTGCCAAATTTTGGTAGGTACTCCATAAATTACATATTCATTTGGCTAAACCTTTTTTTAATATATTTAAAATACTCTTCCAATTCTTTAAGGCTCTCAAAGGATGGGATGTTCAATCATGCCCTAAATTGGCTCTATTACATACATGCATTTGTGAGACTTCATCAAATACTTATAACATTTTGTGTTTGAATGTCAATCAATCATGGTAGGTGTATTAGATAATTAAATTCATCACACCTTCTCTCATATACATCTACATATGTTATTGCTAGACATTGTGTATCTTAATGCATGTATTTATGTCAGCCCCTTGTATTATTATACACTAAAACGTTTTGTTGTTTACTAATTTTTTGTGCCTCCCCTATTGAAATCACATGGGTAGTGTTTTATTGGACCCCCACATGATTAGTTTAGACACTTTCTTTTTAGCACCTTGGAAACACTTCATTAAACTACTTTTGTTTAATATATACTAAGGTTAGAAGATGAGGCCATGTTGTTGCAGGAGGAAGAAAAGATGTTTCTGTACCATTATTACTTTGTTTAAATATGAAGAAAGCCAACACTGGTTGGCTCCAAGGACAATAAAGAGTTTAATAGTTGGGCAAGTAATCTTATATTCTCCTTTTTCATATTTCTATCATAACATAACCAAGAGGATTAAGTACATTGGTTTTATGCAGGCATGGGCTTAGTCAAGTTGGCTAGAACGGATGTGTTCTCCACTTTGCATTTGAGTTCAAATCCACCTCCCTATAATTTATATTAGATTAAAGTAGAATATCGTTATATGCATTGATTTTACTTTGTTTCAAATGAATAAATAATGACATTAGTTATTGGCCTAATGATATTTTTCACCATTTCTTTTGACGAAATTTAACAATTAATTGATTGGATAATGGTGAAAAAGGTGATAAATTTAAGAGTTAAAACTAGTTGCTTGTAAAAAAAGAATGATATAATAAAATTAGAGTAGTGGTATTATCGAGGCTTAGGGCTCGTTTGGGACTGCTTCTTTAGAAAGCACAAATGCTCTTAAGCTTTTCTAATAAAATCGTTTTCATTATAAAAATGTTGAAATTTTTAAAAGAAATCCAAGTGCTTGCTAAAAAAGCACTTGTGATTGCTTTCTAAAGAAACACATACTAGATACTTCTCCATAAAGTGTTTCTACTATTTTAAGTCAAACATTGTTAAAAGCATTTTTGGTTGTCAAAAAACGCTTCCAGAGGCATTTCCAAACAAACTCTTAATAATTTACATAGATCACCAACCAACTTTTATTTTGTTTAAGAAAAAATATATAGCGGTAAACACCCACTCCTTTAAATTCAACATTCACAACAAAACACCCATATATAGCCCTAATTCTTTTTCACTAATAGAAGACGGTGGTTGTCATGGGTGGCACGCCGCCCCTTACCCCTATGAGGGGCAGCACCAGCATATACAGTGAACCAACGTCCCTCACAGCCTCCTAGGGCTAGGGGGGGCAGCCATGAGAGCAATAACCTCCTTGACAAGTGGGAGAGTCATGGCAACTCTGAGGTTATTTAGAAAATAAAAAAATAAAAAATTCAAATGTCATTTCTAAGCAATTTTAGAAAGGGTCAAACTGTAATTAGATGGATGGTATGGTACTAGCTAGCCCCACTCACTTTCCGTTGAACTTTCAAAATGTTGTAACGTACCCTTTATAGTCCAAGTAGTGGGGGAGGCTAGGAAAATGAGTTGAGATTAGAATAGCCTGTCGGTGGACGCATCATGCATGGGCATGCTAGCTTCAAACTTCAAAGTATGTCTCAGTGGATTTCATTGCTCATGGATTCGATCTAGATATGTTGTCCATCTTTTAGTTAGTATTTGAGTGCTTGCAATGTCCTTGAGACCAAGAACAAGGCCATGGCTCTGACAGTTGGATTCCCTCGACCTCTCTTCTTCATGATGACGGCATTCACTTTGTTTCTTACTTTTGTTTGAAGAAAAATTCGATTTCCAAATTCAAGCAGGTGGGGTAGAAAACTTTCTATTTCCTCACCCAAAAAATTTACTTCCAAATTGTTAGTGTTTCCTTGACATCATCTTAGAGATTCCAATTTCTTAACATGGGAAAGTTCTAAAGGAGCTGTTGGAGCTTTAAAGTCCTTGTGATCCAAGAAAAAGATTTTTGTCCAATTGATGTCAGCTTCACCCCCAACTAGAGCCAGCATAAGAACTGACAAAAAATGCAAGGTATTGATCAACTTTTAGATTGTCCATAAATTTGAGAGGCAAAGGCTAGTTGGGGAACAAAGCCATTGCCATGTCCCTTTAGTGCAATGAATGATAGATTTTACAAATTGCTTCAAGAACTATGATTAACTTAGGGCTCGTTTGATAATCATTTCAATTTTAGTTTTAGTTTTCATTTTTTTTGCTAGAGTATAAAGAAAAATGAGAGTAAGAATGGGAGTAAGGATGAGATTGGAGAGAGAGAATAAGAGGGGAGATGGGAGGGAGGAGTAACAAAAGTGAAAACAATGTCAAAAAGATTTCAGTTTTTAGATTTTGTTTTCACTTTTTTAACTCCTTCCTCCCATCCTCCATCTCAATCCTATCTTCACTCTCATTCTCACTTCCATTTCTCCCTCCTTTTCCTCTATACTCTAGAACAAAAAATGAAAACTAAAAACTAAAAACTAAAAACTAAAATTGAAATGGTTATCAAACGGGCCCCTAAAGTAAACATAAAATTTGGTTGAGGAACAAAGGGAATTTCTTATCCATGAAATAGGCTATTTCAAAAGGCAATGCATAGTCCATTTCAGGCTTAACGAATGTGTCAATTATTTAGAAGGGGTGGAAGCATTGCCCTCCACAAATTAGGTGCAACCCCACACATTAGCCCTAAGAGTAGTTTTCAAGGAGCATATGCAGAGAACTCCAATTAAAACCCATGAACAACACCAATGAAAAATTTGTTCATCTTTTTGCTAAGCTTTAGTTAAAGGTCATTTTGCATTTTTGCCCTTGAGGAAGATATCAAAATCTTTACAACTAGCAAGTATGGTCCTTTCTTGTGGTCTCTAGGTGGCCCAATTGGGGGTGAAGAAAGGGAAAGAACATTTTGGATGGACCTGCTCTCCATTGTTTGCCCTTGTCAATTCAGGAGCTGAAAGCAGATTCCATGAGGAGGCCAGGGAGGCAAAGATAGAAGGATAGAGAGACCTATCTAAGCATCTTCTAGATATGGAGGGCCATAAAAGCAGCTCACATTTTTTCAAGTTTTCTATAAGAGAGAAAATCAACCTTCCTTGGAAAGTATAATGATAAACAACTTTTTATTAAGGAATTTGAGGTAAGCACTTTTGTCTTGGAGAAGCCTCCTCCTAGGAGTGAGGGGAGATTTCAGTTATTTTGAAAGAACAAAGATATGCTAAAGCTCCCCCCACCCCCTTCAAAGACATTTGGCAGCTTTTGTCCTCTTCAAAGTTCTATAAATTGGGTAGGACACTACATAAAGCCTAATTGATCATGCATTTTCAATCAATGAAAAATCCACCATAAAATCTTGTAGAGGTTATTACAAAAATCACATGGAAAAACAATGAGACCCCACTAGCATAGCAGGAATTATATATCTCCATCAGCTACAATTCCTCTTCAAATGGGATTGAAATTTCTATTTGTAGTACTATTTGTTCAATAATTTACTAGGGATCATTTTCAAGAATCATATTCCAAAACTTCTCACATTTTTCTAAATCATATCACGGTGTGACAGTTTCAAAATCATCTTCTCTTTATTTATTTCTGCATGCATATCCCCTATGCTTTCTGTATCAATTATTTCATGCACGGCTCTCAATCGAATCTCCTCCTCAAGTTGATACTTCCTTTCCTTAGTAGCAAAGAAATGAACTGAGAGCCATTAATTAATTTGGCTAGAATGATCTTTGCCATGCAATTAAAAAGGTTGTATATGAGAAAGAAAAAACGAATTATATAAATTAATTGCGGGCCACCTAGTGTTCTGGTTTCTTAGCTTTACAGTAATTATGTTGTAAACCACATTTTTCTAAAAGATATTTTAGTTACTGAGCAAAGTTCGGCTCCTTAAAATTAAGATTTTTTACATAATATATTTTTTAATTTTTATATATAAGTAAGAACAATAGAACAGAAGCAACAAGAAGCCAATGGCAAAACCATATGGGCATCCAATGCAAATGGCTAAGAAAAGTAATAAAAAGAAAAGCAAAAGTTGGTATGAGGTGGAAGATGGAGTGGGGTTGGAGATACATGGAGGGGTGTGTGTGTTAGAAAAGTTAGGGGTCTTGTAATCAGACAATCTTATTAGCTTCTATCTCTTTTTCTCAACTTTTATAGATGCTTGCCCACCATGCATATCTCCTCCAACTCTCTCCATCTCTTTTCCTCATTGTTTTTAATTTTCTCTATCTTTCTACTTTAATTTATCTCTTTCTTGTTTTCTTATTTAGTCAGCTTAGATACAACGCATTCTTTGCATCCCACACATTTTCTTTTATGCCAAAGCCCCAAAAAGTAAGCACTCATATGATTGTCAAAAGCCATTCATGGTAGGCCCTCAAAAACAAAACACAAACACTCTCTCATCTTATTGCTCAAGTCTCTCTCTCTCTCTCTCTCTCTCTCTCTCTCTCTCTCTCTCTCTCTCATATTTGGTGGTGTTCTGGCTCCACAAAAAGTTTGCATGGATGAGTTGACTGCAACCTCCAATTCAGGGCCTGTTTTCTTTTTTATCCCTTCTTCTATCTCCATCTCTCTATCTGTATGGAAATCTCATCGAGCTGGGTCAACCCAACATTAATCACTTCTCATGTCTGTTTCATGCTTTATTTTATATTATATATCACATCAACTTTGGTTTCCTTTGGTTTAGTGTTCTAAATGACCTCATAATAGACACATTATATATGTAAGTTTGCTTCTGCCATGGATGAAAGAATGTACTATTTTTAATGTAACCAATAATCTTTTTCAGTGTAAGTTTTCAGGCACCATTCAAATCCATGAACTGAAGAATAACACTTTCATGTTATTTGAACAAATTTTGTTATTTTCAAAATGTATAGACGGTAGCAAATTAATGTTATAAGAAATTCAAAATTCGAATAATATTATTAAAAATTAAAAAAAAAAAAAAAAAAAAAAAAAAAAAAAATCCTATATTGGGAATTACATTCTTTGGTCTCAAATAGGTTATTTTTATACCAACACCCAACATATAAGCCCAACAAACATCTGTTGGGTCACTCATAAAACTTAGTGGTGGTTGGCAACTTGGCCTGCCTGATAAATAATTGGTGACAACTTTCTTCAATTATTAGGGTTCTTTCGGTTTACATGCATGATAAGATATTGACTTTCTTTTCTTTTTCTGTTATAGTTCATGCTGCACCAAAAAAATATATATTTAAAAGAGCTGACCAGCTAAACAATTATAAGTCAATTGACGTTAAACTAATTATACTGAGTGTGATGGTGGGATTTTGAGGGAAAGGGGGGGCCTTGTCCAAGTAAGCCTTTAGTTTTCTATGAGGACAAATGTTGACATATTTGATGAACAAAGATATATCACTTTCATTTTTCAATTGATTAAAGATTTTATGGGTTAACAATTAGGTTAGCCAATTTATTGTATAGATACCATAAGGGTTTGAATCCAAGACCACTTGGGAGCACACCATAACCTAAGCGAATCCAACTAACACCCATCATAACCATCAAAGTTTTCAATGATTAAGGATTGCATTTGTCTTTTTTTTAAAATATCAATGGAGATGGTTTGAATTGACAACCGATGTCAACAAATAACATTTACCGTTACCACCCAAAAAACTTATAAGTGGTAGGCAAAATAGTCTTTGAGTTAAGATCGAGAGACAATCAAATGATTATAATTTGAACTATGAGCACTCAATAGCAAGACCTTTTTTTTGTCAACACCCAAAGTAAGATGTTTTTCCTCAAAACCAAAATGATTTTGCCAAAATTCAAGGATTTCAAACCAACAAACACTTGCTACTTTCTTTGTAGCAAAACTTAACAGTTTCAAACCCTTAAACACTGCCACAGTTGAGTTTTGATAAGTTAAGCATCCCTGGAAGCAGGTGAACATTACCTTCAACTGGCAGTGAGGGATTTTTTTATTTTTTTTATCTTTTTTAAAAGCTACATACACCGGCAGTAAGTTGGTATTCAGAACAGAAATTGACAGATATAAGAAGAAGAAAAAAAATTGAAGAGATATAATTCAAAACTTCCACAACCAACCGGCAAGCTCAAGTATTTCAACATTTCTTTGTGGTAAATAAAGAAACAAAGAAACTTGAAGAGTGAACACAAACAACAGAACAAATGGGTTTCCCCAAAGAATGATGCAACCTTTATTGAAAATTAAGTAGTTGTTATTTTTCACTACAACAGTAGAACAAATATGAAGAAATTGGGACTCATCCAACATAAATATACAAAAATAAAAAATAAGACTCCCTGATAAAGGGTGAGGTGAGGAGAAAACTAGCGTCAATGGCTCAAAGCAGCTCTACTGTAGACATCAGAGATGACCATGCTACCGCTGGATTAACTGATGTCATGCAATTCAAGAAACATTGTTAAACAAGTATTCCTTTGAACATGAATTTGGTATCAGAACCTGGAGAAGTCAGGAAATATAATCTCAAGCCCCTTACAAGTACTGAGGAACATCTTTCTAGATCAGATTAAATTAGGACTCGGAGACATCTAGAGCTCTCTCTCTCTCTCTCTCTCTCTCTCTCTCTCTCTCTCTCTCTCTCACACACAGTTTGAATAAACGAGAGAATTCGTCCCTCCAACATGCTTGCAGCTCATGCTAACCAAAACAGCTTTGCCTCATTTTGACTTGGTAATGACCATGATTTCCTTTCTAATATCACTTTGCAATGATCAAATATGTCTATCAAACTCCATAAAGTGGCAAGAAGGTTTTGACAAATGAGTATGCAAGTGCACCCGTGAACATGTAACTGTCCACTCTATCTAGTATTCCTCCTGCATCAAATGTCAGTTGATCACCAAAAGAAAGTTAAGAGAACTCTTGAAGAATTTCATGTTAGGTATATGATATAATGCAATATGCGCTAATATAAAATAAAAGAACAAAGATTATAAGAGTGGAATCATGGTCTGAAAGGGAGCATTATTACTCGAGCAACGAAGGACGGTTGTTGAGCATTCTTATTATCATCCATTCGGCAATGACAGTTTATTGTCACACACACACATAAGTGGAGAGAGAAATTTATTCTCTAATAAGGACCTTCTTTAAGCTCTTAAAGAGGGACATGTTTCTCAACCATCACACCAATATGGAGGGCTGAGATACACAGAGTAAAATTCATCTCAATAAATCTCGGTCGCCTCATATATGGTTTAAGTTTAACAAATGCGAAACAGGTCCTCGTTAAGGCCTTATTGGAAAGTAATTACACACGCATGCACACTATACATAAGCAATCTACTGAGGACCTGAGTTGATTTCTTAACTTGAGGACTTCAACATTACTCTTTAGATCATATATGAATGATTGAAATACATTTCACCCACTTTTACCTACTTTGCATCTCATGGGTTCATATATGATCTCATAATTCTGATGCAAATCGTCAAATTAAGTTCTCAATCCTCATTGCAACACTACCTCATGTGTGTATGTGTGTGTTTGTATTCCCAATAAGAAACTTTCAAGTGAACGTATAATAAGACAAGCATTCTTGAAATAATTTGCATCAAACAAACAGATAATGCACTTTCTCCATAACTTTTCAAAAGCGTAAGCTTTGGCACAAGATACAACCATGAGTTTAAGGTATTACCATGTCCTGGTATTAGAGACCCAGAGTCCTTTACACCCGCATCACGTTTGATCATCGATTCCGTAAGATCACCAAATACGGAGCCAAAAAAATTCAGAAACCCAAATGCTATCGCGCTGGAAACCATCCAAAAAAATACAAAATAAATGCACATGAAACATTTCTTAAAAACTGTAATGATATCAAAAACTGTTAATACAGTATGCATGTTCGTCTTAAAGAAAAAAGGACTGCTCAGCACTTGGATAAATTGATAAAGAAAATTTTCATACTGCACCACACAAGCAAGTCCTAGGAACAATTACATGATACTTTGATTCAGAAGTTAGTACAAAAGGAAAATCAAACACCATCTATTGGTGCTCCTTGCACTGAAGACATAATAAATAATAATAAAAAATCCTATTCTAGGTACCAAATAATTCAAATCAAGTTTTTCCAGCAGAAGTTACTATTTTCATCATTCAAGAACAATGCATAAAGCCGCAATTAAAAATTCAGAGTCCACCATGTAGTAAAACTGTCATTGCATATATGCAGGGATGATACTTTTACAACAGAGAACCACGTTAAGTTCTTAATATTGTCCAACCTGAAGCATGTCTGAGTTATAAGACCAAACATATAGTAAGAAATGACTAATTTTGTGTTTCAGGTTTACTCTTCAAGGTGCTGTTGAAGTTTAGTTCCAACTCGTAATGATTTCTTTTCTTTTTTTTTCTTCTTTTTTTTTCACAACAATTATAAATTAAGAAAACCAAACAATTACTCCTTAGATGAAAAAATAAAAATAAAAATTCAGAAGCAACCCTAAAGATTGCACTGGAGGAAGATGGAATACCTTAATAAAGATTTGGGCCAGCAAAATATCCTTGATAATACAACAGAAGTGGCTATACAACCGCCCAACCCTACAATAGTTCCTTCCCATGTCTTCTTTGGACTAACAGTGGTAAGGGGTGTCCTACCAAATGCCTGCATTTGGAGTACAGAGCTATATCAAGAATTTATTACAGGCATGTGACCAAATAATATTATGAAATAAGGAAGTCTTCCATATCAATCGTAATTATAAAGAAGATGGAGCTAAAAAACATGAACACGAGTTTCACTGGTTCCTTGTAAGGAGACATAAAAGTCCTGACCTCTTGAAATTTATAAACCTAGACAACACAAAAAAGTAAACAAGATTGAATAACTGCTAACTAACCAACTTCACATTCATTGCCAAAAAAAAACCCAAAAAAAAAACAAAACAAAACAAAAAGAAGTTACTGCAATCTCCTCAGTATAGCTGGTTAGGAAAAAAGAAAAAAAAATATTTCCAATAAGTTTCAGACACACTGAGGCACACGTTAACAATCTAAAATTTGATTTATAAGAGGAAAGAGCATATTAAACCCTCCCTAAACTGTTTGATAATGGAAAGTAAAAGTTCTGAATGAAAATTTGCAGGATAAGTACCAGCAGTAGCACATATATAACCCAGGAATTTTGAAGGTTCAATTTTTAGGAACTTTCATGGTTTAACTTGGATTTTGCACACCAATCAAAAGAAAAAAAAAGAACTTGGATTGCACACTGCGCCAGCATATCTATAATAACTGCAATGGTGACAGTCCAATTAGGAGCCATCTGTTGGGAGTGCTCACAAAACCCATCCTGAAGCCTTAGTTACATGCCAGGTTCATAAGAATTGGGACTATGATACCTATCGGACAAAGTTTAAAAAAAAAATCCAGATGCAGTAACTGAAGCTCTACAAAAAGTTCATAATAAGAGAAGGTATATTCTCGAAAAAAAAGAAAAAAAGAAGAAGAAAGGAGAGAGTAAATGTACCTTGCCACCCAGAAAAGCATAAGTGTCAGCAGCAATTATGCTACTGAAAGAAATCAAGGTTGCCACAAGACCAACAGTCCAGTGAGCTTGTCCACCAAGAAGGATGGGCCATGCTGATCCAAAACCTGCCAAAGAACAAAATAATTAGCAACCAAAGGTTGACATAGAACACCAAAGTCCGTGCTCATTTTGAAAAATCCCCCTATTCTTCAATTTCCAGTATAAATATGTAAACCCAACTTCTTACTAGTGTTTAGGGCTGGTGCTGCTAGGCCACATCGAAGCTTAACCCAGAAACAAGGAAGATATCCACAGTAAAATAGCCCAAACATTGTGCTACTAAGCTGTGCAAAGCGAGGATTTCCTCTCTGTAAAAGCAATGCCATAGCAACAAAAAAGGCAGCAGATGTCACGGAAACATCAATTTGACCGCGATACCTGCCCACGCATCAGAAGTCTAATCAGAGATCATTATTGACCACAGATCCAAAAACGAACTTCATGCCTATACAAAATTTGATAAAAGAAAGAGAGAGAAAAAGGTCGTTTCCATACATTTCAAACCAAAAGAAACCAAATTCTACGATTAAATAGTACATTATTAAGACAAAAATGTTTTTTTTTTCTTCCAAATGAAACATATTTGAAAACAAGATGAATGAAAAAGCATCAGCATAGACACTCAAATAAGGCAGTGAATAAATATTTAATGCAGGTTCAATTCTCAAAATTCCTATACCCATCCCAAACATATCTGTAAAATGTAAGTTTAAGTAGCATAAGGAGTTAAATTGAACAAGAAATGAACAGCTCAACCATGAAAAGCAGATATAGATTTTCTACAGCTCTTTAGTTGGAAGAACCAGAAACAAGGTTAAGGCTTTTTGCCTTACATGAGCATAATGAATACTTTCCACAACCACATCCAGATTGATTGAAGTGTCAATCCTAGGATTTCAATGTAATACACATGAATCATATCCCTTATCTTTTTCAACAGGAGGGTGCAATGATAAAATGGAAGGTACAGACACCTAAAATTGGTCCTCACCTTCACTATCTTACATATTGGAATTTTACTCTTTGGTCCAATTTTCTTAACACTGAGTACAGGAACATGATTTCTATAACAAATGAAAATTATAAGGAATCTGGCTATAACTAAACTTTTATTTCCAGCTTCCAATTGAATTTGCATGTTTTCAAATGGAAATAACAGTAAGCATATTATCAAAAAATTCCAGGCTGCAGTCCCACAAAATATTTGAGACACGTTACCAATCTTACAAGGTAACTAGGGGCATGAGAGCACAAATAACAGAGCAAACTCGTGACACAAATCGAGGTGGAGGTGTCATCCCTGCAGTAATTCCATGACTCCTAACCAATTCAAAATACTCGCGTGCGCCAACAAAAACAGCAGCAGCCACAGCTGCTGTGAATACCCATCCTCCAGCCAACACGACAATGCCTACAGATAACCCAATTCCAAGTCCAAAAAAAATTCTTTTCTTTAACTGACTGGCTTTCTGTTGATGCTCTGAGACCGCATCCTCATTCATTGACAATTTATGGCCTTTGTGGACTTCCTACAACATACCCATTTCAGTACATTGCTTCATAAAAACATGCAACCTCTAAAAAAAGAACATAAATTTCGAAGTAAAATTCAATCAAGCAGACTGCCCCTTAAAAAACTTCACATTTGTAACATTACCCGTGAAACGATTTCAAGACCCTTTGAAATTATTAGCATCCATTGCCTTAATACCATTAAACGGTCAAATTATGCTCAATTACCTCACAAACATTACCAATAATAAACATAATGAGTAAGTCAAAAAAAAAAAAAAAAAAAAAAAAAAAAAAAAAAAAAAAAAAAAAAAAAAACTTTTAGCTTTTATATCATCACACACCAAGCCATTAAAGCAAGTTCCTTTTCAGCGCCAAAACCACAATTGACATTCAAATTCACCGCCACCTTCCACCACATCACTCCCACCCTAATTTTTCAACATAATGCCATTCCCAATCACAGCCAAACCAAAATTCAGAAACAAAAAAGAATCAAAATCGTCCCTTTCTTTCTCTAGTACCTGGTGGGCATTGTCCTCGCTAAGCCGTTCCGGCTCGGCTCGAGCCGCGACTGCGATTAGCCGGCGGCTAGCCAAAGCTCCATTTCGGCCAAGCCCCAGCGCACGTCTATTTCCGTCGAACAAGAGATCCAGATGACCCAATTTTGCGCGCGGACGAGTGAGAACTAGGGTTTTGGAGGGCGAGGGGCGGCAGGGACAAGTGCAACGAGAGGAAAGAGAGAGTGGGAATGGACTGCACCGATGGAGTTGGAAATACGACGTTGTTGCCATGATGGATTGAGGCTCACTACTTACTGGTCAGTTTTATTTAGCAAGAGGAAGAGCATGTTAATTTCTGATTCTGCTATTGCAGTGTGTTGTATGTGCCACCGATATAGTGGGCGGAGGTGTCGAGAGGATTTGATTGATAGTTGTTGCTTTGTTTGTTTCCATCTTTTGTTGCTTCATTTTTTTTGGCCTTATTCATAAATATTCCCCAATTTTTGCTTCTAAAGGTAATCATAATTATTTTGACCAAAGAATTTATTAAGAATAAGATTTGTTTTCTGCTAAGGAGAGGAAAATTACAACACAAACCCTCTACAATAGCTTGAATTTTTTCTATCAAAATTAAAAGCTAAAATCACATGTAACGTAAAAGAGAATTATTTTATTATGTATATGAATTGTTTCTATCGAATGTCCGTATTTTGTTTGAGCATCAATTATGAAGTTAACCTCTTGGATTTGGAATATGTCAGAATTGAAATGAATCAAATTATTGAAAGATAAAATGAGTGTTCTAAATGTACTGTCTAATTGCCCAAAGAATATAACATGAGCCCTGTGACACAATCATTGAACTTGGCTTTGTTATGCGGGTTAATGCTTTTCTTCTTGTAATCTTATGATTTGATGTTAATGATCTTTTTTTTGTAAAAAAAATTTATGGGAGATTAACTACTCTCACCACTAGTACCAGAACAGACTCACAACTTCGAGCCGGAAGGACTTATCAACAAGGACCGTTGACAGCGGAACTCGAATATTGATTGAGCTACACACATGGACTTTACCAATTGAACCAACCCTACTCGGCGATGTTACGGACTTCTAAATACAAGTTATGTCAACAAATGACTCTTCCATATGTCAAAGAAAACTTCATATCGTAAATTGAATTATAATTGAGAAAATTTATCTCAGTTAAATAGTCGGTAGAAAAGTACGGCAAAATACAATAATGTTGGTGATAATCAATAACAAAATATTGGACCAACAGCAACAACGATTTAATTCAAGCTTCGGCCCGAACTTTTGAACGACGTGTCGTTATACATGTTTGTGAAGGCTGCGAAACCTGTTCTTATTCTGGCGGTTGAGACCGCGCATAGCGAATTTGCCAGAATCTGATAATCTCACAGCTCCATTCTCATAATCCAAAATGCCCAAACACGATCCCTCAGACTCGGAACACGAAGAAACCTCCGAGAACTCAAGCTCAGAGTCAGACGAGGCGGGAAAGCCCAGCAATGGCCAAAAAGACCGAGTGGGATCATCAGTCTCAGAGTACGAGAAGCAGAGGCTATCGAGAATTGCAGAAAACAGGGCAAGAATGGAGGCTCTAGGTCTGCCTAAAATTGCTTCTTCCGTAATGGGTTCGGGCCAGAATGGGAAGAGAAAGAACAAGAAGGTGCAGAAGGGGAAAGCCAAGGTCTTTGAGGACGATGAAGAGTATAGGCCTGAAGAGGAGGAATCTTGTTCATATTCCAGCCAGGAGGAAGCTATGGAGGAAGATGATGACGATGATTATTTGGGTGAAAAAACATCTGGGTCACGCAGAAAAAAGGTTAGTTCGTGTTCTGTGTACGTCTGTGTGTCTGGCGATTTTACTGTATGAATTGGTGAATTGGTATACCTTATCTTTGTTTCTGTTTGGCTTTTTCTTTGGTGAGATATGCATTATGTATAAAAAAGAAAGTTTTTTAATTTTTTTCCAGATACAACAATGCATACGTGTGGAAAGAATGAATATACGTTTTAAGATAGTTGTCATTTATTGATACTTCAACTATGGATATGGATAGAGGAGTTTCATAATTGAAATCAAATATAGAAAAGGAACATGCGAAATTGACAGTGTAAGTTGTAACTTAGGGACATTAGATTTTTCACCAAGTAAGGAGAGTTATGTGAAGTTCTTAAACAATGGGGGAGATTCTCATGTTTTCTTGACTAACCTTCGAATTTGAAACCAATTTAGTGGATTGATCCCTTAGAAGACTATGAACTAAAGTTGCTAGCCTGGTGGAGCCATGCAGTGCACAGGTGGATCTAGATTGGGTGCATTCAGGATTCTGCATGAGAGTTTTATAATAGTGATAGTTGATTTAAAGGTAAACAAAGCTTCAATGTGCGAATTGAGAAGACAAGACGTTCTAATTTGACACCTTGGATTGGTCAGCAAGTTTTCTCATTATATAGAAAGACGTGCTATTGCATGACCTCTACTAGTTGGCTGACTTTTTAAATTCTTTCTTTGCTGAATCTCTATCCTGGTGAAGAATAAAGGTTCAAAATCTAAAAAGGCTCTTCCCCGAAGTATTTTGAGTAACAAAGATTGCATCGATGATGATGAGGCGTTGAAGCAGGTATGTTTCAGTATCTTGTTAAACACAAATAATTTCTCATTGCCCAGTGTAGATTAATAGTGTGACCCTTAACCAACTGCTATGATACTGGTCCTAGGTGATTATTCAGACAACTATACTCATCCATTTGCATTCATATGCAGGCAATTGCTATGTCATTACAAGGGTCGGTAGAAGTTTCAGCTGTGGCACATAGTGGGCCTTTACAGCGCTCTAATGTGGATAATGCTAAGGTTAACGAAAGAAAGGGAAACAATCAGATTCCAGAAGATACAGGGAGGAAGAGGAAGAAATCGGTTTGTTATCTTAAGCAGAGATGTTTCTCCTTTCTCCTATTGTTCTTAGCTGACTCTCCCATTTTGGTGGTTTTCTTTGATTCGTGTTCGGCAGTTTGCTAGTCGGCTGCAGATGACAGAGGATGAGTTGGTTTTGCACTTCTTCCAGTTTGATGGTAAATTCTATTATCTTTGTCTTGTAGAGACTAGAGGGGGAATTAGGCGATGCTTATTTACTCTCGAAGTGGGTACATTAAGGAGAGACGATGCACAGTTGCTCATCATCCCTTTCTTTATGTTTACTAATGGTAATACTCTACATGAAGCACAATTCGCACTAGTTAACATAGATCTCACTGCATCTTTAAAACAATTTCATGGTTTGAGAACAGAAGCACCCCAAAAGCGATAAATAAGGTTGGTTATGAAGCTAATAGTACAAAGAAATGGTCAACAATAACAGGATACTAGATCTGGTTTTGTCTGGTCATTTGCTGATAATTATAGCTCCCACCGCATGCTATATACATTTGAGTAGTTATCTGGTTTAATGCCGTCTTGAGAAGAATATATTTCTATTAGCTTAAGTCTTGCTTGGTCGATGTTTGACTTTGTGAAGAAAGCTTTTAACCGCTTGCATTTGAGACTTCTCCGATGAGCATGTTTAGAGAAAACCCATTGCTACATTGGATTGCGCACATCTGTTTTTGGTTTCACATTCTCTTATGTCTTACTATGAAACTTGTGGCACATTCTCTTAGTTTATATATGTTTCCTACTCAAATTTCATATGCTTTTGAGTAGTACGGTCAACTCTTACTAAGCCAAAGTAGAAATATGCACAAGTGTTCTTAACCTTGGTCATTGCTCCTGGCATGCAGAGAACTGCAATGGAGGACTTTCTCTACGGGATTTACAAAGAGTAGCAACTGCTCATGATTTTATGTGGACTGATAAGGAGTTGGCTGACATGATTCGCTGTTTTGATAGTGATGGTGATGGGAAGGTCAGTTCCTGCTGCTCTGAATGTTTAAGCAACTTTTTGTTTCCCTTTAACATCTCTACTAATTTTAACTGTTTTTTTTCTTCCTTTCATTGAATTGAATTGAAAAGAATTAAGTATTTTTCTAGGCTGATAAATGTAGATTTGGATATGATTTGCAATGTATTGCAGCTGAGTTTGGATGAGTTTCGGAAGATTGTTGTTCGTTGCAACATGATAAAAGAGCCTGAACAGTCTTGATGGGTTGAAAGCGATTTTGAACTGAAAAGAATGTTTTAAATTTCAGAGAATTAGAAGGTACATAATATCTTTGAAGGTTGGAAGCAGATGTAAGATGATACTGGAATCTATTTCGGTTTATGTGTGTTGATACACAAACAGGAGGGCAAAAACGAGGTGAAGATACTTTCAAGAACGGGAAGGGTGGTGCTTACTGTTTTAACTTCAGGGTGTGTGCTTTGGCTGGAAACTGAAAATTATAACTTGCATTAACTCATTTAACTAATTATGATAGAATTTGCTTGGCGGAATGAGATTTTAGGAATCTCGTACCCATTTCCATTCGTTTTGAATATATTAAGCGTAGAAATTGTGCTATAGGACACAAATATGCCATTATCATCAACCCATTTCCTTCTCTATCAAATTCTTACGTTAAAAACTAAAGAAAGAGAAACCTATCCTTTCCAATGTTTGCACCTACCAAGCATGAAAATGACATGTTACCCCATTGACAAGTATAAAATCTGCAAAACAATACCTAAACGCATTGTTTCAGACCACATTAAAATCAACTCTTCAATTCCGATTGTCTTACAACACTAGAGTCAAATCCATAACAATTATTTCATTGGGGGAAAGAAAAACAAACAATGTTCACGGAGGTGATCACACAAAGGAAAACTTTCAATTTCCATTGTCAATTACAAAACCCGCTTAAACAAGTTACCTTGGTGTCGACACCAGCTAATACAACGACCCAAAGTTCCCTCTAATAGTCGCACATTTCACAACGTTCTCTACTGTCAATACAGATTGGTAATACGATAAGCAACAGTTACTGCTAATCAATCACGCATTCAATTTCTGGTGGTTTTTTTTTCTTCCTGTTTTTACATTTCATTGTCCAGCAAAGGGAGTGCCTGGTCATGTCTTCTTCAGAAGGTACCCCAAAATAATGCCAATCAAGCCAACTAGAACAACATATATAAATGGGATGCCACTACTGCTTCTGTTGGCCCCGCGCTTCAAAAGATCCTGCAAATGATAATCTTTTAGTTAGATCGTCTCTCTGGAAAGCTACTATAAATTTCTGTAATCGAAACCATAACTATTTATCGAGAATGAAATTTGAAATAGTTATCAAACACGGCCAAAAACAGTGTTAATATGCCTTGTTCTATGTGCCTATTAACTATATACTGCAGCTGTATATAAGTAGAAATTCTTACAATTCAAATATATTGTTTCTAATCCCATCCCCCTTCTTTTATTCTAGTAACAGCCACAAAGAAAAATGTGGCAGCATATTAAGACATAATAAGGAAATTATAATACATTAAACACTTTGAAATGGTCAGTATTTAAACTACCACAAAGTCATTAACTAAGCTTTTACTTTAATCGCATCTTCTCTTTATCATGGATTCCATGATAAGAGAAAGTCCAATAATCACCTGGTGGAAAGGAAATCAGTGTGGTTTAGGTAGTAACTATTTTGAAATTATGGGCATTTATGTTATGAAGAGGACTTCATTATGCAAGAGGCTACCCCAGTTCCAAAAGGCATACTTAGGCAATGACTAAATCAGATGGTTGCAATAAAATCATGGGAGGAATTTTCCAGTGGTATAATCCAGAGGTGATTAAAACAGCCAGATTTTTTATTATTGGCAAAATATGAAGCTAAGCCCGACATTAGCCCACACCCAACCATTCACCTCACAAGGCCCAAATATGAAATAGCATTTGAACAGTCTCACGCAGATGAATCACTTTTCACAATGTTCTCCTTTTCCTTCTATAGCACACAATTCGACAATCTTGTCTCCACCTTCACCAAGATGCTCAATTCTATACACAGAATTGTAACACAGCTTAAACATGCATAGGTGTCGTGTCATTGTGGTTATGTTATCATGAATGGTGGTTCCAAGAAACATCATATACTGTCTGATAAGATTTGACAAAATAGCCATGGTAAAAAAATTATATTTTCAGTTTGTTGCCAAAACTTTAAACACCTAGGCCATTTAATGAAGAATGAAGCTTTCTAGATTTCAATAAGCGTTTCAGATCATAATCAGCCAAGAATCTAAATATCATTATTAACACAGTTACACAGCTTGTTTAGCTCAAGTCAGTAGTTCTCATGAGCATTTAAAATCATGAAAACTTCTAAAGATTTGCATCCGTCAAGAGAGGGCCAACAAAGTAGAAAACAAACACCAACAGGTTTGATATGAGCCTCAAATATATATCAACTAGACATTAGAACGATTGATATAAAATGTCACTCACCAGTTCTTGCTGAAGCCTGTTATTTTGCTGAATAGCAGAATTTTTCTCCTCAGTCAGCCTCACAATTAGTGTCCTGGTCTGCAATTACAAAAATTACTCAATAAATTAATTACCATGTACCATCATCAATATTGCAGCAACCCCACAAGTTCATTCAATGATAAGAAACATCCTCCACCATTAAAAAGTACACCATGTCAATGCTTGGAAGAAGGATAAACAAGGATATAATTGGCAACGAAAATTCAGCATGGTCACCAGCAGTGACTCTAAATGACAAACTTGAAGTGGATAATCCAGTTGAAATGATGCTTAAGCTCACTCTACAGTATTGTCAAAAGGACATTTTCAAAAGTGAAATTTCTCAAAGTACACAAATACAAGGCTTACAAACTATACTGGAGTCCCATGCTCCACAAAAATCTGAACTGAGGGAGGGACTCATAATTGAAGAATGGTAACTTAGAAATAGTGCCTTTATGAACAACAGAATCTAAGGAAGGCAAGCAAGGCAGTTCTCTCTGTTGCTATAGCCCAAAATATCTGAACAACTTCTTCAAAAGATACAACTAACCTTGATCTTAGACACTCAAGTAAGCACAGCCTAGAGTCCCCAATTGGAAACATAAAGCACACGCCCTCAGGTCTGCCAGGTCATTAAAATGCTTTTCCATGATGATCAAAGGCAGTTTAAATTCTGAAATTGGGAGTTCCAAGAATAGCTCAAGTTCTTATGGATGGTTAACATGAAAGGTAGCACACTTGGATAGGGTTATAAGTTTGAAATGTAGTCTTGGCTAATGAATTTATGGAGTGAAGCATTTTATTTTTATTTTATTTTAAATAAAACCAATAGTCTAAACTACTCTAACTTAATCTATCTACAGGGAGGAGGATTCGAACTTGGGTGCAAGGGGGCGGGCTCACTACACTGGCCAACTGGCCTAACCCACGTCTACTAAGTGAAGCATTTAATTAGTTGAATTGTACAAAATAAAACAAATGCAACTGTAAATCATTCAAAAACAACCAACATTTATTAAAAATTATAATTTCCTCCAAACAAACTTCAAGTGACAACCATACAACCTCCAAAGTTCAAGACTTAATATTCCACATAGTTTAAAATAAAAATATACCTCGGATGAATTATCTTGAGGCTCATGTTGCTCGGCAAAAGCTCTTGAAGCCTGAAACCAAAATTACATAATGACAACAAATTCTATTACAGTTAAAGGGAAACATAAATTGTTTTCTTTCTTTTACAATCTATCAAGAAGTACTCACAGCTTTAAACTCAGAAGCAATTGCACTCCCGTTGTCTACTGAAGCCCTGGGTGACGAACCTTCCTCCGAACCTTCATGAACCGGAGATGGTGGCCGAGGCGGAGCAACATAGAGAACCCTCAACTTACACTCTTCAACATTATGCCCTGACTCCTTATTGAACTGAAATGAACAAACACAAAAATCCAGTTGCACACTCAGAAGTCATGTAAACAATTAAACTCATACACAAAACCACTTAGAAGTCATGTGACTACCATCTCTGGAGTGATATCCTTCGGGGTAGCCCCGGGGCCAGCAACTACGCTCTGAAGAAGGAACTTGTCCTTGCATTGCATATCCGAAGGTGCTTCCTTTTGTGCTTGCATTGTTACTAAACCCACATATAAATTTAACATGTTAGCACATAGGGATATCAAAATTAAGCACAGAACTAACCATAAAGCGAAACCAATTTAGCATGAAATATAGTGTGTGTACCTATAACATCACATGTAGACCTTGGGGACACAACCCCAGTGTTGGGTCTAACACAATACTTTTTGGGATTTGTTGTCTTTACCTAAAACACCAACCAATAACACCAAAATCAAGATTACAAATCTCTAACAGGCAAAATTGAACAAACCCACAATTCAAATGGTCTGCTGAAGAAAAAAGAAGAGTGAACTTGAGTACCTTGAAAGCTATATAGCTATCGGTCTTATTGGAGAGAAGTAGAGAGCAAGAGATCTGCTTCCTCAATTCAACTGTTTGCTCAAATCAAAAGAATCAAAACCAAAGAAAAAGTTAAAAGGAAAAATCGGAAACAGTGAAAACAGAGAAAACAGAGAAAACAAAAAACCCCGGATCTGAAAGCAAAAGAGAAACAGTTTAAGAGAGTTAAGTTTGGAGAAAGCTTACAAGGGAATTGGAGCTCTTGGGGTTCGATGCTGAGAAGCTCGCCGGTGCTCATATTTGAAGCGATCGGAGAAGACAGAGAGACTGGTGGTTTTACAGCGGAGATGGGCGGTTTTCCAGTGACGGAAAATGGATGAGACAGAGAGAGATTCAAATGATTTGAAGAGTAGTTTCCAAGAAATGGAAAGAGTGAGAGAAAGAGATGCGAAGAAACAACGTGGGACTGTTGCCTTGTCTCTCTTTCGCCTCGGGTTTTGGTTTGTGACGTTCCTTCGGTTCGTATCAAGCGGTTTACTATTGAAGGTTGGAGGCTATATTTGTCTTTTTCTTATTCCTCCATTAACAAAATATTTTTTTTTGTGTTTACATCCAAAATTCACTCTTTACTTTCATTTTTATTATGTTTTATTTATTTATTTATTAACGGAGAGAGAAATTTAAACTTGAAACATTCCGGGTTAATGCTTTGAACCACTTGAGCTACAACTCCTTACATAAAAGAGACAACTATAATAAAGCCAATTAGATTAAATTAAAATAATCTACAGTGAAGAAAATTTTCAATTAGCTTAAATTAATTTAGTCTACAATAAGGAGAATTCGAACTTAGGTGGCATGCTCATTTCATGCCTTTTATTAATGTAGGTTGTTCAGTTCCGGCAGCTAAGGAGAGAAGCTATCAGATGATGCTTGCAGAAGTGACGTTTTGTAAAGACATATTCAATGACTCAAGTACGGGGATCTAGTAAATTTGGTTGACTTTGCCACTGGAGACTCTTCCCATAGAAACAGAATCCTAAAGTTTCCTTCTAGCAAATATTACATGCTGAAATTTATTTTTCTGGGGACATAACATAATGCACATAGACAATATAAATGTACAGTTGCATTGCTAAAGATCACTTTAAGGTCACAACATGAAAATTGAGATCTTTACAGACTGAGACAAAAAGGACCTGTACTGCATGACATGACAGTTCTTTGTAGCTCATAGATACATCACCTGTGCATATTGATATGAACAAAGCAAATAATAGCGTCACTAAACCACATATTCCTTGAACTATAAAACAAAACAAATATTTAAAGCCAGCGTCGATTTCATTTTTCTTTTCCAAGCTAGGGTATATATCACTAGTCATCATCAGAAGGCCGCTGTTGCTGATGACGAGTTCGAGAAGTAAAGCCTGCATACCAAGCAACTCTCATCAGCTGCATACTAAGAATTAGCACCCACCAGGACACCAGTCCCCTAATTGCATGCATCATCCATGCTGGTGCACTGAGCTCAGTTCCAAGCTTCAATCCCCTCATCAGCTGCAACAGCCGGTAAGCCTCGTACACTACAGGGGTCACCAGCCAAACTGGTGACTGCCAATGCCAAGTCAGCATCTCAGTCAGTATCTGTACTGAAATAAGCAGAAGGTAGGGACCCAATAGAACTGAAAATGAGATCAAAGGCAGCTGGGGTTGGAGGAAACCCTTTTGGGATCCAAAAGCCATCATCAGGGGAATGATAAATCCAGTCACAGTTGCAACCATATTCCAAAACTGGTAGCTAAAGGGAGGCTTGCTTTTACAGGCTTGTTCTGGGAGTTTGGGGCGAGCACAAGAATCAGCCATGAGGAGAAAAAGGGTTGCACCAAGATTAAATATGCAATCAAGTCCGACCAAGGAAAGCAGGCTGGCTATGTTGGGGCCGAGGAATATGGATGATAGCGGTAGCCACAAAGTTGGCACCATGCCAGTGATGAGGAGAAGAGAAGGTCCCAAGAGCCACATTGGCCATTTGAGGAACTGAACCTCTGGTCTTGTCTGATTACTTGCATCAATACGCTTTTCACTGTTGGTTTCTTGTGCTTCATCAGTGCTAACTGAAGAAAGGGTTTCAAATATGTTGGTGGTTTTATTTAAGATGCTGTCATCAGCACTCTCGGTGGGGGTGTATGTGGCAGATGAGGGCTCCCAGCGAGTCAGTTTTGTGCAGCGAACAGGGGAATGTTTCATCCGAATGTGAGACAGAGTGTGTAAATGTACTGCATGTGAGGTTTTCAACACTTTCTGCATTGGGGAGCGGACTCTGGGAACTGAATTGGTAGACATCATGAATGGAGGTTGAGCTAAACATGCCATTCTTTAATTACAAGTCGAGTATAACTTTGATTAGGGCCTATGCTTTGCACTCTGAAACATATGAACATAAAATTAAAAGAAAAAGAAATAGTAGAAAGCACAAGACTTAGAAAAAAGATAATGGCCTCTGGGTTCATGAATCATATAGTTTATTCCTATAACGCAAGAAAAGTCCATATCATAACCTTAAAAGTAGACCAATGAACATATGAACTTTCAAACGTCATGTGCATAGGCTAAGCATAAGAATCCCTTATGGATCGATATATAATTTGCAAGCATATGCTGAAATCATCTTTACTATTGCCTTTTGACATGAAGGTTCCTCAAAAAGCTCGAAGGGGTAGTTGTACCACAACTTGCAAAATTCGCCTCACCAAATCTCCTCAATTTAGGGATGCAATATTTACAACAGTGAACTGGTTTTCACTATTCCGGGGCATCAAAATGCCCCTTCTAACATGGAACACCCAACCAAAGTGACTAAACTGGATATTTTGTAACCCCATCTAGACCCAACTTGTTCATACTAAGTTACCAACAATCACCAAGCACCACTCTTTTTTTGGGGAGTTAAATTTAAGATCAAACTTTTAGTGAAGACCCTCTGGTCTGGTTCATTAGAGAACAACAAATTCTCATACAACTCAGAAACTTAACACTCCCACAAGAAGGTGTGCTTCAGATTTAAATTGCCAACAATAGGACCCTAAGAGCAACAAAACCCAATTTTTGTTCAAAGATTCAGTCTTTCACAGAACCATTAAATTAGAAAAAAAAACCCTTTTCTTAAAAATCTATTGCCATCCAAGTACTCATGTTTTCTCTTTAAAAAAATTGATTTATTACATTTTATTTCATTTCCCACACTTTCCCAGCAAGCAAACAGAACACAAAACAAACATGAAGGAAGAAACAGAGAATTGAAAATTAAGGTTCAAAATTACGTTTACCTGATTGAGGATAGTCCTTTCCTTCAGCCAATCTGGGAATCAATCTCACGGCCTACAACGTCGTCGGAACGTATAGCGTTGCGACGATGTCGACGCTCACGCTGCTGAAACCGGACGGCTAGAACCGGGTAAAAAAAAAAGATGGTGGGTTTGTCGTGCAGTGTATTGGGCCTTACTCGGCCTTTTCTTTTATTTTTTCCACAAAAGAGAAAACTCAAGTCAAGCAAAATTATATTTGCGAAGAGGGGAAAAAGCCAAAAACTATTTGTTTCCTTCCTTTCCCAATTTTTTCTGATTTTGATTGTCTTTTTCTTTTTGGTTTTGTTTTTTGTGTGGTGTGGGGTCCAGATTTAGACCAGATAGAGATTGATTGAAAAATTGTATGTATATGATATTTATGACTTGTGTTGTGTGAGGATTTATTTTCAATTTCAGCTTCAAGTATTGATGTGTCATATTGACCAACGCACACGTTTCACTTTTGTGCGACACATTTTGACTTAGTATGTGTAGTATCTCGTTGGACAACTACGATGTCGATGTTGTTTTCCATAGAAAATGTGCATCTTGAGTTTTGAGTGATAGAATATGTGTATGGATGAATGAGCTTACAAATTGCAAGCAAAGATTGACTCCTGCTCAAGAAAGTCATAAGGGTCGAATTTAATTAGTGAGTTGAGCTTGGAGTTAATTGTTATAAATTTTTATGTACAACAATATAGACCAAGAGCTTCAATTTTAGGATCCCGCAATTGCAAAAACATTATATGTGAATTTTGGAATTATGCAATTTCAATTTCTATGTTAATAAATAATGTTCATGTTGTAAGAAAAGTACACACATTTTTTCTAGAATTACTCAGTAATACATTTCAAACATGAGAACAATATACATTTTAAGTTATCCTTTAAGAGTTTGAAGTTGTTTGGTCATATAAAATGTGCAAAATAAACACAATTCTTTACATAAAACTGAAACGAAGATATGAATAAGTAGTTACATAAAACTTAAAAGTTGAACGTTTTCGATCATTGATTTTTAGTCCAGTAATAAGATGTATTTAGTTGAACTTTAGGTGCATGACTAATTGGTGGCCATTGATGTATGTGTGCTACATTATGAGAACCATATGCATTTACGAATAGAAATCACCTCCACACGTGGGTGACCCACAGCAACAAGCCTCTATAAATGAAAAAAGAAAATAAAAAGAGGTTGGATTGAATGATGCCTAGCTTGTAATTGGGTTGGGCTTACAAAAAGTTTTTGCCAAAGATACAAGCCCAATGATGACATGGTGTATGAGAACAAAAAATTATTGAATAATGATTATAGATAATCCATTTAGATTACCATGGTCACCATAGGTATAATTTTTTTTAAATAATAAATAAAAATTGACCAATAGTGTATATTGAACTTATGGTAAAAACTCCAAGGATTATTAAAATTTTAGTATTCAATAATTGCTCAGGATTGAAGCATAACTCGCATACTCATTTTACATGTTTACACTTAGAAATACTAACGTGGTTAGTGGAGTATAACTCAATTGGTTGAGCTCTTCCACCTTCAGAATATTTTGTGTAAATGTCACACCCCAAATTTTTTTGGAGTGTGAGGTAAAAGAAAAATTAAAACTAAAAATTTAAATATAAAAAAACATGAAGATTGAACATGAACTTCTATTTAAACCAAAGTAATTTACATTGTAATTTTACAAGCAAAATAACAAGAAAGTAACAAACTTTCAACAAAACATTCAAAACTATCCACAACTCGTTCTTCTTGTTTCCTCGTCACAAACTAAACTTCAGATTCAAAACCTGCAATAGATTCAATAAGGGGTGAGCACTACATGCTCAGTAATGGTCCTATGTCTTATGTGATTAGTGAGATTTATAATTTACAATTTATGCAATGCATGAATGAACTTCAATTTTTTCTCAACCCGTTAATCTATATAATAGAGTAAGCAAATCTGCATGTCCCATACCATGCATTTTATCACTGTGTTTCCTGATGCCCCATTATATAAACTAACACCCATCTCAATTATCCCATAATTCTCCTTTTGCTAGTCGTCTTGTCTACACCATTGATCTCCAAGCCCAAATCACCCAATCGACAATTATACCGTCGATTTCCTAATCTACTGTGCACATGAGCTTGCATGGACTTGGTCCCTACAATGGTCAGACTCAACTACACAAGATCCTTCCTATCACCCTCTTTTCCATAATTTCTTTATCAACCCAAGAATACCAACCACCACAGACAACATACGAACATGTCAATTTTAATCAAATTATAATAATAATTGACAACATGTAAACACCCAATATCAAGGATATTCATCAAATAATATTACCAAGCATAATACAATACTTAATTAAATCAATTTATGTAAAGCTTCCCCAAGAAAACCCCTACCTCAAATCCAAAGCTATTGTATAACTCCCAGTTGTAAGTCCAAATACTTCGAGTTTCTTTCAACGAATTTCTTGTTCTACACTTTCTAATATTTTCCTCTTCTTTCCTCTCTCTATTTCTTTCTATCATGCACTACCATGCATGCTGTCAAAACAAGTTAAGGAAATAGTTCCTATTTATAGTAGCAAAAGGCGGCAACTGATGATTGATACGATTTTTACCATCCACGCATATAAGGTTAAAATCACATAAAATACTTGCAAGAATACAAGGCTATTGTAGTATAGATGCTCATGCAAGGTCATTCTCCTCAAGGACTATTTAGCAATTTATGTAAAAACAATTTCCAATCAACTACCCAAAATTAAAAGTTGAGAAAGATGATTATGAAATTGTTTGATACTAAAAACAAATTTTAAACAAAAACAATTACGATTGAAGGAAAGAGTTTTAAATACCAATTTATAAAAGCATTAGGGTTTCACCATCACCTAGCAATCCTATGAATTTTTACCAATTACTTATGATTTGCACATGCCACTTTGAAGTTTAGGTTTTCCTAATTTATATTCTACTTGGAACCTCCAACATAGAACGTATATCCAACATGCAACCCGTTCGGACGTTCAGATCAAATCTGAACATGAAAGACTCATTATGTTTTGTGAAAACCCTTTGAAAACCCATGCAAATCTTAAGACGTGGTGTTTATCTTAAGTGAAATTACAATTATTAATCACAAGAAGCCAGCATCAATTTCAGGGAACCTTCAGACCAAAATTGCATCCAATTACTTTTCTAAAGATCCTAATGGTGATCAGGCATTAAGACAATTAGATAGTTTAAAACAGTGATTAACAATTCAAAGTATGCATGCAATCAATCATAAGCAATTAAATAAAAATTATATATTCATGCTAAGGTTCAAGGCTTCACCCTAGCAAAAGAAAATTAGTTACGCATATTCATAACTGAAATCATGGAAAATATTATTAAGAAGGAAAAGAATAAAAACACCTTAAAGTTGCAAAAACTCCAAAACCCTAGCAATTGCTCTCCACAATGTCACGTTCAAAAGCCGAAAAAAGAAGTCCCAAATATTGCCTTGAAAACCAACTTAAATACCCCCTACAAACAAGCTGCCTCCGTCCAGCTTTTCTATCCCCACAAGGAAACTAATTAAAATAAAATAATACTAGGACAAAAAGTCCAAATTGGACTAGGAGAATCTATATTTAAACTGCCTAGTCACGTTTTGGCATCAAATCTCCTCCAAATCAGGCCCAAGATAGCTTATTTGAAAGATAAAAACATTCTAACCATTTCTCCAAAAGGCCACGAACCCATCCGAAGTCATTTTGGGCTCCAAAATGCAATAAAATCCCAAAACGTCACTATTCCAGCACCGCACACTGCTCCTTTATTTTATTTCCAGAAGATAACCGCTTGGTAGAAAAATCTGAAATTTCGATACGATCAAGCTAAGTGACTCACGAACGTCCTCCAACTGGAATTACTCCAAAATTCGTCCATTTAATTATGTTTTGCTACAGAGGAAGTCCAAAGTCTTATATTGGAAATATAATTCAAAGTATCAAAATTCTTTCAAAATATTAACCAAAATATACTAACAGTGGGGTTAAATATATAATATAAAATATACCCATCAAAATACCCCCACTCTTAGCTTTTTGCTTGTCCTCACACATAGCAAATCTAGAAAACAAACACAAAAACTAACGAACTAAAAACTTTAAATAAAACCTAGCTAAACAAAATTTCCATTCAAGTTGTAATCCATAGGAAATGTTAAAAACCAAAACGTCTTTTCAAAAGTTCCAACCAATCCCACTACATAGTCTAAGCCATTTAGAGTCAATTAGAAAAGAATTCACAAACTTCCTTTGGTGTAAAGTGAACCATCATAATTAAGGAGACTCGACCAAAACTCTTACCTCTCATCCCTTTTGTTCACACTTCACATACTAACTTCATACATTTTTTTTTCTTTTTTTTTCTTTGTTTATAACAGTGGTGGTCGTGCAATGTCGGTTCACTTAAGCTTTCGATCCAACCCATGTAGCGAGCTTTAGGTCAATGTCTCCCAAACCACTCGGGCTTAGGGCACTAGGTGTAGAACACTTCGAAGGACTTATTAACTTGAGCTGAAAAGGCTATGAAACCAATTAACCACCCTGTCCCATGCCAAAACTTTACCATTTAACACGAGAATCACTGCTGATTAGGTAGGACTGGCCCGGTTACTAGGCAAAGCTTCAGTTGAGGCATTTATTTCCTTATACCACATACTAATCTCTCTCTCTCTCTCTCTCTCTCTCTCTCTCTCTCTCTCTCTCTCTCTCTCTCTCTCTCTCTTTTATTTTATTTTTCTAAATTTTATTTTATAGAACAACAACTAAAACACACTTGGACAAAAAGTAAATATTTCAATCTCACTCCCACAAACCATGTTGGTGTGAGGTGCCAATTTCAAAGTATAATTCATGAATTAGTGTCTAAGCAACAATAAATAGAAAAGACTCTACTGTGGGACTGATCTTCACCATGTCCATTTGTTCTAATGTTTAAAATAATATATGGATATTAACTTAAAACGAAAATTTTAGGCCAAACTCAAAACATTAAAATAAAAATTAAAAAAAAACTAAAATTTACTCTCCCACCCCCAAACTTAAATCACACATTGTCCTCAAGGTGTGGGAAAAAAAAATAAAGAAGTTAATAAAAATAGTAAAGCCTAAAATAAAACATAAAAAAAATGCGTGCAAAAATAAAGGACATGACCTAAGAAAAATTAAAATAGAAAAATAATAAAGAGAATAGCATAACACACTCGGATATATGGCAATTGCTAATGACATCAAATGCTCCTACTGCTGGGCCGATAGTTCGCATGCCACAGCCCATTGAGGTAATTGATGCTCTTGGAAGTGGTGGTCGTGAGCACAGTACGAAAAATCGATAATTTCGCCGATCGTTTTTTTTGGGGTAGCGATATTTTAGCACATTTCCATATATATATATCGTCAATTTATCGATAATTTCCTCGATATTTCGTTCAATTGGCAGCTTCAAATGGTCAATATATCGCGATATTATCGATAATATTGCGATATGAACTTTCAAAAATTAAACAATTTAAACTCACTCACGCTCTCGCACACAGTGGGGTTTGAACCCCTCTCCACTCCGAAATTTGTAGCCACTTAACCACTACGCTGGTCATAACTTTGTGATTATAAACTATGGAATCTAGTATATATATATATATATATATATATATAATACTTGCGAGCTGCTTTTCACTTTTCAACTATTCACCACGTTTCAACTTACTCATTTACCCTACCATTCAACCACTCACCTAACTAATTAGTTATAGTCATATTTCTATACATATAGTTAGGTAATCCGATTTCTATATATACAAATAAAATCAAATGGTCACATGCCGTCCCTTATTTCTCAACATCTCTCCAAAACAAAACATAATGCTCATATTTTTCTCAACATCTATCAACCTCAATTTCCCCGCAAGTTTATAGTAAGTTATTCTCATTCATTATTGTTATTTAATTTGCATGTTTATTATTATCTATTCCAAATTTTTTGTGGTATTATATTTTAAATTGTGTCAATTAATTACTTAGTCAATGGTATGTGGTTTTTAATTTTTCTATTCTTTATTTGGTCATTTACATGTGTATTTATTGTCTCTAAATTCATTATTAAAGACTTTATATGCTTCCATCACATTTTGTTACACTTGTTTCATTATTGTTTTCTTGTTGGTCCATGCAGATTCTATTTGGCCTTTACACAAAGGGTTCCATATTTAAGGTAAGTTTACAAACTTATATATATGTTATTGTAATTTATACAACAACAAAAAATTTGTGTGAACTGGTGCATGTGATATGAGAACCAAATAATAGTTGCATGTTAATTCTTTGAAGTAATTAAGTATTGTTGTATAATTATTCCCTAGGATAATTTTAATATGTTTAATGTTATTTATTATTTTATTACCGAATTGGATTATTATTCATTATTAGGTTTTATTATTCCATATTATTTTCGATATTACTTAAATTCCTACAATCATTTTCTTTGCTTCCTATTTAATTCTTCCGTAGAATAACTTTATTATTTAGGTTCTCTTATATAACCGTCACTATTATATTTTTTGGCCAAAAATAATTACCTAATTTCTATGACAAATAAATATAGGTACGTTTAAAATGTCTAGTGGAGTTATTAAACGTAATCCAGCTTAGGAACATGGAGACCCAATAGACGGAAACAAAAATGGCTTAATTTGCAAATATTGTGGTCGGGGTAATAAAGAGTGGTGGAGTGACACAACTTAAGTATCATCTTAGTGGATTAGATCCAGGAAATAATGTCCAACGATGCGATAGTGCTCCCTCCAAAAGTGAAGGCATTCATCACCTCATTGTTAAAAAATAAACAACACTAGAAGAAAAAGAAAACACATGGAATGGAAAATATTCGAGCTGGACTACGAGGAGAAGTCAATGGCCAAGAGGTTGACAGTGATGATGATGACGATGAGGATTAATGTGATGATGACATGGGACCTGAAGAGCAACGCAATTTCAAATAAGCATTACGTGCCTCCAAACAATCAACATGGGAAAGAGAACATCTCCACAAACTTCCTAATAGAGCACAAGTTTCCGGGACAAGTGGTGGTGCACAGATGAGACGAGGAGCAAGTGTTAGAGAATCACAACCAGCACCACCAATGACCCCAAGTTTATATAAATCATCCAAAGCACGCCAAAAAAGTGTTTGGAGTTATTTCGCTGGAGGTAATGTGAATGAGGGAATGGGGCGTCTAATTAGCAAGTTCTTTATCTATGACAATGTCCCTGCTGAGAAGGCAGCATTTCATCATTTAAAAAATATGGCATTGGGATGTTAACAGGCCAGTGTTGGAGTACAACCTCCTACTCCCTATGAGGTAAGAAACAAATATTTGGAAATTGAGTATAAAGACATTAGCGAGTATGTCAACAAGTTGAGGTCAAAGTGGGAAACTAATGGTTGCACAATCATGTGTGACGGATGGACTGGCCCGACCAGATTGTCTATCATAAACTTCATGGTATACTCCAAGGGAAAGACAATTTTTTTGAAGTCTGTTGATGCTTCAGACCATATAAAGAACTACAAGTATATTTACAAACTATTGAGGGATGTGATCATGGAGGTGGGAGAGCATAATGTTGTCCAAGTCGTGACCGACAACGGTTCTGCATTTGTCAAAGCCGGAAAAAAGTTAATGAAGCATCATAATGTATTTTGGACATCATGTGCAGCACATTGTATTGATCTAATGTTTGAGGCAATGGGTAAGAGAGAGAATATTGCTAATGTCATAAAAAGAGCTAGAACAATCACAAATTATATTTACAATCACGGTTGGTTGTTGGTAAAGATGCATGAATTTTGCAAAGGAGAAATTACTCGTCCAGCTACCACTCAATTCACCACAAATTATATTGCATTAGATAGCCTACTTAAGAAGAAATCAGGGTTGAAGCAACTATTCACTAGCGAAGATTGGGCCAACCACAATTTCAGCCGCTCAAATGCAGGTCATATGGTGGAAAGTATAGTACTTGATCATTCTTTTTGGACTCAATCAGAACATGTGTGCCAAGTGTTTGAACCTCTTTACAAAGTTTTACGGATCGTTGACACATAGGTGTATCCTACTATGGGGGCAATATATGAGTTAATGCGTGTAGTGAAGGAGGAATTGGAAAGAAAACATGGTGCAAGGTGGGTCATAAAGATAATTGATGACCGATGGTATAAAACATTATACTACGATTTGCATGCAGCATGTATAAATTATGTCATAATTTGCAATTCATTTCTTTAGTTGCATAAGTATTATTTCTCTTATTATAGTATATGTTTCTTTGACCAGCATATTATTTGAATCCTTGATACCAATACAGATCCGGTGTTGGAGACGATGGTATCCTTATACGTGTTGTACACAAAGTATGCTCTAAATTAGACCTTGCATCACCAGCAGTTAGCCAATTTGGAAATGAGGTACACAATTGCTTAAATTATAATAATTACATTGTTGGATTACACTAACACGATTTATTGAATTCAGCTAACATGGTTTATAGATGCAAGAAGAACTTTTGGAGAACCAACATCAGATGTGGCTCGAACAAAAATGTCTCCTAGTAAGTGTAAACATATTTCACTATCAATTTATAATAGAATTTGTTGGAGTTATTAGACTTATCAACATTATTTTTCATTATAGCTAAATGGTGGATCATGTATGGGACTGATGCATTAACTGTGAGAAAGTTAGCAATCAAAGTATTATCACAAACAGCTTCCTCATCTGCTTGTGAAAGAAATTGGAGTACATTTGCACTCATTCACACAAAGCAAAGAAATAAGTTGGCTCATAGTGGGTTGGAAAAAGTAGTTTATTGTTACTACAACATGAAGCTTCAAATTCGAGATAAGGAAGCAGAAATATATCATGTCGACCGTGGCGACCCACTAGATGTGTTTGATATTGCTGCTGAAGATGATAATACAGAGGGTAACCAACTTTATCAATGGATAAGACCTCTTCATTTAGATGATGATGAAGGCAACCCAGCTCTAAGAGTTGCTGAAGAAGCACATAATGAAGGGATAAATGTAGAAAGAGTATTAGAGGAGGAGGTGGGATCTAGCAGTGCTGACTCTTTGGAAGAACTTTTGCGCCTAAGATCAAGAAATAGAGAAATTCCTCCTTCTTCCAATCCTACACAACCACAAGATCCTGCTGATACTAATGATAGCTCTAGTACAAGATCAGGAGACTTGCCTACCACTGAAGGTGCGAATGATGAAGGATATAGTGGAGTTGGAGGTAGTGGTGGATACGGAAACTATGTTGGACCGCTTCTTGGATTTATGAGCCCATTCACTGGTGAGGCAAACTTCATGCATGCAACACAAGATGAGGACCATGGGAGTAGGCGGGCAGGTCCAAGAGTTGGTGCCATAGGGAAGGACTATACTCGTAGAGAAAGAGGCAAGGCAATTTTGTCAAGTCAAGAAGATGATTCGTTATCTATAACTTTAGACTCTGTTGGAGTGGGAAGTAGTAACTATGATTATACTCATAACCAACCATTTCCCTACCCTTCCTATCCCATTCCTTTTGGGAATGAATCGAGCAACTCATGGAAAGAATATGAGACTCAATCTTCAAATGATTTTGCTCATGGACAACGTCAACCAATCTCAAATCCATATGGGTGACATGTTAACAATTACATGCAAAACTATTTTGAGGATTTATCATTTGATGACTACTCTTCACAATACACTTACTCTACATATAGAGATGATGAAGATAGTGAAAAATTTGAATCTCATAGGAACTCTATGTGGTACTAAGTCACTTATGTATCTTACTATGCAATGTATAAAATGTAAAATATTGTAGTAAATCATTATATATAAATGATTGTGGTGTGTTTAATCTTCTTTCATTAATTACTACATATTTTCTACACTCACAATGTTTGTCAGCTCGCTATATAATAAACTTAAATTAGTTAAATCTATCATGCAATGCATTTCCTTCTAATTTTTTGTGATATAATAGATAATTAACTAAATAAGCATCCTCCAAAGTTTCAATAAAAATTTCCAAGTTGTTTTTACAATTTCCATGGTTTTTATTCAATTTTTATCGATATCGATAATATCCCGATATTTCCATAGAAATTTCCGTGTTTTGGACTACCGATATTTCCGATATCACCGATATTTTAGACCTTGGTCGTGAGCCTACTTGGATGAAATTGGCACATCATTTGAATGATGATAGAGAAAGGATGTTAACGAGTGGGTCCATGTCATTTTATTTTAAAAAAATCATAATCAAATGGACTTTTGACTAGAGCCCAGAGCCAACGGCTCTCTTTGTCCATTTGCTCGTCAGACCCCACATGGGTTGGCTTGCATATGTCCATTCATGCCATGCATTTCTCTGTCAAAATCAAAAACCTGCTCTCATTAGTCATTTCTCTCAGGACCCCATACGCCTCTCTTTATTCATTTTCCTCAAAACCGCACAATCTGCTCACAGCTCAAAACCACCGTTCAGCTCATTCTCCCTCATCTCCAAAACCAAAAACTGAAGCTGTTTGTGCCTAATAAAGCACGGTCATGAACTGATTGAAGGGACTTCCCTTCGGCCCTGGCGCCTGCCATTTCGTCAAGCATTTCGCCCTCCTAAGAGCAAAAGAAAAGCTGCAAAGGCAGAATCCCCTCGGCCTCGCGACCGTAGTTTTGAAGGCCAAGGCCGAAGGCCGTAAAAGATATGGTTTGAAAGCGGTGATTGAATAGCCACGTGACCTCAGGGCCCCACGCTCCATTTAATGAAGTAATGCCTCTGACTTCGCAGCAAAACCCACTAGTCACAAGAAGCATTCAATGCACGAGGGAAGTGACTGAAGTCAGGATTTGGTGATGGGAATCAGGGTGGTTAGGCGCAGACATTCTCACAAGTAATCTTACGACTTAGGGTCAGATCATCAACCACCAGCCCAGGGCATTAAATGCGTTCCCACAGCCAAGAGGGCAGAACCCACGATCAGGGCAGTGGCCGAGATTTGCCGAGATTTATGGGGGTCACACCACCATACTTCTCAACCCCAGACCACCATGCTTCACGATCCCAAATGCCGATTTGACTACCTACTTGCCCGGCCAGGCTCCACCACGCAGGTCTTGTCAGCCTCGAATGTCCCTCCAGGACTCCTATAAATGCTAAGCTCAGGACTACATTCAAAGAGTTCAAACACCAAACCAAAAGCCTCCCACTTAGCAAATTATATTTTTTGTAATGCACTTTCAATACCTTTATTTGCTTTCTTAAGAGTAGCGGTAGACTGTAAGGAAAATCCATTCATCAATATATCATACGACCCTTGATTTTCAAGGCGCTGGAGCACCACCTCTGTTATCGCCTCACTCATTCCATATATCATACGACCGTCGCTCTATGAGCAACGCACCGGAGCACCGCCTAAAAACCCACCACCAACACCACCACTAAATAGCCTTGTAGCTCAGGCCGTGAACCCGACGGCCGAGATTCGTTCCTCACTCAGTCATAATCGTTTGATTAGGAGTCGAACGCAAAACAGGGGCAACATTTAAACCATCTTCTACCCGAACCTCATCATCACCTCGACGCACGGTAGACCGTGCTGGCACGCCCGCGCACAACCGCACCGCACCCAAAAGGAGGACGTCACGTGTTGACGCACATCCCCTCGGCCCGGAGCACTAGGCCGCGAGATTTGTGACGGACCAACAGAAGCCTTCATCTTCGACATTTTTCTCATACTCAAATTGTGGCTCTGCAAAAATTCGAAGTCAGCCATGATGGAGTAAGCGTGGAAAAGGTAAATCCACACGTGTTTTCATCCATGTAAGGACACTCGAAGCACTGACAGATCCGAGGAGAAGTCAGGCTCAAGGATCAGATCGCAGACAGAGGTAGATGGTGTGCTCAAAGTTCAGATCCATTGGGAAAGTGCAAGAGACATCTCGAAGTGTTCGATCAATGAATCTGAAAGGTATAAACACTCATCCTTGCTCTTGATGAACCGATGTTAGTGTTTGTATAAGATGAATTGAATATATGGAGGTATGTCTTGTATGTGTGCACATGTCCTCGATCTGGAAGTGTAACAATGACGAGGAAAACAAAGGCCAGCGAAGACCTAGTAGATCCGAGTCTTGCAAAGGTAAAAACTGTGTTATGAGGAACCCCCATTTGTTCGAAAATGTTGCCCCATCATCCCCTACATGGAATGATACTGATGTGGTATGTTGTGCAGAACAATCAGATCTGAGAGAAAGAATGCTCAAACTGGAGATCCACTGGACAAAAGGCAGGACGCATCTCAAAGGTACTTTTGAATCTTACTAGTTTTGTGGGTGTAGATCTAGTACTTAAGAGATGTATTTAAGTGCTCAAAATGGTGTGTCTAAACTGGATCTGCCTAACTACTGCAAAACTTGCATTCTTTGAGTGAGCTTATGTTAATTGCTTTAAATTCCAGCATAACGTAGATGTGGTTGATGTTAACGTAGACTTGCTGCTAGGTGCATGATTCGAGTATAGGATTTTTCTGCTTTTGATGCTTGTTGCTGATTGTTGTGTCCTGCATGTAATCAATATGTGTCAGAAGTAGAAATATGAGAAAAATAAAATAAACTAGGTAAAGACATACAACAATATATATATATATATATTGATTTTGTTGTTGTTTTTTGTTTTTTGTTTTTGTTTTTTTTAAAATAAAAAAATAAAAGAAGTAAAGAAGTAAAGAGTTTAGAAAAATTGGGTTGCCACCCAATAAGCGCTTTATTTTAAGTATGTAGCTAGACATTGCAGAAGCCTAGTGGTTAGATCATTGTGCAGTGTCAAGGGGAAACTCCACGTATGGTTTCAGCCTCTGACCATTCACCTTGAATGTGTTGCCTTTAGCCTCATTAGTTATTTCAACAGCCCCATGAGGAAAAACTTTAGTCACCAGATAGGGTCCAGTCCAGCTAGACTTTAATTTCCCTGGAAACAACGTGAGCCTTGAACTGAATAACAGAACATTTTGCCCTGGTTGAAATTCCTTCTATAAAACTTGACTGTCATGAAATGCCTTAGTTCTTTCCTTGTAGATGCGAGAACTGTCATAAGCACCTTGACGAATTTCCTCTAGATCATTTAACTGCAATTTTTGCTTTTCTCATGCTAAATCATATGCAAAATTTAACTCTTTAATGGTCTAGTAAGCTTTATGCTCCAGCTCCATAGGTAGATGACATGTTTTCCCATAAACAAGTCGAAATGGTGACATCCTAATAGGAGTCTTATAAGCTGTCCTGTATGCCACAAAGGATCATTTAATTTTAAACTCCAATTCTTGCATGTAGAACCAATTGTTTTCTCCAAAATACGCTTGATTTCTCTATTTGAAACTTCGACTGGACCAGATGTCTGTGGGTGGTAAGGTGTAGCCACGCCATGATTAATCTCATACTTTTCAAGTAGGTTAGCAAACGGTTTATTAATAAAATGCTTCCCCCCATCGCTAAGAATAATGCGCGGAATTCCAAAACGTGGAAATATAACTCCTTGGAGGAACTTCAGGACTACTGATCCTTGATTAGGTGGTGCTGCAATGGCCTCGACCCACTTTGAAACATATTCCACAATCACTAAAATATATGGGTTCCCATTAGAAGATGGGAACGATCTCATGAAATCAATACCCCAAACATCAAATAGTTCAACAATTAGGATACTTTGCTGAGGCATCTCATTCCTTATGGATTGGTTGCCGACTCTTTAACACCTATCACAAACCTTGCACTAATTCTGTGAATCTTTAAAAATTGTTGGCCAAAATAACCCACTCTGTAAGATTTTCTCTGCTGTCATTTTCTGCCCAAAATGTTCCCCACAGGCATAATGATGAACAAACTTTAAAAAACTTTCCTGTTCAGCCTCAGGAATACACATGCGAATAATCTGGTCTGGACAATACTTGTATAAGTAGGGTTCATCCGAGAAATAGTGTTTTACATCAGATAAAAACTTCTTTTTCTGCTGGAAGGAAAAATCTAGATGCACCACACCCTTAACCAAATAATTGACAATATTAACAAACCAAGGTGTATCCAGACGAACAACAAATAGTTGTTCATCGAGGAAACTTTCACTCAATGGTAGAGAATCTGCCTCTATAGCTGCTAGAATAATTAATCTAGATAAATGGCCAGCCACAACATTCTCACTACCCTTCTTGTCTTTAATCTCTAGGTCAAATTCCTGAAGTAAAAGAACCCAACGAATCAACCTAGGCATGGCATCCTTCTTAGACAATAAGTATTTTAATGTAGCATGATCAGTATAAACAATTATTTTAGCCGCAACCAAATAAGATCGAAATTTCTCAAGTGTGAACACAACTGCCAACAACTCATTCTCTGTAATTGCATAGTTAAGCTGTGCATCATTGAGAGTACGACTTGTATAATAAATGACATGGGGAAGCTTATCTTTCCACTGCCCTAAAACTACCCCGACAGAATAATCTGACGCATCACACATTAGCTCAAATGGTAAACCCCAATTTGGTGTAGCAAAGACGGGTGTCGAAGTTAGGAGTGATTTCAACTTGTTGAACGCTTCTAAACAGGCCTCATCGAAATTAAATGGTGCATACTTAGCCAATAAATTGCACAAAAGTCGGCTAATCTTGGAGAAATCCTTAATGAATCGACGATAAAAACCTGCGTGTCCTAAGAAAGACCTCACACCTTTTACTAATGTAGGGGGCGGCAACTTTACAATAACTTCAATCTTTGTTTTGTCAACCTCGATGCCTTTGCTAGAAATCGAATGTCCCAAGACAATTCCCTGTTTCACCATGAAATGACACTTTTTCCCAATTTAACACTAAATGTGTCTATTGACATCTCTCAAGAACTAATGATAAATTTTGTAAGCACTGATCATATGAATCCCCAAATACAGAAAAATCATCCATAAAAACTTCCACAATATTTTCGACCAAGCCAGAAAAAACACTCATCATACAACGTTGAAACGTTGCATGTGCATTGCATAATCCAGACAGCATCCTTCGATACGCAAATGTCCCAAATAGGCATGTAAAACTTGTCTTCTCTTGGTCCTCCGGGGCAATCAGGATCTGGTTGTACCTAGAAAAACCATCCAAAAAACAATAGAAAGCCCTACCTACCAGTCTTTACAACATTTGGTCAGTGAATGGAATGGGAAAATGGTCTTTTCTTGTTCCTGCATTTGTCTTCCTATAGTCCACACACATCCGCCACCCTATAGTTAAACATGTAGGAACCAACTCATTGTTGTCATTTTTAATCACTGTAATGCCTGTACGTTTTGGAACAACTTGTGTAGGACTCACCCATTGGCTGTTCAAGATAGGATGAATCATACTTGCATCAAGTAATTTCATAACTTTTATTCTGACCACCTCTTTCATAATTGGGTTAAGGCGGTGTTGAGCACCAACTGTTGGCTTCACGCCGTCTTCCATTAAAATTCTGTGCATACAGACTGTTGTGCTAATACTCTTGATGTCTGCAATTGTTCATCCCAATACATCTTGATATTTTCTCAACACACAAAGCAATTTATCTTCTTTTGTTGGAGTTAAATCTGTTGTAACTAGAACTGGCAGTATTTCTGCAACCCTTAAATGTGCATATTTTAAATGTGCTGGTAAAGGCTTTAGCTCCAATTTTGGTGGTTGCTGTCTGGACGCTTTAAGGGGATGTTTAGGCTCCCCTAAACTCTTGTAAACATTCCTAAACTTTGGCAACAGTGTGGGCAAACTGTCCAATACGTGAATGTACTCAAGAACATCTTCATATTCAGAATCTGTCCTAAGCTCCCCTTGTAAAACATGCAGCAACTGATCTATGTTTGAACTGGCATAAAAGCTATCTTGAAACATATTGTCTACCACGTCAATGCATATTCATTCTTGCTGTTTAGCAAGACGTTTCGCTGCCTCAAACAAATTAAACACCACATATTGGTCATGAACCCGTAAAGTCAATGTTCCAGCTTTCATAGCAATTAAAGTCCTAGCTGTTACCATAAATGGCCTCCCCAAAATAATAGGTGTTTGAAGGTCTTCGTGCATGTCTAGAACCACAAAATCTGCCGATAGATAAAGATTATCAACCTTAATAATTAGATCTTCAATAACACCTCTTGGATTAGTGATTGATGGTCAGCCAGTTGCAATATAATTGATGTAGGCTTTAAATCTCCTTGCCCCAATTGCTTGAAAACAGAAAAAGGCATCAAATTAATACTTTCCCCCAAATCAATTAAAGCACTTTTAAATTAGAATTTCCAATAGTACAAGAAATATTAAAACTCCCATAATCTTTTTTCTTAGGTGGCAGTTTGTGTAGCAAAACTAGGCTACACTGTTCTGTCAATATGACTTTGTTCAAATTTGCGAGCTTCTTTTGCGGCTACGAACTTCTTTCAAAAATTTGGCATATGATGAAATTTTCTTGATTGTTTCATGCAATAGAATGTTGATTTGAACCTTGGATAATGTCTGCATAAAGTCCTTGAGTTTCTGATCCCTCGCTTTAGGAATTACACGTTCAGGATAGGGTAGCGGAGGGTCATAAACACGTTGTAAAACTTGTTTTGTGACAGTTTCGGGATCTGCTAGATTATGTTTTTCTACAGTTTTGGCAGGTTCTACTGCTACAAATTTTTCTGCATTATCCTTCACTGCTAGCTGCTCATTTTCAATGCTATTTTCACGATTATCATAGCTTTTTCGACATCGTAAAGTCCGAACAACGTTGCAATCTTCACGTCCTCTTGGATTAGACATTGTTTGACTAGGAAATTTGCCATGTTCTTTGTCTGAAATCTGTGCAGCTAGCTGTCCAAATTGTAGCTCCAAACTTTTAATTGATGCTTCAACATTTTGAAATCTATGATTGTTGCCCTCGATGAATGATTGATTTGTTGCTGCCAAATTTGGTTTGGATGGAGCAAATGGTCTTTGTGCATGCTAGAATGGTTTTGCATAATTTTGATTGTAAACCCATTTGAAGTTAGAGTGATCCCTCCATACTGAATTGTAATGAGTTGCATATGCATCATTCCTAGGCATTTGATAGTTGTTCATCATATTAACATGTTGCTCAACAAGGTCCGGGTAGGATTATTTGTGCGGGCAGCCCATTATGTCGTGTGTAGCTATGTTGCAAATACTGCAAACTGTTTGTGTATGTGGTTGCTGTTGTGTAGAATTTGCAATTTTTTGTAGAAGAATATCAAACTTTGCATCAATTTTCTTTTTCATTTTTTCCATTTGTGCAAACATGTTGGGAGAACCTACTGATAACTCAAAAATTCCCTTTTTCTGTGAATGTTCTGCAGCCCATTGCTGAGATACTGTAGCCATTATATCAAATAATTCAAAGGCCTCTCTTGCAGATTTATTTGACAACAACCTCCAGCTGAAGCGTTCACATTTTTAGATGTAGGATTAAGCCCATCAAAGAAAATATTCATTTGTGTATCTGCATCAATATTAGCATGTGGACACGTTATGTACATATCTGTATATCTCTCCCATGCTTCATGAAATTCTTCATTAGACTTCTGTGTGAATGTCAAAATCTCCCTCTTGTAATTCAATGTCTTGGATGCTGGATAATATTTGTTCAGGAATTTTGTGTGTAACTGTTGCCAAGTAGTAATGCTATTAGCTGGTAGAGTGAATAACCAAGTTTCAGCCTTATCCTTCAAAGTGAAAAGGAAAAGACATAATTTAATAGTTTCAACAGAAAAACCATTAATAAAAATATTTTTGCAACCCATAATAAATTTTGCAATATGTATGTTCACGTCCTCGTTAGGCAACCCCGAAAAGTGGGTAAAAGTTCAAGCATATGGTGGTTGATCTCGAACGAATCACCCTCTTCTTGTTGAGGATACACAATACAATTAGGGACATCGTTGGCACGCCAAGCAAATAAGCAACACGTCATTCTACAAGCTTAAATTGGCCCAAGCCATGCGAATGCCTGGGGCTTGCTGAACGGGTTATGGTATGGATGGTTACGAGTTTTCAAGAGGCCCATTGATGAGCCAAGAAATGGAAGTTTTAGGCTGCTTGGGAGCCTCGAAACTCAAGCCTATTTCTTGAGCCCAAATATGTGGGTAAGCATAAAGGGGAGAAAATAGCTCATTACCTTTGAAAAGATAGCCCATCACGTTGGGAAGTTGGCCCATCCCTTTTGTAAACTAGCCCGTTACCTTAAAGAATGGCCCAAGTGACCAACAACATATCAGAAAGTCTCCTGCACATGGCTAGAGACAAAACCATGACAAAAGCCAAAAGTCACTCACATTTGCAGGCTGCTGGAAATCTCCAGCACATGGCCAAAGACAAATCCCAACACAAGGCATAAAAAAAATCAAGGGATACTTGAGCAAAACACCCTTCAAACCAGTGTACATACCCATTTCTTTCCCCCCATCAGATATAGCCATAGAAGAGGGGAGAAAAGAAAGAAGAAAGATGGTTGAAATGGGAGTTCTCCACTGAGGCAACTGCGGGAAGAGCATTGAGCTCCCAAAAATCCATGATTTTGTGCAAATAGGTAGGGAGAATTTCACCAAATATGACAAGTCAAAGGAAGGGAGGAAAAAGGAAGGAAAAGCTTGGCCAAATTGGATAGAAACCATTAGGGTTTCTTGGAAAATAGTAGCTTCCAGCACCTATAAAAAGAGGCATTTCCTACCCATCATCTCAATCCACATATAGAAAGCAAGCTTTCTCTCTCACCAGCAAAACCCAGCAATTTCGTGCCTTATTCTTCCATCTTTCCCCATTTTCCCTTTTAGTAAACTGTTCCAAAGCTTGACAGAGTTTTCGGCCAGTTGCCAGAAACTACTCAACACACCCAATATACCCCATCTTTCTCTCTCTCTCTCTCTCTCTCTTTTCATCAAACCTTCTTAGAATCTTTTCCCCTTACTTTGAACCTCTGTTTCTCATAGGAAATCACAGCTCTCTCTCTTTCATGCTAAACTCATGAGTGCTTAACTCCCATGCCACAAGCTTCTTACGCCAAGCTAAAAAATCTATCTGTAAGTTGTTGTTTTTGTTGGTGAAGGTAACCAAGGTGTTTCCTAAGGCATCTCTGTCCTTTCGAAGCATTTTTGGGGCTTGATCTTCGAACTCAGACACAGGGGATAATTTCATCCATCTATTATTTACGGCAGCCCAGCCCATTTACCGTTGCCGGAAGAAAAAAAACTCCTACAACTAAAAACAATTACAATTGAAGGAAATAGTTTTAAATACCAATTTATAAAAGCACTAGGGTTTCACCATCACTTAGCAATCCTATGAATTTTTACCAATTACTTATGATTTGCACATGCCACTTTGAAGGTTAGGTTTTCCTAATTCATATTCTACTTGGAACCTCCAACATAGAACGTATATCCAACATGCAACCCGTCTGGACGTTCGGATCAAATCTGAACATGAAAGACTCATTATGTTTTGTGAAAACCCTTTGAAAAACCATGCAACCCTTAAGACGTGTTCATCTTAAGTGAAATTACAATTATTAATCACAAGAAACCAACATCACTTTCAAAGAACCTTCCAACCAAAATTGCATCCAATTACTTTTCTAAATATCCTAATAGTGATCAAGCATTAAGACAATTAGATAGTTTAAAACAGTGATTAACAATTCAAAGTTTGCATGCAATCAATCATAAGCAATTGAATAAAAATTATATATTCATGCTAAGGTTCAAGGCTTCACCCTAGCAAAAGAAAATTAGTTATGCATATTCATAACTGAAATCATGGAAAATATTAATAAGAATGAAAATAATGAAAAACTCCTTAAAGTTGCAAAAACTCCAAAACCCTAGCAATTGCTCTCCATAATGTCACGTTCAAAAGTCAAAAAAAGAAGTACCAAATATTGTTGTGAAGACCAACTTAAATACTCCCTACAAACAAGCTGGTCCTGTCCAGCTTTTCTATCCCCACAAGGAAACTAATTAAAATAAAATAATACTATGACAAAAAGTCCTCCAAATTGGACTAGGAGAATCTGCATTTAAACTGCCCAGCCACGTTTTGGTTCCAAATCTCCTCCAAATCAGGCCCAAGATAGCTTATTTTATAGATAAAAACATTCTGAACATTTCTCCAGAAGGCCACGAAGCCATCCGATGTCATTTTGGGCTCCAAAACACAATAAAAGCCATATTCCAGCACCGCGTACTGCTCCTTTATTTTATTGCCAGAAGATAACCGCTTGGTAGAAAAATCTAAAATTTTGATACGATCAAGCTAAGTGACTCACGAACGTCCTCCGACTAAAATTACTCCAAAATTAATCCATTTGATTATGTTTTGCTCCAGAGGAAGTCAAAAGTCCTATATTGGAAATATAATTCAAAGTATCAAAATTCTTCCAAAATATTAACCAAAATATATTAAGAATGAGGTTAATATATAATATAAAATATACCCATCAATGGTTTTTGATTGGTGGAATGTAGGTTTGGTGATATGCTTGACTTCCTACATTATCCAACTTTCTCCTAATGCCAACAGCTCATGCTTTAAACAAAAGCTTAGTCATCCCTTGTGAAGAAACTAGAGTGGTAAGTTTCCTTTATGTAAATATCTTTGTACGTGGCATCCCTTAAATCAAACAAATAGGTTTTTATTTTTATTTTTTATAATAGTATTATTCCTAATAATTTATTATGAAGTAATAACTATGTGGTCAGATTATTATATATATATATATATTTAAATACAAGACTTCACAGTAAACCCCTCTCCCTCAATCACTTGTACTAAAAAAAAATTAACGTGTATTAATTGACAATACGTAAGTCCTCAAATGTTCCAAGCATCAACAAGTTTTAATGATCTCATATCTCATTCCTAAATTAGGTATGCTAAATAAAATACTTAAAACACTTTGCTTTGCCTAATAATTCTATCAATTTTCCAATCTGTAAATCAAGAAACAAACACACACAACAAAAAGAAGCAAGAAATATAATAAAATAAACTAACTTTGATATAGTTTCTTTCTGAATTACAATACTCTTGCATCTATATAAATTAATAAAAGAATTGCATAATAATCAAAAAACAAAATATAATCCGAGCTAGTACATACGAATTGAAATAATGTTCAAGAGAGACGAAGCCCCTTTGGTTCTGGTCTTGGTGGCACTTTGAAGCCAGAGTTGATGTCTCTGCAGTTGTAAATAGGAGTGATCAAAGAATCAAACACTTTACTCTTGCAAACAAGGCACTCCCTTTGAGCGCTGTAGATATTCAACCAACTGTACAAACAAGGCCAGCAATATAAATGCCCACATGAAGTCACAACTGGCTCTCTTGCCACTTTCGTGCACATGTTGCAGTCAAAGTATAATACAGATCTTGGTGGGGATAATGGCACTGTCAAATAGCCCTCATCATAATCACCATCTAGATAAAGGGTTGGATCTTGATCATCATCTTGATGAACGGTTGGATCTTGATCATGACCATCCAGAGACAGAGTATAATAATGATCACTTGTGAAGCTTTCAGACTCATGTTGATCAATTTCATCTTGCACAAGCAGTGAGAAAACACTATCAGCATCATCATCATCATCATCATCATAACCATCATCATAATCCTCATCACCATCACCATCATCATCATTATGATAACAATAATCATTATGAAAATGACAATAACCAACCTCCTCCTCCTCTTCCTCCTCCTCATCATTATCATCATAATCATGATTATCCATATGTTCGTACCATTCGTGTGCTGGTTTTGTGCCGTGGAAAATCTCGTGGGGCAACATGAAACGCATTGGTGGCTTAATTGGTGCTCGAATTTCGTTGCTGGAAGCCATGTCCATGAATATAGAAACAAAGGAAAGCAAAAAATTGAACACTAATAACTAAGAACGCTTAGAAGAACAAACTCAACAACAAGAGAAATAGTAGCTATAACAATTGTGGTTTCTATTCTAAAAAGACCTGTGTATATATAGGGGAGAGACTTCAGAATTTAAACCAAATACGATTAAGATTAGGACTAGGACTGGGATTTCTTGATTCACAAGTTTCCGAATCCGACTGAAAAGTGACATTATATATATATATATATATATATTTTACAAGAATAATAGAAACGTGTATATAACAGAATAATTAAACCTAATCCTAGGCCTACTAGGATTAGTAGTTGGACTTAGTTGATAAGTTTCCAAATCCAACTTGATGAGTGACAACTTCATTTTTTCTTTAAAGAAAAAATTTACATCCTAATTAGTGTAGGAAAACAATCCTTGTACAATTAGGACATTATTGCTTTCTTTAAATACCTCCTTTGAAGATTAATACAACATACAGAAGTTCCTATATTTTCATATTTTAGCATCTTGAAACATAAACACTCAAAACAGAAAATTGTTGAAGAAAGAATGGGGAAGAGAAAGTCGTCGTCGAGGGCAAAGCTTGTAGCTAAGAAGCCAAGGGAGAAGCTTGATACAGTATTCTGTTGCCCCTTCTGCAACCACGGGAGCAGCGTCGAATGCGACATTGACATGAAGAACATGATTGGAGAGGCTCTCTGCAGCGTTTGCCAAGAGAGCTTCAGCACAACTACCACAGCTTTGACTGAACCCATAGACGTCTACAGTGAATGGATAGACGAATGTGAGCGGGTCAACACCATTGTTGCTGATGATCTAGCTTAGGAAATAGATAGGGGTTTTTATAATATAAATTCATAATTAAAACTCCAAAATCTTTTGCGGCGTGTCTGTAAAACTCCACATCTTTAACTTGTTGATGCCATTATAAATTTATAATTTTATCTTGGTCCGCAAGTTTCCAAATCCAACTAGTGACAACCTTCATTTTTTTTAAAGAAAAATAGAAAGCTAAGTATATATTGGTCTGATTTGGGCTAATTAAGATAGAGTTGGATTTGGGCCTTTGACAAGTGAAAAATAGCGGGCTCTTTTGGTGACCCCATCATCAAGAACTAGTAGAAGAAAAGGGGAAGTTAAAGTTGCTTGTGGTTTTTTTCACAAATGCTTTTTGCTTTGAATTCTAAATGTAGTGGGGTTTAGCTGATATATAAAAAGAGAAGCGTGTGAGAAAAACCTTGACGACCAGCTTGCCATCATACTTGTCAAAAGGGGTAAATAATGCTTGATATTCTAATGACCATGTTTCACAAAAGAACAAAAACGAGTATGTTTGAACGCGTCCACTTACAACACTAGCTAATTTGGGCTACTAAATTATTATTATATGATAATTTTTACAGTCTTTCTTCTATGAAAAAGTTGTAGTCAAATAAGATCAAGCTGGTCACCACCAGTCCAATCTACAAGAAATTATATATAGTGCTTTTTTGAACAAGATCCCTCCAAAAGTCTAGGTCTATGATAAATGTTGCTATCTACCACCAGTGTTTCTAGAGGGCTTACACCAAGTTTACACGAAATGAAATATATGGCATGGTAACGTGTGTTGGGGTTATGGCTAGGTTAGGAAAATTGAGTAATTATAAAAATAAACTAGAAAACATTGTTGATCGACCCGGATCGATCCGGCTCTCTCTTCTATTGAATTGTCCGGCTCAAACAACCTCTAGACCTCAACAAATAATTTCACTTGTCAACAATGTATATCAAATTAATTATATATGTTCATTTTGATTAAATATATGTATATAGACAGTCCAAGCATGAGGACAAAGCTATATATATATATATATATAATGCTTTTAATATTATTTATTTGGTTAATTTTTTAATAGATGAACATTGAAGAAGGGTCTAAACATATATCATAAAATCACATTTTGAGGTGGACTAAAAAAAGTTATTTGTGATGTACATAGTAAGACTCTCTCTATCATTTTGGCCATTAAATATGGTACAAATCACATTATTATTTTGTTCACATATGATCTAACAGTCTATAAACAAAAATCTCATATAAGATCATATAGGTCAAGTTCAAGGAATCCAAGTGTCTTTGAATTTTTCTGAATTGAAAATTATAAAGATAAGTTAACAAAATTAAAACTACGAAACGATGTACATGAACCAAAAGTAACTTTTTGCCTAATCAATTTTACTTTCTAACATTTTCCTTTTGGGCAAGCACAGCTGCACAGCACATATAGCAGAACACACTCCATTAATTTTGTACGCATCTGACGTAAATTACATAGAACATGCCACAATGAGTCCTTTTCCCCCATTCATTGTCTTGTATCAACTGATTAACTAATTTCATTGGCCAATGTGTTAGGGTCTAAGTAGAAAGACCGCCTTTTTTCTGTAATTAGTTTTAAGGCCCGATATGGCTACTATTGTAAAAGCCAGCACAGTGGCAAGCTTACTTGTAATACTATACATGGGAGTAGGGAGCAGCACCACCCAGTCTACCCAACTGGCTTTGCGGTTGGGAGACCTAGCAGCAACAAAGTCTCCAATGGCATCAGATCAAGAAATAAAGGAAAAACAAAAAAATAAGAGGTATACTTTGTGAATGATCTCCTACTTCTCGTCTTCGTATTATTGCTGCTTCTGCTAGCTGTTTTGTTACATACTAAATCTTGTATCAACTCATTCATCAATACTATATATATACGTGTACGGTACATGGAGGTTGCTGTGTTTTTCATCCTAGACATGGCCAAAGAACCATGATCATGTCATGAGAGACCAACTTCGACAACATAACCTAAGGGCTCGTTTGGTATCTTACTTGGACATAATTTTATAAACTCGAAAATAGAATGCCCCAAAAAGTTGTTTGGTAAGCCCATTTTAAAAACTCAAACTCAAAAAAAATTCAAAAACACCCATATTATTAAAAACAAAAAAAGTGAGGTTTTATATATATATTCTCTCTCTCTCTCTCTCTCTCTCTCTCTCTCTCTCTCTCTCTCTTGCGGACCACCAAAATTGATTGGGTTTATGCCTCACATATTTTTCCTTTTCTTTTGTTAATTTCAATTTGGGGATTAGGGTTTATGATTTTCTTATTTTAATTTCAATTTTTTTTAGATCTTAAAAATAGTTTGGAATTCAATACCAAACAAGTTTTTAGATCTTAAAACCACTATTTGAAAACTCATGCTTTTAAAAAGAATCATAGTTTTTCATTTTACTTTTTTGAATAAGATACCAAATAGGGCCTAATTTCCCACAACTATACTTCTTCCCTAGCATAGCTAAATATTTTGTTATTACTTTTACTTGAACGCACGTAAGCGCATAGGTTTGTCATTCTACAAAGCTTTATAGCCTAATAGTGGCATGCTCACACAAACAATAAATGTAAGATTTACTTAAGCTGTCATGAGCCTGATTGTGGCTTGGCAGGTTTTGAGCAAAACAGTTACCAAGAGATAGATCATGGCCGATATGGATCATATTTTATCTTTAACTCACAACATATCCATCGTTGAAGGCTAGCCATTTTCCACTTTTTCCCAACTGTAGGAACTGGCTAAGTGTGTTATACATATAGGGGTCATTTGGTACGGCGAACTGTCATGGACTAAACTAAATCTTGGGACTGTCTTGGATTAGCTCAGATTGGACTAAGCTGGATTAAGTACTGACTTATATTTGGTGCTGCGTCAGACTAAGAAGTTAGATTATGAAAATAGTGAAGACTTATGTTTGGAGTTGTGTCGGAGTAAAAAATAATTAATTTTAATTATAAATAAATAAAATTCTAATATTTGATATTTACTTTTAATTAAGGATTTTAACCTAAAAATAAATATTAATAAAACAAAAAAATTTTAATATTTTTTAAAAGCTAAACTATCTTATCTCTTCTTAATTTTTTCCTTTTTTCTCCTTTTTCTCCTTTTCTTCTACCTTTCCTTCCCAGCCCGTCTTTTTTTTTTTTTTTTTTTTTCCTGTTCTTCTTCTTCCCCACGACTTTTGATCCTTCCCTCATTTTTGCTTTTTTCTCAAATTTTCTTCCTTGCCAAAAACTCTTCAGTTGTGATTCTCTCACAATTTCATCAATTCTTTCTCTAATTTTCTTCCTAATCACTTTTCATTACTCAATTTGTTCATACGATGAACGATTCAACTCAATCTCATGGCTCACCATCATCTTCTCCACTCTCTGCATCTGGAAGAAGAAGAAGAAGAAGAAGAAGAAGAAGAAGAAGAAGAAGAAGAAGAAGAAGAAGAAGAAAGAGAAGAAGAAAGAGAAGAAGAAAGAGAAGAAGAAGAAGAAGAAGAAGAAGAAGAAGAAGAAGAAGAAGAAAGAGAAGAAGAAAGAGAAGAAGAAGAAGAAGAAACACCGGTTGAAGAAGAAGAAAGAGAAGAAGAAAGAGAAGAAGAAGAAGAAGAAACACCGGTTAGAGCATCTCCAAAGGAGATGTCAAATACCAAACATCAAATTTAAATTTGATGGCTGATGTGGCAATTTGACATTTACACAGTTTTACACTCCACCCGATATGTCAAATAAATAATTATTGTAACAGTCAAATAATTTAAGATAAAGAAGAAGAAAAAATATAAAAAGGAAAATAATAAATGAAAGTAACAACCAACTATCTTTAAAAATAATAAAATATTCATTTGACATCTTACTTTTGGGATGTCAAAAATAACATCTCAACCTCCAGCCTTCATTCCACATCAGTTTTGACACATCGGTTGAAGTAATGTGAGATGTTATTTCTAGCCGTTAAATGTCTATGTGGCACTTTTGACACATCGGTTGGAGATGCTCTTACACTCGCATGTTTTGTTTAGTGAGCTCACTATTGTGCGAACCGTGTTTCAAGCTCGTTATATTGGAAGAGCGAGTGAGGCAATTTTTATACTGTTGGGCTATATAAGCTCATTTAAGTTAGTCCCCTTACTTGCCAAACGTGGGTTTGAAGTACTATTTAAGGTTGTCATGTCCGTGAGGCCTTCCAAACATGCCTATAAAGTTAGGCAGTAGCTAGGCACTTTGCTCTCCAACACTTCTAGCCCTCATGTGAAACCCCTGTTTTGAGTATTTTACACGTCTAACAAATGGTTAATTATGGTTACTTTTGGGTGATCATGAGTTCTTAATTATGTGAGATTCATTTTAAGATTAACTTTTATGTTTGGTGGCTTTGATATGGCACATTAAATATTAATTTATGCTAAAATCTTATATAGGACTTCATTTGGATAAAAGGATTTGAAAGAAATGATTTGGATTTGACGCCAAGACTAAATTTACTACATAAATAAGAACTGCATAAGATTGAATATGAATTTGAAATAACTAAATGACATTTGAAATGAATGTGAAATGACTATGCCAATAATCATTTGATGAAATCCACTTATTTTCTTTCATTCTTTCTTGTTCAAATCTTGGCATACATTGTAATAATCTAAACAAACAATTTTACCTTATAATGTTAGAAATCTATAGATTTAGAATCTCTCCATCCACCTTTTTATTTTGTTTTGCAATGTAAGCTATGGGTTGGATTATTGCCAACTGGATATTATATATATATATATATATATATATATAACCCTGTAAGGCCCACCACACATTATTTTTCAATGATCCGAATTGCCTCATTTTTAGATATTCCTTCAAAGATCATATATGCAAAAAATCATTTGACTCCGAAACCATTTAACCACTCAATTATATTATTGTTATTTTAGTCTTTTTTTGATGCATCGTATTCATCTATTTTGTTGCGAGCAATTAGATGCCTTAATGATTTTCAATTTTTTTGATTTTTTGCAAGAATGATCTATGAATGAAGACTTGAAAAATAGATGGGGTTTGATTGTAGGGTACCCTAAAGGGTGTCCCTCATATAAAATTATTTGAGGAATCCCTCAATCGAATGGGAATATATATATATATATATATATATGTTAACCTACCTATTGTAGGAGCTAATAGGGCTCTGGTTCCTCTGGTTTCTCTTCTCTAGCCTGCTCCCTGCTGCTTGTGGATCTCCTTGTGGAGATATGTCGCCTGTTTTCTCCCTTTCTTTGTGGGTGTTTCTGCTCTCCCCTTTTGTGGGTGTGTTGTTCTCCCCTTTGTGGGTGTTTTGCTCAAGCTTTGATTGAACTCTTGAGGCTTTATGCCTTCAGTTTCCTTTATTTACCCAGATCCCCCCTTATTTCTCATCCCTTGTATTCAGTTGTCCCCTCCTCCATCCATTTCCTCTTATCTCCCTCACACACTCCATTCAAATCCCTTCTCAATGGTCTTGGTCCTTCCCACTGAAATTTTCTCCTCCTTTTTATTTGGATTCATCTTATGGCTGCTTCGGCTAGCCAAAAATACAGTTTCTCACGCACAACTCTAAAGATGTGTAGAGTTCGAGCTTTTGCTCTTTCTCATGTGCCTGCACCACCTCCTTCTACTATGTTGATGTTTGTTTGGTTTTTGTGTTTGTTCTGGTGCTTTGTCAAGTTTGATTTGGGAGGTGATGATCTTCTTGTGGCTGGCTTCTTTTTTCTTGGTCTTTGTAATATATGGGATTTTAAGGTATTTGAGTAGATCTGTGGGTAGTGCGATTTTTTTGTTTTGTGCCCCTTGGGTGTGGCAGCTCTTCCCCTCAACTGGTCCCGGTTATGTCGTCTCAAGCGGTGGTGACGGCGGCTCTATTGAATTTCGGTTAGTGTTTGTTAGCTTTCTTGGCCTTGGTTTGGGCTTATGTAGGCTTAATGCCTTCTAGGTTTTTAACTTCTTGTTGGTTCTTTTGCATTTTATTTTAGGCCTCTGGCATTTTCGCTTTGTTGTTGAGCTCAGTTGGTTGGGTCTCAGTTTTTGGTGTATTGTTATGCCCTTTTTGTGGGTTTTTAATGAAATCCACTTCTAACCAAAAAAAAAAAAAAAAAAAAAAAAAAAAAAAAAAAAAAAAGTAAGCATACAGCATATTTTATTTGATTGTGATACGGCTGTAGTGGAGGAGAAATTACAAATTCCCTTGTACCTATTAACCCCTAAGCTTTTGGGCCTTATATATTGTTATTGGTAGTCAAACTTAGTAGCCATGCATTATATACATAACCATATTGTGCAAGTTGCAAGGATTCATTTCCTCAATGCCATGGCATACCATCTTTGCATTTCTGAATCCACTGCTAATCGACATCCATCAAGTGAAATGTCAAGGTGCAACCAAGTTTTCATTCGACACACACTGGGGAGTCATGTGGATATTTTTGTTGTAACATGAAATCATGCCGTAATTGCTTTACAGTATACTCTCGAATCTCTAGCCATTTCGCTATTTTCAGTGGATCTATTTCCTCTATCTCATTTAGTGTTTTCAAAGGCATGCCGTCGCACACGTCAAAGCGTGCGTTGGAGAGAGGTGCCAAGGAATCGCATGAGGAGGTCGGCTATTTCACAAGTTACACATTTAGCGCCGAGAGGCGTGGGAAGGAGTGAGGAGGCGTGGCTAGGCGGAGCGAGGCGATGCTGTGTAATTTGCAAATTGACTGTGTGAGGAAGACGACGTTGCGAGAAAGAGGACTTCACGTGTTTTTTTTTAGGGTTATTGTAATGAAACGACGTCGTTTCAATTTCAGTGTTTTAAAAAATTTAAATGAAACGACGTCGTTTCACTTTGAGTGTTTTGAAAAAAATTAAACGCAAGTTTCATTTTTTTTTCTTACCTTTATTCTAATAAAATTAAGGTAAGAAGAAATTAATATATTTCTTGCCTTTTCCTAACTCCAAGCGGCTGTAGCCTTTATTCTACTTACCTTTTTTTTTCTTTTCTAAATTAATATATTAACACATGGACTTTTATATATATATATATATATATTGTATAGTACAACCCCAATTTCTACCTTTACTAGATAATCTCTATCAATTTCAAGAATTCTCTTCATCTTTAGACTGCAAGTGAGCCATTCTATTTTTCTGAATCTTAGAAATATTAATGGTGTTGTTTTATAGCTATGAATCAAAAAGATCATTCGCGGAAGTATGCAAAAGAAATAGGGGGGGAAAAATACTTGAGATGTGCATTTTGGGATTAAAGATGCAGTGGAGGAATTTCTAAACTTAAGCATCATTTTGGTCAAACTTATCACAGTATGCAACAATGTAAGAAAGTTCCTGAACATGTGAAAAAAAAAAAGTGTGCCGCAACTTTGAAAAAATTTCAGCTTGAAAAAAGAAAGAAAAAAATGAAATGCTTAGAGAGATTGGGGATGGTCAGGGCTTAGAGTATGGAAACTTCATTGGATGAAGAATATGGAATCCCCAATACTTGAAGTGCTCCAGTTGATGAGGCTCTTAGTGCTCGACCTAAATCAAAAGGACCAATAAATAGATTTGTCATTTTAAAAGCTCGGCAAAATACATAATTCAACATACAAACAAAAGAAAGAAAGGAAGTTTGTAAAAAGATGGTCGTTTTTTCTTCTCTAGAGCACTCCCATTTAATATTGTAAATGATCCATTTTGGCTACCTATGGTGGAAGGGATTGCCGCATATGGTGTAGGATTTAAGCCTCAATCAATGCATAAGCTAAGGACTTGAATCCTTAAGGAAGAAGTTGACTACATTAATACGATGATGGAAGAACATAAGAAAGCTTGGGCAGAGTATGGATGTACCATTATGTCTGATGGTTGGACTGATGGTAAAATAGAGTGCTAATAAATTTTCTTGTGAATAGCCCTGCAGGTACTTGGTTTTTGAAATCTATTGATGCATCTAATTCCATTAAATTAAAAAAAAGAACGTTACTATTCAAATATTTAGATAATGTTGTCAAAGAAGTTGGGAAGGATTCAAGTAATAACATATAATGCTTCCAATTATAAGAATGATGGAATGAAACTTATGGAGAAGAGGAAGAAGTTATGATGGACTCCATGTGTTGTCCCTTGCATTGATTTGATGTTAGAGATATTAGCAAAATGAAAGTTTTTGAAGATACAATTAGACTAGCCAAGCAAGTAGTGAAGTTTATTTATGGGCATACATGGGTTCTTGCTTTGATGAGATCTTTCACGAAAAATAAAGAGATAATTCGCCCTGCAATCACACAGTTTACCACTCATTGTGTTACTCTTCAAAGCATCTATAAGCAAAAGTAACCTCTTCAGGCTATGTTTTCTTCTAGAGAATGACACAATGGACCATTTGTCTAACATAATGAAAGTATTAGGGCTCACTTAACTATACTTTATGATGTTAATTTTTGGTCCCATGTTGCTTTTTTGCATCAAAAGTGTTATTCCTTTAATATCTATTTTGAGAGAAGTTGATTTAAAAGAGAGACCAGCTATGAGATTTATTTATGAGTTAATGGATGTTGCAAAAGAGAATATTACTTTAATTGAGGAAAAGTTAAAAGAAAATATAAACCAATTTGGAGAAGAATATATGAAAGATGGGGCCCACAACTTTATCAACCTTTACATGCTATTGGTTATTATTTGAACCCTCAATTGCGTTATGAAGAAACCTTTTCTAACGTTGATGAAGTGAGGAAGGGATTGAAAGATTGCATGACTAGGATGTTGTCTTTTAAGGATTGTGTGACTGATGATATCTAGTTGAACTTGTATGATGAGGCAAAATGAGAGTTTGGAGGTCGTCTTGCTGTGAATTCAAGGAAACTACGAACTCCATGTTATAATTTTTACTTTTCCATTTTAATTTGAATATAATGAACACTTGAAATAAATGTTAAACTTAATTAGATAGATATTTTTTTTTTAAAAGCAAATTGGTGGAAGCATTTTGGAAGGGACACACCTGAGTTGATGAAGTTTGCTATTCGGGTCCTTAGCCTTACTTATAATGCATTTGAGTATGAGAGGAATTGGAGCACATTTGAGCAAGTAAAGTTCTTCAGTTAATTTATTGTTCAAATTTTGATACTTATAAATCTAATTTTGTATGTTTATGTTCATTTTAGATTCATACAAAGAAAAGAAATAGACTTGAACATCAAAAGCTCAATGCTCTAGTATATGTGAAGTATAATATGGCGGTAAGAGAGAGAAGTATTAGAAGGAGGTCAAAGATTGATCTAATATTGGTGAATGAAATTGAGTCTGATGATGAATGGATAGTTGAGGTTGAAGAACCAATTCTACCAACTAATCTTACTTGGCTTAATTATCAAGAATTATATGATCTTGATGTCGTTAGAAATATGCCCACTGAACCTTATAAAACATATTTACATACTTGAGGGCTATTTCTGTGGAGCCTATTGTTGATACTAGGACTCAAAAGCGAGGGAATATTCATGTTAGGACTCAAGAGCCTATTGTCCATTCTAGAACTCAATATTCTATTATTGATGATGATCTTATTCTTGACGATTATGTTATTCTTTCCTCGTTAACTTCAAAAAAGAGAAAAGATTGTGAAACCTTAAGTAAGTATGGAAAGTAAATCATGAAGTGAAATTTACAATTAGTGTTTAACTAATTACCATTAAATTTTATAATTTTAATTCATTGTTCATATACATGGGTTAGAGGAAAGTCAAAAGCAAGTCCATAAGAACGATGCTTATGGATGAAGATGATGAGATAGATAAAGATCTTTCAACATTTGATAGTGAGAAATATCATTTTCATATTAATACAGTTGATCAATATGATAATGATGCTAGTTTGAATGATATTCGTGTTGAGGAATAGGATGAGTGAATTATATTTTTGTTTTGATACTTAATAAATATTTTATGTTTTGGGATTGATTATTATGTTTTGAATGACAATTAGTACTTATATTTGATTATATTTAAAAGATTGTTATGGTTCAATAAGAATTAGTAGTACAATTTAATTGTATTGTATTATTTATAAATTTTTCTTATTAAAATAAATTAATGTTCAAAAAGCTTACGCCTCGCATAGTGCAACTAAAACACTTCGCATCAACACCTCGCCTTTCAAAACATTGGTCTCGTTGTTCTCCATCTTTCTTCCATGGGTTTCCTAATCAGCAGGGCCGGCCCTAGGTGATTGAAGGCCTAGGGCAAAACTCTAAGAGTGTGCCCTTTATTCATAAATTAATTTTTTTTTAAAATAATTAATATTTATTCAAAGATCCTCTTAGGTTTTGAGCAATCTCTTCTTCCTTTTTCTTTCTTTATCTTTGGAGATTTTCAAAAAGTTGTTTCTTAAGAAACATTTTTGAAATTTTATCATAAACACAAGCAATCAATCAACAACAATGAAAGTAACAAAACTAATTAAATGAAGACGAAGAACAATAAAACCTTTATTTTAGATGTCGATAGGTGCTGTTGATTATGTGAGAGAAGAATCAGTGAGTTTCAACCTCTCAAAATGACTCTGTTTTCCAACTCAGTTTTGGTTTCACAGAGAGAGAGAGAGAGAGAGAATCACACCAAAAAAAAAAAGTTCTTTCAATTTCAAGAGTTTGCTCCGTCTACTTTTTGGAAAACAATTAATGTAGACTACCAAGTAGGTTTTCATAGAGAATCTGAAACGAAAAAAAATCTGTTGGCCTACCCATACGCATGCCTCTCTCTCTCTCTCTCTCTCTTGTTTTTTAAGTCTTCAGGCGTGGCTTGGGGCGGGTATGACTCTATCTCTCGCTCTCTCTCTCTTGTTTTTTTAGTCTTGGGCGGGGATGATGACTAAAGAATTCGTATTCCTGCCACTCCAATGCCATACCCATTATTTTCAGTTATTTTATTTTTTTATGAGCACTTTGAATTTTGTTTTGCATATCATATACATATATATATATATATGCGCTAATATAAATTTTTTTTTATGCCCTTCTCAATCGTGGGCCCGGGCGGTGGCCCTAGTTGCCCTGGTCAGGGGCCGGCCCTGCTAATGAGCAGCTTGTTTTCTTCTTGTGGATCATCATGCCTTTGATTGTTGCAAGAAAGTGGATCTGTAGAGCGTGTCAAAAGCTTTGCGAATCGACTTAGGAAGAAACTTGACAGAGCAGCCACAATTGTCGGTGTAGCCCTAGCCTTGGCCTTCTTCGATGGCGTGGGTGGGAACATATCTGCCAATAAGCTGTGTGTGTGTAAAATGGTCTAGAGTTAACTTTGTTATATATATCTGTGAGTCATTCCGTCCAAATGCGCTGTTAAATGATGATGTGGTCATCAATGGTCCCACATGAACTGAAAAAAAAAATTGAAAAAACAAAAAAACTTCCTCCAGCACTAGCCATCTCCCGCTCCCAAGCCACAATCCACCATCTCCGTGTCGAAATCTCCCTCAGTCCCGTTGCTCTTCTTGGACCTGCAACAGCCCCATCCCACCCACCCTCTGCCGCACCATTGCCTAGCCCCCCTAAAAACATTTCGCAGCACACCCATCCCTCCCCAAACCCATACCTGCAACCAGACCCATACCTGCAACCCATGACCACGTCAAGCACAAAATCAAACCTGACCCAAATTTGTTAAACCTCTTTCTAATAGCATGGTCTGGTGTGCTGGTTTGGGAATCTTGCCTTCAAATATGGTGATTTCATTTTGAGATGAGACATTTGTTTTGAAGGTATAAATTTGTTGGGTTATGTCTGCAATTGAAGTTCATATTGTGATTTTCATACTGATTCTTGCTTGGGATGGACTTTTGCTTGTGTAAGTACGTTTAATCCTCCACCATATCTCAACGCAAGTCGGCCATGAATTCAAGTTCCAACTCCATACGAAACAAACCCATATCTGGGTTTTCGGCAGACTTTTGAGATTATAAGAGGGAGGGGGTAGGAATGCTTTCATGGTTCATTTCCTCTGTTGTGAATCTTTGAATCTGAGCTGCTGGGTGTGTTTAGTTTAATTATTTTGTGTTTGACTAGGTATCATTGATTGAAAGGGGAAATTCCAAAGTTGTTGAAGATGCTGTTGGAGATGGTCTAAGGTGAGCCTTCAAGTAATTGATGAAAAAAAGGCAAAGTTACTTTTGGCTTTTCACAAGTGCTTTTAGCTTAGTGGGGTTATCTGATAAAAAAAATTATAATATCTAGTGTGAGAAAAACCATAACCACCAGCCTTGCCACCATTTTCTGGAGAAAGATTAGCGATTAAAAAATAATTAATCCGTCAAAAGGGGTAAATTATTAGTCTTTTGTCTTTGGACAAGTTATGGTGAAATAAGATGGAGCTGGTCACCAATCGAATCTAAAAGATCCCTTCCACCGCTTCAAAAGTCTAGGTCTACACAATGAAATAACAAAGAATCTACATCAATTTATAGAAAAACTGAGTAAGTGGTTAGAAATAAACTTGAAATGCATGTTAACTTTGTGGGGTCGAAAAAGGCTTTCGTCAATATATATATATATATATATATAGAGTTGATAATTATAGTAAATATGGACTTAGCCAAGTTGATTAGAACGGATGTGCTCTCTACTATGCACCTGAGTTCGATTCCTCCTCCTCGTAATTTAGATTAATTTAAAATAGATTATCGCTTGTATAAAATTAAAAAAACAACCGTTTATGATATGTTCATTTGATTGCATGTATATCTAGTGGAAAGAAAAGTATATACGTAGAAGGATCAGCCAACAAAAGCTCATACTTTCAATAATTACTCATTTTCATATCATAGAAACACATTGTTAGTGTTATTATTTGTGTTTAATCATTCATGGTACGTCTCTCTCTCCCTCATTCATATGTGGGTCAAGTTCATAGAACACAATGATGTATCTGTTTTAATTTTATTGAGAACAGAAAAGGTTTTCTTTTTTTCTTTTTTCGATGTGGTGTTATAGTTTTTTAGCTCTTTAGATGGTTAATTGTTTTAATCCAAATATAATAAATTCGCCCGTGATGAGTTTTATTTGGAGAACACTTAGCAAAATGGTGGTGTGTTTTTAACCTCAATTGCAGTGCGGATTTTGAATTTCGTTTGGGATTGCTTCTCTAGGAAGCACTTATGTTCACAAGTGCTTCTACTAAAAGTGTTTTAATTATCAAAACGTTTAAATTTTCTTAAGAAACCCAGTGCTTCTTGGAAAAGTATGTGAGAGTGCTTCTATAAAGTACTTTTATGACCCAGAAGCAATATTAGAAACGCTTCTGGTTGTCATAAAAAGATTTTAGTCATTCAAGAAACACTCCCAAACAGGTGTGCCATATACTAGCCCCTTGTGTAAATAATCATCAATTATACTTCCTTTCCTCTCCAACTTTGGGCAAGCACAAGAGCACATAACAGTATATGTCTTCAATGACATAAGAACATATATGTTGCCAAAATGAGTCCTTTTCCAAACTTGTAAAGCGTTGCTCGCTAGTTAAAAATTCTTGAATCTTGCTATAGTAGTGTGAGGTTTTGTTTTATATGCTCTCTTATATTCATAAATAGAAAATAGTAGACCAGTTAGGCAATGCATGTTTATTTATTTATTTAAGTTTTTCCTTGAAGTAGAAAGACTGCCCTTGTTTCATTAATTTATTTTATTTTAAGAAGGCCCCTATAGCTAATAGCTAGCTAGCTATTTATAAAAGCGCTCAGTGGCAAGCTTACTTGCAACTCTATACATGGAGAGCAGAGAGCAGCGTCACCCAGTCTACCCAACTGGCTTTGCGGTTGGGAGAGCTAGCAACAAAGTCTCGAAATGGGCTCAGATAGAGAGAACAAAAAAGAAAAAAAAGAGGTGCGTGAATGTTCTCATTATTCTCTTCTTTGTATTTTTTTCTGCGTCTGCTTGCTAGCTGTTTTGTTATACATATACTATATAATCTGCTTGCTTACAATTCTTCCCAGATTAACTGAATAATGGTGGATCATATTTGGTTAAGTTTACCTGTAACTGCCCGTAAATTCATTTATGATAGTGGCATATATTGTAAATTCCTTAAAAATTATGGACATACTAGTTGCTTATTTGGTGATCGAGTCAACTGCAATTGAAAAGGGAGAGCATGTAGACTACATCCATTACATCTTGATAAAAATGAACCTATATCTAAGAAGTCCTTGATTAAAACCCTAATATAGCTTAAGATTTTTGGCTATATATATATATATATATATAGAGTTGGTTGTCTAACTTAGTAGCCATGAATATACATATAATCATATTGTGTAGGTTAACGCAAGGATTCATTTCCTCAATGCCATGGCATACCATCTTTGCATTTCTGAATCCACTGCTAATCAACATCCTTCAAGTGAAATGTCAAGGCTCAACCAAGTCTCCATTCGACACACACCGAGGAGTCATGTGGATATTTTTGTTGGCAACGTTAGTCTACTGCTTTGCATTTGCAGCTAACATGAAATCACGCGGTAATTGCTCTACAGTCTACTCTCGAATCTCTGGCCATTTTGCTCTTCTCAGTGGATCTCTTTCCTCGGTCTCGTTGTTCTCCATCTTTCTTCCAAGGTTTCCTAATGAGCAGCTTGTTTTCTTCTTGTGGATCATCATGCCTTTGATTGTTGCAAGAAAGTGGATCTGTCGAGCGTGCCAAAAGCTTTGCAAATCGACTTCGAAGGCAACCCACTTATTAGTTCACTGCATTTGTCGTGGATTCTTCGGAAGAAAGTTGATGGAGCAGCCACAATTGCCGGTGTAGCCCTAGCCTTGGCCTTCTTCGATGAGGTGGGTGGGAACATATCTGCCAATAAGCTCTGTGCGTGTAAAATGGTTTAGAGTTAACTTCGTTAAATTAATCTTAAGGGTAACTACTGTTTAGAAACATTCTAGCTTCATGTGAAATATATACAGTCTAAATTAATCTTGTTTTCATATATACCATCTTCTTTAGGATTGTATCTGGTGTATATGCCGTTTGCATTCAATTACTGTTCTAAATAATACATATAATGACATAAATACATATCTTACGTTATTTATGTAAATAATTTATAAATATAAATATAATATAAATATAATATAAATGAATGTAACACAAAAGTCAAATGACTTAGATCAACAACACAAATGTGTGAACTTTGTTTTTAGTTTTGGATTTATCTCAAATTTTCTATAAATATATAGAAAGAAGAAAAAGCGAGGTCATGAGAAAGAGAAAATGAGTGATAAGTGAGTAATAAGTGTACGTACATACTAACTTATATTGACCTTAGTCCTAAAATAAAGTAGTACAACGACGAAGCAAGAGGCTTGGAATACCAATTGATGTAGTACAACTCGTATGTATTAGATTGAGCACTTAAACAATAGAACAGAGAAGAATATACGAGATCGAAGAGAAGAAAATATAGATTGAAAGGACGAAAGAAAGAGCATAACAATAGAACAAGAAGAATATCAGAGATGGAGGAGAAGTAAATATAGATAGAAGGGACCGAAAAAAGACATAAATCAGAGAGTTCTAGAAAAGGTTTACTCAATGTTCAAATTTGAATATTAAAGAACTACATGGGGGTATTTATAGCAAACTAAAACCTAGACATAAGACCATCTCCAACCATTTGGGTGGAAATCCAAATTTCAAGTTTTGAGTCCAAAATTCTTCTACAACCCATGTATTTTGGGGGGTAGAAATTTGAGAAAGGTGAAATTTGGGGTGGAATTCCAGTCCAAGTTTTGCCTAGATAGGTAATTTGTGTGGAGCCCAAAGCTCTGTTTTGCAGTCCATGTGAAGAGGAAAAAGAGGTGGGCCATGTATGACAACAAAACTGTTAGGCCAACATCCCTTTTGAGCGACACATGGCAGCTTCAGGAGAGAGAGAGACATTGGAAACCAACGACTGAATTTCAAAAGCTGGGGTTTGTTTTTTTTTTTTTTTTTTTTTTTTTTTTTTTTTTTTAATTTTATTAAAAAAGTTTTACTCAGTTTATATATCTAACTTTTTTATTTTCTATTATGCTTTGAAATTTTAATTTTTTAGGTTAAAATATTCACAAAATTAAATCACAAATGTTGAAACAAAAATAATGTCAAGAAAAATTAACGACAAAAAAATAAAAAATACATGAATAGTTGTATTTTGGAGGGTGGAAATTTGAGTTTAGCCTCAATATGGTTGGAGATGGTCTAAAAGGATAAAAATCCGTTGCTAAAACAGAAATCCTAACCCAAATAAAATAGGAAACTTAAAACTAGAAATATGGAAATCTGGAAAAGTAGAAATCCTACTAGAAATTGGAAAACTAGATAATCTAGGAAACTAATAAATTTAGATCCTACACGTCCTGCATCACCAATAGATCTGTCAATTTTTGAAGGTCATGTGCATTAGGCTAAGCATAAGAATCCCTTACGGATCAATATATAATTTGCAAGCAGATGTTGGGGTGTATTCAATTAAGATTTTAAAAACTATTTAGGGATTAAAAATCCAGTGGATTTAATCAGAATGTAATGACTTATAAGATTTTATTGATGGATTTGTATAATAAGGATTTTTAACTTTTGGATTTTAAAATATAATATGATAAGATTTTATAAGATTTGAAAGTACCACATAAATTTATATCATAGAATTTATATTTGAGCATGACTAAATAAGGCTATAGCCCAAACCAAAATTTGAAAGTTTTTGAAATACCTAGCCCAAACCCAAAGTTGTTATGCATAAGCGTAGACATCTTATTATATTGCTTCTTAAACCACTTCATTCGACTCAAGTAATTATTATAAGTTTTTGGAAACCTAATTTTCGCATTAAGACAAGAAAGTATCACTCTTTCTACATTTTGCTTGCTAAGTGACTCATTAGCATCACACAATCCACTATTGATAGCATCCACCAAGAGGTGCAACAACTCATTTGTATCATCCATGGTCCAAGATTCATAGTTCTCAAAAACTTTGCCATTTCCTTTGTTATTTCCTTGTTATTGATTCCCTATTTAAATTACTTACAACACATGTGAGAAACAAAAGAAAATTGAAATAAAATGAAAAGAAAATTGAAAGGTCGACTCTGCATAACTTCCAGCGAGTAATAAAACCTCTGATTGAAAATATCAACAAGTAGGTAGGCTCCACCAAAAGCACAAAAGAACAAAAAAAATAACAAAAACACAAAAGAAAAAGTAGTGTACATAATAACTTTGAGCAAGTAATAAAACCTCTAATTGAAAATATTGACAAATAAGTAAGTTTTGAAAAGTATTGTACAATAAAAAAACATTAGAAACACAAAAGTTAAAAAAAAACCCATGAATTGATTGTACTTTCAATTTATAGCAAGTAGGCTCTAGCCATTGAAATATCTGTTAGGATCCAGCAATTGAAATATCGTCTGCAAGTAGACTTCAGCAATTGAAAATATCGACCGCAAGCAATTGACATGACATCAATACAACACAAGTACAAGGGAACGTTACCATCATTCATAAACTACAAACAAGATAGAAGATTCACAGTGAAGGAAGAAGAAAGTACCTTGTTCATATAGAGCTCACGACTGCACGTCTGTTCATCTTCTAAAAAAAGAAAAAGTAACATAAATAAAAAAAAGTCTAATGGGTTGGGGATTTGAGATAGGATTTGGTATTTATACATCTAACTAAAAAGTCTTATACAATTCCATATTTTAAAAAATCCTTTGAAATTAGCAAGTTTTTTAATACCATAATATTTTTTGTTACTTGTTTAAAGTTTTGATTGAATACTACTAGATTTGGACACTTTCTTTTAAAAATCTTAATAGTCTTAATGAAATCACAAGACTTGTTTAGATTATTTAAAAGTCTTTATTGAATACCACAAGACTTATTTATCATATAATAATCTTTTAAAATCTCAATTGAACAGTTCAAAGGGGTAGTTGTACCACAACTGGCAAAGTTCATGTCACCAAATCTTCTCAATTTAGGGATGCAAGATTTACAACAGTGAACTGGGCATCGAAATGCCCCTTCTAACATGGCAAGAACACCCAACCAAAGTGACTAAACTGGATATATTGTAACACCATCTAGACCCAACCTGTTCATACTAAGTTACCAACTATCATCAAGCACCACTCTTTTTTTCGGGGGTTAAATTTAAGATACAAACTTTTAGCAAAGACGCTCTGGTCTGGTTCATTAGAGAGTAACAAAATCTCATACAACTCAGGAACTTAACACTCCCACAAGAAGGTGTACTCAGATTTAAATTGCCAAGCCAACAGCAGGACCCTATGAGCAAAACCCAATTTTAATTCAAAGATGCAATCTTTCACAGAACCATTCAATTAGAAAGAAACCCTTTTGTTACAAACTGATTTATTGCATTTTATTCATTCCCCACATTTTCCCAGCAAGCAAACAGAACACAAAACAAACATGAAGGGAGAAACAGCGAAACAGAGAAATGAAAATTAGGGGTCAAAATTACGTTTACCTGATTGAGGATAGTCCTTTTCCTTCAGCCAATCTGAGAATCAATCCCAGGGTCTACGACGTCGTCGGAAAACGTACAGCGTTGCAAAAACTATTTGTTTCCTTCCTTTCCCAATTTTTTTTCTTCTGATTTTGATTATGACCATTATCAAGGACTTCTAATATCATGTTAGATTAACATGGTCTCCGTAGGCATAGTTTTGTTGTTGAAAATAATATATAAAAATTGACCAATAGTGTATATCAAACTTGGACTTACGGTAAAAACTCCAAGGATTAATAAAATCTTGAGTATTCAATAATTGCTCAAGGATTAAGGCATAGCTCACGTAGTCAACTTACATGTTTACACTAAGAAATACTAACGTGGTGAGTGGGGTATAACTCAGTTGGTTGACCTTTTTCACCTTCAACTCAGTGAACTCTTCCACCTCTAAATGAATATTTGTGTAAACCCTCCCTCTCTCAATCGCTTGTACTAAAAAAAAATTATAATGTGTACTAATTAACAAATACGTAAGTCCTCAAATGTTCCAAGCATCAACAAGTTTTAATGATCTCATATCTCATTCCTAAATTAGGTATGCTAAATAAAATACTTAAAACTTCTGAATTACAATACTTGCATTTTTTTTTTTAGTACAAGCGATAGTCTAAATTAGAGAGGAGGAGGATTTCACAAACACACACAACTATGATGTCATAGGGGTTCGAACCTGAGATCTCTAATTTGCAAATTAAGGCCATTTTCTACTAGGCTAGACCCCGTTGGCAAAATACTTGCATCTATATAAACTAATAAAAGAATTGCATAATAATCAAAAACAAAATATAATCCGAGCTACATATGAATTGAAATGTTCAAGAGAGACGAAGCCCCTTTGGTCTTGGTGGCACTTTGAAGCCAGAGTTGATGTCTCTGTAGTTGTAAATAGGGGTGATCAAAGAATCAAACACTATACTCTTGCAAACAAGGCACTCCCTTTGAGCGCTGTAGATATTCAACCAACTGTACAAACAAGGCCAGCAATATAAATGCCCACATGAAGTCACAACTGGCTCTCTTGCCACTTTCATGCACATGTTGCAGTCAAAGTATAATACAGATCTTGGTGGGGACAATGGCACTGTCAAATAGCCCTCACCATAATCACCATCTAGATAAAGGGTTGGATCTTGATCATCATCTTGATGAACGGTTGGATCTTGATCATGACCATCCAGAGACAAAGTATAATAATGATCACTTGTGAAGCTTTCAAACTCATGTTGATCAATTTCATCTTGCACAAGCAGTGAGAAAACACTATCATCATCATCATCATCATCATCCTTATCATCATCCTCATCATCCTCATCATCACCATCACCATCCCCATCACCATCATTATGATGACAATAATCATTATGAAAATAACAATAACCAACCTCCTCCTCCTCATCATCATCATCATAATCATGATTATCCATATGTTCGTGCCATTGGCGTGCTGTTTTTGTGCCATGGAAAATCTCGTGGGGGCAACATGAAACGCATTGGTGGCTTAAGTGGTGCCCTAATTTCGTTGCTGGAAGCCATGCCCATGAATATAAAAACAAAGGAAAGCAAAAAATTGAACACTAATTAAGAACGCTTATTAGAAGAATGAATTCAACAACAAGAGAAATAGTACCTATAACAATTGGGGTTTCTATTCTAAAGAGACCTATATATATATATAGGGGGAGAGACTTCAGAATTTAAACCAAATACGATTAAAATTAGGACTAGGACTGGGACTTCTTGGTTCACAAGTTTCCAAATCCGACTGAGAAGTGACAATGTATATATACACAGTAGGCCTACTAGGATTAGTAGTTGGACTTAGTTGATAAGTTTCCAAATCCAACTTGATGAGTGACAACTTCTTTTTTTTTTTTTTTTTTTTTTTTATAAAAAAATTAAATCCTAATTAATGTAGGAAAACAATCCTTCTACAATTAGGACATTATTGCTTTCTATAAATACCTCCTTTGAAGATTAATACAACATACAGAAGTTGCTATATTTTTTAGCATCTTGAACATAAACACTCAAGACAGAAAATTGTTGAAGAAAGAATGGGAAAGAGAAAGTCGTCGTCGAGGGCAAAGCTTGTAGCTAAGAAGCCAAGGGAGAAGCTTGATACAGTATTCTGTTGCCCCTTCTGCAACCACGGGAGCAGCATTGAATGCGACATTGACATGAAGAACATGATTGGGGGAGTCTTTCTGCAGCGTTTGCCAAGAAAGTTATAGCACAACCATCACAGCTTTGACTGAACCCATAGACGTCTACAGTGAATGGATAGACGAATGTGAGCGGGTCAACACCATTGTTGCTCATGATTGTGATTCGTGCTTAGGAAGCAGATAGGGGTTTTTATTATGGTCTGTCTGCAAAACTCCATATCTTTTAACTTGTTGATGCCATTATAAATTTATAATTTTGAGACATCGCTGAAGATAACCATTGTTAATTGCTAGGAGGAGGAGGAGGAGGAAGAGGACTAGGATATCTTGGTCCACAAATTTCCAAATCCAACAAGTGACAACCATCAATTTTTTTTAAATAAATAAATAAAAAAGAAGAAAAAGAATACTGTATATATCTGTCCGATTTGGGCTAATTAAGATACAGTTGGATTTGGGCCTTTAACAAGTGAAAATACCAAGCTCTTGCATATTCGTCCTTCTAAGTTTTACTACTTAATTACACTGCAAGGTGACCCCATCAAGAACTAGTAGAAGAAAAGGGAAAGTTCAAACTTGCTTTTGGCTTTTCACAAGTGCTTTTAGCTTTGAATTCTAAATTATGGAGGGCCCAAATTTGGCCAGAAATCTAGTGGGGGTTTTTTTTTTTTTTTTTTTTTTTATATCTAGAATTGAGAATAATAATGTAGTCTGATATAAAATAATATATAGTGTGAGAAGAACCTTAATCATCAGCTTTGCCATCATATTCTAGAGAAAGATTGCAATTAAATTATAAAAAACCGTACAATTTGGGTCAAAACTAACTAATCCGTCAAAAGGGATAAATAATGCTTGATATTCTAATGACCATGTTTGAACGCGTGCACTTAAAACACTAGCTAATTTGGGCTACTAATTTAATATTTTATGACATTTTTACAGTCTTTCTGCTTTGAAAAAGTTGTAGTCAAATAAGATAGTCGAGCTGGTCACCAGTCCCAATCTACAATAAATTATATCTACCATTATAGTGCTTTTTTGAACAAGATTGATCCCTCCACCGCTTCAAAAGTCTAGGTCTATGATAAGTATTGCTATCGACACCAGTCTTTGTAGAGGGCTTTCTTATACAGATATAGAATTAAATTACACACGGAGTGGTTGTTTGATAACCATTTCATTTTAAGTTTTTTGAAAAACTGAAAATATGTTTGGTAACAAATTTTGTTTTTAGTTTTCACAAAAGTGAAATCTAGTTTTCAAAATCACCCTCTTTTTTTGCCTTTTTCTTTGAGAACCTTTCTTATTGAGAGGAGCTAAACTCACACACACTACACGGATGCTAGGACTTGAACCCAGGACCTTGCTCGAGGGCGCAATTACTCCAAATTACTACACTAGTGGATCCTTTGCAAATCACCCTTATTTTTTAAAAACAACTTGAAAGTGTTTTCGAGCCTGTTTGATAATTATTTCATTTTTCACCTTTTAGAAACTAAAAAACTTGTTTGGTAACTAATTTCATTTTCAAAAAAAGTGAAAACTGAAAACTGAACAAAAGTTGTTTGATAACTGTTTTCAATTTTATGTTGAACTTGAAAATTGCATTTTTTGGGGGGACAAATTGAAAATTTGAGATCATAGAATGAAAGTGCATATTACAAATTCGTAGTATTTTTGGTGAATTGTTTGGAATTATGATGATTTTTGTTGTTGTTGTGAATTTTGGATTTGTAGGTCCATGGCTGAACAGAAGCATCGAGCGGCCGGGTCCAAGTTCGGAGGTCCTAAGTATTGAGTTTTCGTAACTGGAGTGCATTTCATATGTAAAATTAATGAATGAAAATGAAGCGCAAAAAAAATGAAAATGAAAAACTGGAAGCACTTTCAAGTTATTTGAAAAAATAAGGGTGATTTTGAAAAGTCTACTACTAAACATGTTTTCAGTTTTCAGTTTAAAAAAAAAAAACGAATGTACTTGTTATCAAACAACCCCTTCAAGTTTTTTTTTCGGCTCCTATTTCATTTATTCATTTTATATCCCCACACATGAAATGCAGTCCAATTACCAAAACTTGGTATTTGGTACCTCTCAACTTGAACCTAGCTGCGTTTGGCCCTGGACCCAATCCAAGCCTCGGGAAATCCATATCCAAAATTCACCGAAAAATCATCATAATTCCAAAAAATTCACCAAAAAATACTACAGAAGTTTTGTAACTTCCACTTTTCAAGTTCCACATAAAACTGAAATCAGTTACCAAATAACTTTTGTTCAATTTTCACTTTTCACTTTTTGTAAAATGAAAATATAACAAACAAGATTTCAGTTATCTATTTTTGAAAAATGAAAATTTATAACTAAATTTTTTATCAAGCGAGCCCAAAGTTTACACAAAGTGAAATATATGTGTATGGTCGTCGTCATGGTAAAGTGTGTCTAGGTTAGGAAAATTTAGGAAAGAAGAGAATTTTCAAACTCTGTTTCAACATCCCCATACTCTAAACTTGGGAAGGTTGTAGCACTACTCGAGACATTGGAAAGACTAGAATACCCTTCAAAATGGATGAAAAATTAGATATGTTGAAGTCAGGTGACAAATCATGGATTTTGAAAACTTAAGATAACATTTCGCTTAAATTTTTCTTTAAGATAACAAATTGAAACTAATGTATAAGTTCAAGTGACATTTCTACAAAAACCCCAACATATTATTTGTGGAGAAGCTTCCCCCATATGATGTGCTTATCTATAAAAGCACTTAAAATCACTTAAAATGATTGTCCGAAGATTTATTGGCCTATCCAAAATAACTCTTAAAACCACCATACATGTCAAGCACAACCTCAAAGGTGAATGACAATTTGATCCAGTATAGCACTCAAATCTGGCAAAAGATGTTCTAAATTCAAATCTATAAATGGCACTTGGTGATTAAAGAAAACAAGAAAAACTGAACCCTAAAAAGATTTGTGGACCGTCTTGATCCGATATTCTACCATTAAGTTTTCCCTGCAAATTAAATATGGACCAGTCAAATGGTGACCCCTAATGGCCTCTTTGTTTATAATTATAAAAAAAAAAGCAACTATCATTTGGTTGATTGAATTAGTGGGTTTGGAACAATAAAAAATATAAAATAAAAACAAACCCCTAGCCCAATAGCCTATCAGCACTAAGTAATCAAAGTTATTCAAGAATAAGAGGAATGGATATCATATTATACTACTAAGAATAATTAAAACCCCCAAACGTGCTCATTTTCTCTTTCGCATGTGCTCATTTTCTCTTTCGCATGACCCTGCTCTCTCTTTTCTACGTATTTATAGAACCAAGCCATGTATCTCCAGCGACTTACATGCTTAAAACTTTACCTACGCTTCAAACATTAAAAAATAAACATTTATCTACAGAAACGGAGCTAGAATTGTGAAGTTGGGAGGCCGAAATAGAAAATTCAAGTATATAAAATACCTAAGTATTCAATAATTACATGTCTGGAGCTAAATATTTCTAATTGAGTCATGTATAATTTGTTTCAGAGAAAATTTTAACTTAAATTATAATTAAGTTGTTTATTACAAATTCTTTTTGTTATGTATAATATAATAAACAAGAGATAAAAATCTTAGGGGGCTAGGGCCACTCCAGGCCTAGAAGTAGCTCCGTATCTATACTCCAGGCATTAAACCTTTATCTATATTCCTTCCATATGTATAATAGTGAACCATTGGTTGAAACCCACACACCTATGCACTATAGAAGCATCAAATCAACATAATTTGGTTTGAAAGAAGCATGATTGTTGGTAAAATATAATTTGTGGGATTTGTCTGACATCTGATGACACAAATTGTAAATATATTAAATATGATGGACATATTGTTTGGCTATGCTTCCACACGACTGCAATCGAGGAACAACTGATGTCCAACATCTAAAATATATTTAAGAACACTAACTGTTATCACACATAAACTTGCGATGCATGTGTGTTTTATGATTCTAAACTCTAAACCATTTTACATATATGTTCGCACCCCACCGAAGGAAGAGCAAGGCTAGAGCTACACAGGCAATTGTGGCTGCTCCATCAAGTTTCCTCCGAGGAATAAGCCACGACAAATGCAGTGAACTAAAAAGTGGGTTGCCTTTGAAGTCGATTTGCAAAGCTTTTGGCACACTCGACAGATCCACTTTCTTGCAACAATCAAAGGCATGATGATCCACAAGAGGATAACAAGCTGCTCATTAGGAAACCTTGGAAGAAAGATGGAGAACAACGAGACCGAGGAAAGAGATCCAGTGAGAAGAGCAAAATGGCCAGAGATTCGAGAGTAGACTGTAGAGCAATTACTGCGTGATTTCATGTTAGCTGCAAATGCAAAGCAGTAGACTAAAGTTGCCAGCAAAAATGTCCACATGACTTCCCGGTGTGTGTCGAATGGGGACTTGGTTGCGCCTTGACATTTCACTTGAAGGATGCCGATTAGCAGTGGATTCAGAAATGCAAAGATGGTATGCCATGGCATTGAGGAAATGAATCCTTGCGTTAACCTACCCAATATATGCATGGCTACTAAGTTAGACAACCAATAACTATATATAAAGCCCAAAAGCTTAAGCTATTAGGGGTTAATGTGTGGCAATAATCCAACCCATATAGCTTACTCGTTACATATATTCTTTGTAATACATTGCAAAATAAAAGGGTCATGTAAGTGTTAACTCCTCCAAAAAAGTGTAATTAGATTCATTAATATCCTCTACTATAACATATGGTTTCATTTGGATTTTTTTTTGGGGGGGGGAGAATTCCAAATCCATGGATTTGTATAATATTTTAAGGTTAAATTGTTTGTTTAGACTATTATACAATATTCTATATGTATGCCAAGATGATTTGAATAAGAAACGATGAAAGAAAACAAGTGGATTTCAAATGACTCCTTGCACTTAGTCATTTCACATTCATTTCAAACGTACTACATCTAGCTACTTATTTCAAATTCATTCAATTTAACGCGGCTCTTGGTTCTGTATATCCAAATAATATCTTTCAAATCCTTCCAAATGAAGCCTATAATATTTTAGGATAAATATACAATATTCTATCAAAGCCCACCAAACATAAAAGTTCATCTTAACATGAATCTCACATAAGAACTCATGATCATCCAAAAGAGCAACCATAGTTAACCATCTGTTGAAGTGTAAAATCACTCAAAAGAGGGGTTTCACATGGGGACTAGAAGTGTCGGAGAGCAAAATGCCTAGCTACTACCTTACTATATATGTCGGTTTACAGTTGGGAAAAAGTGGAAAATGGCTAGCCTTCAACGATGGATGTTGTGAGTTAAAGATAAAATATGATACAGATCGGCCATGATCTCTCTCTTGGTAACTGTTTTGCTCAAAACCTGCCAAGCCACAATCAGGCATGACACCTTAAGTAAATCTCACACCTATTGTTTGCGTGAGCATGCCACTACTAGGCTATAAAGCTTTGTAGAATGACAAACCTATGTGCCAACGTGCGCACAAGTAAAAGTAACAACATATGATCCACCATTATTTTGCTATGCTAGGAAGAAGTAGTTGTGGGAAATTAGGTTCTGCTGTTAAAGTTGGTCTCATGACATGATCATGTTTTTTGGCCATGTCTAGGATGAAAATATAGCAACCTCAACGTACGTATATATACAGTATTGTGGTGGCATATATACAAGATTTAGTATGTAACAAAATAGGACAGCTAGTAGCAGAAGCAACAATAATACGAAGAAGAGAACTAGGAGATCATTCACAAAGTATACCTCTTATCTTTTGTTTTCCTTTTCTTCTGATGCCATTTGGAGACTTTGTAGCTAGGTCTCCCAACTGCAAAGCCAGTTGGGTAGACTGGGTGGTGCTGCTCTCCGCTCTCCATGTATAGAATTACAAGTAAGCTTGGCTTTTATAATAGCTCGCTCTTGTCGGAGCTGTCGAGCCTTGAGACTAATTAATTAAAGAAACAAGGCGGGTCTATCTAATTGGACGCTAACACCAAGCCAATGAATGTTTTATTTTTGGGTAAACGCCAATGAAATTGGTTGGATCAACTATTTATTGTAGTCTCAGTTGATACAAGCCAATGAATGGGGACTTTGGAATTTGATATCATGGAAACAAGGGTCCTGATATCAAGAATTTGGATTATTGGGTAGTGAATTACAATTTTGGCATGTTCTATGTAATTTTTGTCAGATGCGTACAAAATTAATGTGTTCTACTATATACTTAGAGCATCCACAATGATGCTCTCTATTTCTTAGCTAAAATTTGGCTAAGAATATAAGAAAGCTATTTTAGGAGCTCTTTAAAAAATTTCAACTCCAACCATACTCCCTAATTTGGAGAGTCATAAATTCTTTAACTCTTTTTTAATTGGTCCATCTTTATTATAACATAAAATAAAAAATAGTTAGCATTAAGTAAAGGTTTGAAATACTCATTAAATAAAGCAGCATTAAATTATAGGCAGCCACTAGGAGTCCTTTCTCTCTCCTCAGATTTAGGAGTTCCTAGAGGACTCCCTATTTTAGGAGGTGGATAGGGAGTGTGGTTGGAGTTGCATTTTTACGATTCCTCCCTAAAATTTGTCTAAGGAGGTGGTTTAGGGAGCCCATTGTGGATGCTCTTACCGCATTATGTCATTAAGGTCCCAAGTTTATATTGAAGGAAAATGTTATACTTGCCCAAAAGGAAATGTTAGAAAGAAAGTAAAATTGATGATTATATTGAAGGAAAATGTTATACTTACCGCATTATGTCATTAAGGTTCCAAGTTTAAAATTCTCAGCCCATTGTTGAAAAATAATACACTTATTTGTTGAAATATCCTTTGGGGTTTCGAAATTGTCTCAAGTTGCCCCCCTGAAGTTTATAATGACTCAACATACCCCCTGAACTTCCACTATGTGACCAAGGTTGCCCAATTCCGTTAGTTTTTAGATAAAAATCGTGAAATCCACTAACGTGGTATGGGTATTTTGGAAATTTTAACTATTAAATATTAAAAATGCTTGAAATTATTCAAAATCCAATATTTAAAATAATTAAATAACATAAAAATTAAAAAACAAAAATGAATTAACACAGCCCCCAAGTTCTGCATCATCTTCTTCGGCTCCATCGTACCACCACCCTAATGTACACCCTAACCACATCAACAGCCTCCCACCCATAACCACCAAACTGATCTTCCCACACAAACACAGTCGCTGAATTTCAATTCTAATCTCCAGCCGTCTTAACCCAACACTTACCCCTGTCATGCGAGGTCCAATTGCCCCACCCTCTATGAAAACCCCAACCTAGCCACAGCTCCCCTACGAGATCCATTCAACCAAGGTGGAGCAGCTTGGTTGGTAGGCTGGAATGTGGAGTGGCGTTGTGGTTATGGAGTGGGGGGAAGAGAGAGATGTGCAAAGACGGATCTAAAAAAGAGGTAAAGGAGGAAAAAAGGGGAGTGTTAAGGATTGTGGGCCCATTTTTATTTTCATTTTTTAATTCTCACATAAAATTGAACTAAGGTTAACCATAGGACATGTGTTACCTTTTAAGGATAGTGATGAGCATACACCTTTGGTTAATTGTTTTTTTTTAATGCCGTTAATGTGGTGAGCAAAAATGCTCTCATTACAAGTTAGTATCTAAGCTAAAGTTGGGATGGCAACCGGCCGGTTAGGGGTCGGGTATGGCAATACCATCCTTGACCCTGCTCCCCATCTTCGGTCTCGTCCTCACCCCCATCCCCAGTATGAAATTTTCGAGGAATCTATGTCATTGTCAGGGGATTATATCCCAAATCTGGCCCGAATCCCTAATTATATATTTAAAACAATATAAAAACTATCCATCCATATTACACTTCAATTTCACCTTAAACTATCATTAACTCAATTAAATTAAATTGAACTATAAAATTTCACTCAACTTCTCAAATTCATCTCAATTCAATTTGACAAAAATAATAAAATCATATAATTTTCTTTGAGAAAATGGGATAAAAATGAATGGAAATAATACAACATATTGTTTTCATTGACAATTCATCATCAAGATGAATGTCCTCACTCAATGGAAAACGAAAAAAACTTGCGCAAGAAAAGGATATGTGGTTGTACATACAGCTGCTGTATAGCGGCCATGCTACTTTAACTTTAATAGATTAATTTAGCTTAATATTATTTAATTAGTTATTTATACATTAAAAGTTTTTAATTGTTATATTATATTATGTTATATCTATTTGTTAATTAAAAATAAATACATTATTTATTAGGTCGGGTTTGGGGATGGGGATAATAATACCATCCCTGGTCCGTCTCTGATTGAGTATTTTTTTTAAATATGGGATTTTCGTACTCGCCCCCGTTTTCCCATGAAATCTTCCCCATTAGGCAGGAGACCCGATGGGGACTCGACCCGACGGAGATTTTTGCCATCTCTAAGCTAAAGTGACTAGTTAACTATTAATATACTGATACTTCTCAAGATTTTATTAGAGGATATCCTAAATTTGGACTTCATCATTCCAAACAGAAAGAAATAAGAAACATAAAAGATGAAGTGCCCAGGTAACTTTTTAACATCACCTTATTACACTATCTTCCTATCTCAATATCCATTTGCAAAATCTTCCCCTATATAGGGCTCTTTATAGCGTGGACTGATTTTGACTATTGTTATTTTCATCCCACTTGTCATTCATTTGAGGATAAACTCTAGTTCTATTATCTCATCAAAAATTATATCTTACAAGCTCTTACTTTCTTCTTTGTCACTCATCACAAGGTATAATTTTCTTTTTATATTTAATCACATTATTTAATGACAAGTTTCGTTCTTTTCAACTTTATTTTTTGCTTTGTGTGAGTATTGCTATGAGAACTATGCCACCATTTGATTCATATTTTGAGGTTGGGTGATATGTTGTGCATAAAAAATTGTGATAGTATGATGAAAGATTGCAATGTATTGCTTAAGTTTCACTAGCTAGGCAAGTGCCACTCAAACATCCATTTTCTTATCTCTTATCTAAAAGCATTTAGTCGAAGAAATTGAATGATATGATAGACGAGAGCCAATAAATCTATGGATTAGTGAGTTTAGATGGTTGTAGAGTGGTGAGAGGATAAAGTAGGATTACTTCATTTTTCTTCGTACTCCAGTCATTCAAAGTCTTTTTGCAGAAGGGTAAACCTGTCATTAAATGAGTGAGTGGGAAAATATGACATATTGGTGGAATAACAACACTCCTCATTTTTGGGCAAGTCTTTTTTTCTCCCAATTGCTAAGCTTGTTTTTTCATGTTCCAACCATTATGAATAACAGTCATCATGATTAATCAAATTATTTATCCATTACTCTAAATGATTTATAATATTGAATTATCTTCATATATAAAAATGAAAATACTAATCACTGAGCACATTAATCCTTCTCTCCTTTGCTAACCCAAGGGTAGCAGATATGCTAAAGTATATGACCAGAACCTGTTCCCCTAAAAAACACAAAAATAGTATGATCATTTTCCAGTTCCTGTGTTATGTATTATATATCTATATATATATATATATATATATAATTATACCCAATTTGTCTGCTTAATAAATTCTAGCTACTATAACTTAGACAATAGGTATAGGAGGGCTGAGTTTGAACAACTGGATGAGATCATTGTCTGCAGGCAAATTGAGAGGTGGCAGAGAATACTGGCTGTAAGTGGAGCTGCCTCTTCTAATCTCTTGCATGGTCAGCAGAGCTGCAACTGTGTTCCTAAATATTCCTTCTCCAGCAACTGTTATGGCTTCTTTCACTTCTCTTTTTCTCTCTTCTTCTTCTTCCTCCACTGGGAACACTGCATCTATGGTGTTTTCGCATTCCTTGACAAGCTTTGAGATGTTGTCAGTTGTAAAAAAGGGCTGCTCCAGAATTTTTGAATGAATGGCAAGCGCAGTAGAGCACCTGTTCTCTTATCATACTTCTTCAATATTTTAGCTAATCCTACAAAATTCAAAAGATAGTGTAAGTGTGTATCCAATCATGAAGGTAAAATTTTTCATTCCACTATGGCTTTACAAGGACTGGTTTTAACTGAAGTTCCATTCATGATTCATCCAAAATGTATATATACAACCTGTGAACGGTAAATGTTAATCACGTTATGCCTTGACATGGCAACGATTCTGAACCGGCGTTAATTGGTGTAGAGAGACTTTTATCTACAACGCGAATTATGCTACGAACAGTCGCCCATGCACATGTGGGCGACTGTCTGTAGCTATAGCATCCCTTTTTACAACACTCAGATACCATGTCATCGTGTTGATTCAACGAGTCAACAATAAAATGACATGTGAACATTATTGGTAGGACCCATTTAAATTTGAATTCAAATTTCGTAGGACCACATGATAGAAATGATATTGGTCCCACCAATACTTTCTCGTGAGTATCTATTACGGTCCACATCAATCAACGACTAGCAAGTTATTCATAAACGAGTAATGCTACTATTTTGTTAAGTGTAAGTACTTCTTTGTTAGAAAAGTCTAAACTTAATCAAAGTTTAAAATTGACGAAATGAAAATGATAGCAACTGGATTGTAACTTCTTCAAGGTTTGCTGTATAAGTATTGGAGAATGAGGAGCTAATTAGCTTCATCAGCCATGGACTACCTGTGTAATTGATATTGCTGTAGTTCACCAAGAGCACCATTTCGCCGTGGAAATCAACAATGTCTTTCCTAACTTTTCCCACTTCTTCTTCATATATAGCCTTTGAAGGCTGGCTTCCATTCGAACCCCATCTATCAATCACCTTTTGAATTCTCTGCTGTAATTCCTACACATATATCCTGCAGTTAGTTTTTTATTACAATAATAAAATAAATAAATAAATAAATAAACTATTCAAAAACTTCCATCCAAAATTGTAACTCATACTTTTAGCACTTATCATTTAGCTTCTAGCAACTCAAATTGAACATTATATTAATTTTTTTCTTCACACACATGATGATGTCCATGAAACTAAAATGAAGTGCTAATAACACTTGCCATAAAAGATATTTCGACTCTATAGTAATAAGTCATTTTCAACCCTTTCCATGAGTTGGACCCATAATGTAGTGGAGCTAAAGTGATAGATTTTTTGTAGGACCCATAAGAGCTTCTTGATCATTTTGTGTCACGTTTATAAAAAAATTCTTAAATTCTAATTTTAAAAAAAAATTTGTTATATTTACTGATTACATTGTTGGTCATGCTCACGTCATTTATAGACATGTAATTTGCAAGTAGATGAATCTTTATATTTATAAAGAATTTAAGAAAGAATGTCATTAGTAAATGCATAATTACCAATTTTCCCTTATAAAAAATGAAAAGAAAAGGTAATCGTCTTTCTTGGAGACATGTTTGTTTCCAACATTCTAAGGACAGGATAATTAAGATAAAATTCTTAATTGAGAATTTAATTGCTTCTAGATGTTAACTTAAGACTCTTGGGATTAATTTTAAAACAACGTTCATAGTGGGACCCAGATTTTTAATTTATCTTAAACTTTGATCTTAGCAGCCTTGTGGTAGCCGGCAATAGTCCCACCTTTAACCGAGTTATCCTGACACAGTCCATACCGAGTCAACTCTACTGAGTCAACCAAAACCAGGCAAACAAAGTAATGTTGGTCTCTCACTCAGACAAACCATGTATGCATTAAAACTGTACATAGCAGATCTCACTAAAACCCTGTTTGGAGACAGCAGAAAACTATAACACAATCAAGAACAAAAGCATACCTTATTCCGGATAATGAAATCCTCCTCCTGCTCCACAAAGAAAGCATTGAACTTGTCAATCTCATTGTTCAAGAGATACACAAACTCAGCCTCAGCCTTGCCATACTCCAATGATCCATTCAACAACATGGGCGCTGCAGAAGCAATCAGCTTCACAATCTTCTTCAAATGCTTATACGACAAGAACTTATCGCGCCAACCGGGCAAAGTCCCCTGCATTTGCTGCTTCAATCTCTTCCCAAACTTCATTGAAAACTTGGCCTTGTTACAAAATTTAGTTGTTTTTTCAGACCCAAAAAACCAAAAACCAGAAGAATTTTTTTTTTTGAGAGTGTAAAGGAGTGAAGGGTTTGGTAGTGGGTAGGAGGAGAATTGGGAAGGTTTTTATGGGGAGGAAGGTTGGTAGAATATTAGGGAGCATATACTTGGCGTGATGAAGTGGCTGTTGGAAAAAGGTATAGATGAGTCGTCTAAGTAAAAGAATTCTTGAGCATATTCGGTTTACTGTGTTTGGTCATAGTTATGAAGTGTTATTATTTATGACCAATAGGACATTGACTCCCTTTATTATTTATTTTATATGATGGTATTGTGCCAAATAATATGCCAGATTATTGCAGCAACTAGGTCATCAAACGAAGGAGGAGGATGCACTACAATGCATGTGATTGGTGCCCTAGAACTTGTCAAGTGGGGTCCATTTTATAGTTGTAGATTTCTTATTGGTGCCGTATACTTTTCGAAAGTGGGTCCAAGTTATTGATCGTAGGGTTTGAGATGAGACTAGCTGTCACTTCAGAATTGTTTAGTTCTTAACACCAACAAAAGAAGAACAGTGGTGTGGGGGAGAAGGGTTTTGAGGAGAGGATGATTCTTGGGAATCTTCCGAGGATCGAGTATGGAAAAGGAAATAGGGACTATTCTAGTAATGTGACTTTCGAGAAAGTATGGCAAAGAGACCAAAGAAAGGAGTGTGTTGTTGACCTTGGCAAGTTTGTGGTGATGACTTACCTCTATGAAAAGTTGATTTCTACTATACCAACCAGGAGTGTAGCTCACAAACGTGGCCATGGTTTGGGGCTAGGGTCACAAGGTTTGAGCCTCGTTCAGGCTAAGGTCTAATGATTTAGGCTCGAGAATTGAGTCCGATACCTAGTGTTGGAGACTTTGTGTTTGAGGTCCAAACTCAAATGTTCGGGTTTCACGCTTGGAGCATGATACTGAAGCTCCATACTCAAAATGAAAACTAAATGCCACTAGATATTCTTTAACAAAATGAGATATAACAGTTGTTGTTAATGTATGTGTGTGTAGGATGAAAATCCCAAATTCAAAAGCCTAGCTAGGCCATTTTGCCCTAATCTTCAATCTCATCAATGCCATCATCTTTGATTTATCTTCTCATGTGAACAATTTTGTGCAATTTCTCCTTCGAGTATTTTAAGATGGATAAATTAGGTTGAAATTTTGGTTTAAGGTTTTCCTTAATTTTGTATATTTGAATGGTTTCTTTGTGACATGAGGTTGACTGAGTTATTTATCATATATTTTACAAATGTTCAATATTATATAATCAATTAGCTCCTGATTTAGTGGTACTTCTCTTCTCAATATTAAAAGAGCTCTCAAGTTCAAAACTCCAAAACCTATACTGATTAAAAAAAAACATTTTATACCCTTTTTAGGAACATAAAAGTTGTTTGTCGGTAACAAAATTCACAAAATGTTTTATTTAGATAAAATTCGCTAAGCGCCTAATTTGGATGAACTTCACTGATAAGCTAATGCGGAATATGACTTAAAGTGTAAGTGAAAAAACGTAATTTGATCCAAAAATTTCATTCGAAATAGAAATTGTTTTTGATTGAAAAAAATATAAATTTTTAGTGTATGATTAATGATCGTAAACTTAAAGAGTGTTAAAAATAGCTCTTCAATTTTTTTGTTTTTTTGGAGAAAACAAAATTAGGCTTCCGGGGATTGGTGATCGACAGTTGACAGTTTACGCACCGGAAAAGTCTACCATCTGTCTACCTGAGAACTCAAATTCGTCTCGGACCCCCGAAACCCGCATGTCACAACCCGAAATTCCCTCCCAATTTCTCTCGCCATTTTCATCTCTCTCTGAACAAAAAAAACATGTCGAATCGAAACCCTAAATCCCCTTACGATTCGCTCATGACTCAGGACCAACTCATTGACTCGCTCACCTCCCACATCTCTCTCTACCATTCTCACTCCAATACCTCAGACCTCAAACCAAACCCTAACCCTAGGTCTGCAATTCTCAAATGGTTCTCATCTCTAACCGTCCACCAGCGCCAAGCTCACCTCACCGCAGTGGATTCGAAGTTCGTACGGATCCTCATCCAAATGCTCGGCAAGCTTCGCACCAATAGCCATGGCTTCTTCATCATCCTCCCTGACCTCCCCTCAGGTGACCTCCCCACCCTCTGTTTTAAAAGGTCGAGTGGGCTTCTGTCTCGGGTTTCCGAGTCGAACGAGCTGGAGAGGAGGATATTCGAGTCGACTCGGTTGTTTGCGTCGAGAGAAGGAGAGAAGATTGAGGAATGCTCGTGTTCAGTGAAGGATCTCGATACAGTGTCGGTGAGCGAGGGTTTGGTTGAGAATGTGGATAGGTTTGTGGCGGTGATGGATGAAATATCAAATGGGGGCTTCTTGAGAGGTGAAGAGAGTGACTTGGGATTGGATTGGGTCGAATTCAAGTGGTTGAAGGACAAAGGGTATTACAGTATGGAAGCATTTGTGGCAAACCGGCTGGAGGTGGCTTTGAGGCTGGCGTGGCTGGGTTGTAGTAATGGGAAGAAAAAAGGGGTGAAGCTGAAAGAAAAGATGAGTGCTGCAGGCTTGGCGGCCAATGTGTATTGGCGGAAGAAAGGGTGTGTGGACTCGTGGGGAAATTTGGATTCAGCAACAAGGAGGAATGTATTGACTTCGGTGTTGGGAAAATCAGCGAAACCTTTGGTACATTTTCAAACTTTACGTTTTATAGTATTAACTTTTTTTTGGACGATATTGTGTAAAAAAATGTAATAGATTCTGAATGATTGTTTGATAGATTAGGTTTGAGTTATTGTGTTAACAAATTGGTAATAAAGAAAGGTTTAAAAAGATTGATGCATTAATATCCATAAACTGGAGTTCTCAAAATGGAAAATCTTTATACTGCAGGTCACATTCCGGTGTTTGATTTTTCAGATATTTTTGTTATTTTAGCTTGACGTAGTTCATTTTAAATTTAGATTCTTGAGATTCTGAAGGGGACAAGTAGTGAGGTGGGGGATGAAATGTGGCTCTTCAATACAGGAGTAGAACAGCCATTGAGGTACAACCATAATGTATCTACGCGAAAGACTGTTCCAAAACTTGTGGCTGACACTGAATTTGGGTCAAGCATTATCCCTGCTTCTCTTTCTGGGGAATCTGCTTCCTTAGTCAGTGCCTTTAATAATCTCGTTTTGCTTCAGGATATAGTAATGATGATATCCTTATGTCGCCATAGTGAATATGATAAAGGGAAACTCTTCTATAGCACGTTGAGTTCAATTTCTACCATTTCTGATTTTATACTAAGAAAAGTACGTGGATTTCTTATGGTTATTTTGCTTGACTGCACAAAACTGGAACTTTTAGCAGAGGGTGACAAATCCTTACCTAAGAAATCAAAGGCAAAGCCTAGTGCTTGTAGCCGAAAAAGTAAGGGGAGGACCCGCAATATGAAAAGGCCAAATTCTGGTCCTAGGCCGTGCACAGATGATTTTTTGTGTGAAAAGTCTCTCAAGGTACTCTTTTAGTTCGCTGATGTTCTTTTGGATGCACCACACATTTTGTGGATAGTTTTAATTGCTTCAGTGTTATGCCAGGATCTTAATTGTACATTGGCTCATAAAGAGAAGGCGGATTCGGTGGAGTCCAAGAAGATGCATGGAATACATCAGGAGACCAAGACTTTCAAAGAGGCATCATCATCGAAAGATGAAATGGTTATTCTAGTTTTTTAAATTTGGATCACATTTCTCATTGATGATTTGAATGGTTTGTAACTGGTAGCTTGTCATCAGGATCATGCACAAGCACTGTTTGTTGCAAAAGCTCATACTGCTGCAAGGAAGGGTAGGAAAGATAAAGGAAAAAACAAAACAACTGGTTGTAAGAATGCCGTTGATGTGAGAAAATTTGAAAGATCAGTCATGGAAGCTTCTTCTTCCTCTGTCATTCCTGAAGATTACACTGCAAAGTGCGATCCCATTTCTGGTGATTCAGCCTTCCAGAACATCGCAGATTGTTCAGCTAGTTGTAACATCCTTGTGACAAATTCGATTCTTCCTTATTCTGCAAATGGGCCGACTAAGGATGAGGATGCCACCCAAAGCATTCAAGAGAATTATATTATTGGTTCTAGTGCAAGTTTCTGTTGTAGGGTTTCAGAAGATTACCAGTCATCAGACAATATTACTGAAATTCAAATTAAATCTACCGGATCAGAAACTGGAAATTGTGAAATAGTTGGAAATGTAATACCTTCTGTGCCTGTGGTGGATGATAATGCTTTTAGCCATAAGGATATTGACTTTCAGAACACACATGTTGGTAAATCTGCTGTAGAAGACGTCTCGCCAGACAAAGCAATAAGAGCTGCTGATATAAAAAAGGAAGCTATTCTGTTTCAGGACCGAGAGCATGGAAATCCTATATGTGATACTGGAGCTTCAAGTTCTTTTGAATGCCTTCCATATGAGTGGCCTGGTGTAGCTTGTGCCTATTTTCCACCTGTCAACTCACATCTCCCACCTGCCACTGACCGATTGCATCTGGATGTTGGTCATAACTGGCAGAATCACTTTCGCCAGTCTTTTCTACCCTCGATACATCAGGCGAGAAGTTCTCCAATTCAAGGTGGGTGTAATCCAGTTCTGACTCGACCATTGCCAATGAGTTTAGATTGGCCTCCAATGGTTCGAAGTGCTCGCGGATTGGCTCTGTCCCGGACCTGTAATTATGATTCTGGATTCTTCTCAAAGAAGCAGTGTAGTTTTCCGCAGGGTTTTTCCACCCACAGTGTCCAGATTAATACAACAATGGACAGCGAAAGGAGGTATTCTTGGGATTGCACAGACCTGCCTGATCCAATAAGGGCACTTGAACTAGCAGATGAATATGACAGCCACTGGATATCAGAGGATGAAGTTGAGGTGCAAGCATTTTCTGGGGTAGACTATAATCAATACTTCGGTGGTGGTGTGATGTACTGGAATCCTTCTGACCATCCAGGGACCGTTTTCTCTCGCCCTCCTTCCCTTAGTTCTGATGATAGCTCATGGGCTTGGCGTGAAGCTGACATGAATAGGGCTGTCGATGATATGGTTGCATTTTCGTCTTCATATAGTACAAATGGTTTGACTTCACCTACTGCTTCTTTTGTTCTCCTTTTGATCCTTTGGGATCAGGAAACCAAGCTCTTGGCTATGTTATGCCGGGGAATGAAGTACCAGGCAAGGTGCTACATTCCTCATCAACAATGACAGACACAGCAGCAGATGAGGAATCGTCTGGATCTTTGGCTGATGTAAGTGGTGATGTTGAAGGGAAGACAGGAGATTCACTTCCTTATCCCATTTTGCGGCCAATCATCATTCCAAACATATCAAGAGAAAGGTCAAGAGAGTTTAAGCGTAGTTATGATCGTAAAAGCCCATGTGTTCCTCCTGCTAGGCGAGAGCAACCTCGGATAAAGCGGCCACCATCACCCGTGGTGCTTTCTGTTCCACGGGCCCCCCGACCACCTCCACCCTCTCCTGTGAGTGATGCCAGGAAACACAGGGGCTTTCCAACTGTTCGATCTGGTAGCTCCAGCCCAAGGCACTGGGGTATGAGAGGATGGTTCCATGATGGAGCTAACTTGGAGGAAGCTTGTTTGCGCATGGATGGTGCTGAAGTTGTTTGGCCATTAAGAAGTAATAATATTTCTGGCCGTCCATTGATTCAGCCTCTTCCTGCACCTTTGTTGCAGGATCGACTGATTGCTATTTCTCAACTAGCACGTGATCAGGAACATGTAAGCATCTATGTTATGAGCTTAAATTTGCGTTGATGTTTTGGAAGCCCTTTCATCAGATGGTATTTTCATTGTACAGCCAGATGTTGCATTGCCCCTACAACCGCCTGAGTTGCATAACTGTCCTATGAGGAAGGCGTCTCTTTCTTTGATGCACACCCTTGTCCACGATGATATTGATTTTTTCTGCAAGCAGGTAGAATAGTTGATCGGTCATCATTGGTTTTATCCCTTCTTACTGTCATCACTAGCTTTTATTTTCAAGTTCTCCAATCAAATTGTTTGTCAAATATTTGTAGCCTTGACCCTCTTCCATTACATTCTACTGAATGTTTGATATGATGGATTGAAGGTTGCTGCAGAGAATATGGCTAGGAAGTCCTACATCAATTGGGCTGTCAAGCGGGTTACAAGGTCTCTCCAGGTGCTTTGGCCCAGGTCCAGGACAAACATATTTGGTTCAACTGCAACTGGTTTGTCACTTCCAACAAGTGATGTGGACCTTGTGGTTTGTCTGCCTCCTGTGAGGAACCTGGTAAAGACTTTATTGATCTAATCTCTCATTTACATAGACAACTACTTTCACAGAAAAAAAACTTACGTGCAGATATATTTGTAGGAACCCATTAAAGAAGCTGGGATATTGGAGGGCCGTAATGGTATTAAAGAAACATGCCTTCAGGTATGTTGTACATTACTATTGTAGTGGAAGACAGTTCATGTGATTCATTTTGTCTATTGGATGTCTGTGTACTGAAACTGATTGGTTTTCCAATAAATGAAGGAAATTGTGTTGTACACTAGCTTGTCACTGTTTCAAAGCAGTAGATGACCATTATTTTTCTTTACGAGCAGTTTATGGGCTTACGAGCTTAATGTGCATGTATGTACACTCAAAGAGGCTGCATAAACTTGGACACTTCACACTCTGTTCCTGTTGGAACATTTTGAATTTTGAATCCTATTTTGTTATTAAACTTTTATCTAATTTAGTTCCATGTTTTTTACATCTTATAATAGAACTTCACTATACCGGACCAGTTTTCCTGGATGCATCCCATGAACAAATAAACATTGTTTTGGTTATCTGATTTGTTCCCTCCTGTTTAGTTGTTACAGTGCCATTGATACCTATAATTGTTTTTCCTGTTTCCTGGGTGACACTTATTTTGATGTTCCAGCATGCCGCCAGGTATCTCGTCAATCAGGACTGGGTAAAAAATGATTCGCTCAAGACTGTGGAAAATACAGCTGTAACTCCTGTTCTTTTAAACCTTTTGTTTTTACTTCTCTTTCATTTAAGCTTCTGTTGTTTTCATGGATTTTCTTACTGTTTCCTCTTTGGTCTTAGATACCTATAATAATGCTTGTGGTGGAAGTTCCCCGTGATCTCATTGCCTCTTCTGCCTCCAATGTCCAATCCCCAAAAGAAGAGCCACCTCACATGTCGGGTGAGCAAGGCAGTCATGTGAACTCTAGTGTGGTTGCTTTAGAAGAATCTGCACTGCCTAAATGTTCACAGATAAATTATGATGCTACAAATGATTCAGTATCAGTTCGTATTGACATCAGTTTCAAATCTCCATCTCATACAGGACTCCAGACTACAGAGCTGGTCTCTCTCTCTCTCTCTCATGTGTGTGCGTGTGCATACATGTATTGCATTTTGTGTGTGAAATATAGCACTCTCTACTTCCATCTTCTGGTATTATTTAACTAAAGATTTCTACAGAGGTTGGCTCAAGTATTCTCTCATGTTGCAAATTAACGAGATGTAATGCTGACAGCTTCTTGACTTATGTTGGACCTTTATTCAATAAGTTAGTTTGAAATGTTCCAAAGAGTGTCACCCAAACACACAATATCCCTCTCTCAAAGATATCTGTTGTCAGAATGCCAAGTCTTGCTGGACAACACCTAAGTGTTAATAAATTTCATTAGATTGTTGCATCTGTGCTAAAATGTGCCTTTATGTTTGTTGATACATAATTCCGGGCTAGTTTCTTGCAAATTGCTATTTGTTCGCAAATCCATGTCAATTGTATGCTAGTGGGTTATATTATGCTTATTTGACCTTTGTGGTTGGAGTCCCTTAGCATCCATTCTGTGCAGAGTCCTTTTGGATCTCAGGGAGGCCTTTTTATTTATTATTTATTATTTATTTATTTATAATCTCTTCTCTTGAGGCATTTAATTATAGTTTAAAATTTATTATTTGCATATGAGAATAAATTAAATGAAACTTTTGTGCCACTAAATATCTCTGTTATTCTTACCATTTTGGATAGTCTACAATTTTCTTTTCTTTGTGATTTATCCCTTAGGTTTTTCTTTAATATATTTTTTAAATATATTTTATTGAGGCGCTTCTGTTGGCATTTATAGATCAAGTTGAAGACTATTATATGTTTCATTCTTTATATCTTATTTTGCACTTTTGTTGACATTCATAATTCATGTTGTAAACTATTATATGTTTCATTTATATTTTATTTATCTTTTATGAACTGTAGTTGGTCGTTTGCAGGTTAAGGATCTAACAGAGCAGTTTCCAGCTGCTGCACCTCTTGCTTTGGTACTGAAACAGTTCTTGGCAGATCGTAGCCTGGATCAGTCTTACTCTGGTGGCTTGAGTTCCTATTGTTTGGTGAGTAATGCTACTTATTCCAAGGCTTAATATTAAAAAAATAATTTGATTTGAAGTTTTTGATTTCACCATGTCCAGTTGGGACAGATGTTATGCGGAACGTTATGCGTTCTCAATGAATGTGCTTTAATACTTCTTATTAGGCAGGCTGCTAGTAGAATTGAGATCTCTAATGCTTCCATAAGAAAGTATTGAAAATTTGATGCTTTAATCTGGCAGCATCCAGATCAAGGCCTAAATTATAATGCATTATGAACGTATAGAAAGTGCAGTTTGATGACCAGTCATGACTAACTCAAGTATAGGAAGCATAAACATGACAAGAGTACTCAAGCAACACATTGCATGTATTGGCTTGCCAGTTTTTCTTGATCCATGTCATTGCCTAACTTTTAAACATAATGCACGTAACGACCTACTGTCACATGCTGTTATTGACTGTTGGAGGAGGGTGGACAGTTGCGTTGGCTCCTCTTAACTATTGTGTTTTGTAACCAGTGATTCTACATAAATATATTTTAAATTTTGGAAGTTGGCTGCTTTGTGTACCTGGATTTTGTTTCTAGACATCTCGTAAAAGAAAAATGCAAATAATTCAGTATATCCTTTACAGTAAATAAGTCGTGTTTCTCACTCTTTTGTTTCAGGTATTACTAATTATACGTTTTCTCCAGCACGAGTATCATCTTAGCCGACCTATCAACCAAGTAAATCTCGATTTTCAAGTCTAAATTTGCTTTGTTAGTATGTTTTGTTTTCCCTGGGATGATATATTCTACAAGTATTGTGGAGGATCTTTGAACACCATAGACATGCATCAAATTAATGTGTGACATTGGTAATACCTTTGTTTTTTTTTCTTTTCCAATTGAATATCCAAGTAATGTGCATAGATTGAATGTTCCTCTCAGTACTGTTCATTATTGAAGTTCTGCGTGGTTGCATTTAATTGAGGGTCTCATTTTCCTTAAATCTCAAGAAAACCCAATTGTGTGCATCACTTGGTTAGAAATGGAGGTATCCTTTGCATTTTGTATAGATATTCAAATTTCATGTGGCTGGGTTAAGTTCAAATTTCTCATTCAATCTTGTTCTTTTTGCCCTTTTTTGTTTCTCAGTTTTGCTGATGATTATTACTAGATTGCTTTCACTTAACCACTACATTAATAATCTTGCAGAACTTTGGAAACCTTCTGATGAATTTTCTTTATTTTTTTGGGTAAGCCAACCACTAATAAGGATTTTTATTTCTTTTTCTAATGATATAGGAGTGCAAGTGCTTCTTGGAATTCACTTTTCTATAAGGGAAAAATTGTTTAGCTTATTCTAATATGATTTAAATTACATAGTGATTGTTTGACATTTGATCTCTATCTCTCTCTCTCTCTCTCTCTCTCTCTCTCTCTCTCTCTCTCTCTCCCCCTCTTCCAGGAATGTGTTTGATCCTCGCCAAATGCGTATATCAGTACAAGGAAGTGGTGTTTATATTAAGAGGGAAAGAGGTTGCAGGTAATACTATCACCCTCTGTTTTTGTTATTCATGCATGACAGATGAATTTCTAAAATTTCATCCATTGCTTATATCTTGATATTCTACTCCATGTAGCATTGACCCAATACACATTGATGATCCTCTTTTCCCAACTAATAATGTGGGGCGCAATTGCTTCCGGATACATCAGTGTATCAAGGTAAGCTGTGTTCTTTTGGATTAGTTATCCTGATATTTTTCAGATATATTCAAGGCTTATGTGATAACCTGGTGTTTGTCTTTAGCTAGCCGCTACATATGTCTGTTTCTTAATTTCAAGACTATCGTTGGATGATGCAGGCATTTTCAGAAGCATATTCTATTTTGGAGAATGAGCTTGCTTCTCTTCCCATTGATGATGGTGATTTATGTTCAAGACCCTCATATAGACTGCTTTCTAAAATCATCCCGAGTATTGATCTATCATAGTGATGCTTATTGCATGGAAAGTTGTATGCCTTTGAAGGTAATCTTAGAGTTTGACTCTTTTTTTTTGCTTCACTTTTTTTCTTTTGATTTTTCTCTTTTATTGTGGATGGTGGGTGTGAATTGACAATTTCAATCGGATTAGTCTTATGTTAATCTAGGGGAAATCTAAATCATTGATCAAGCTAAGGTGTTCTTTTGGTGCGAACCGGAGGTTGCAATATGGTAGGTATCTTTGGTTTTGATTCTCTCCCTCTCTGTCTCTCTCTCTCTCTCTCTCTCCCCTTTGTTGACTCTCTTTGACCTAAATATTTGTGTACCAACATTTGCTATCATTTTGCTTAAATTTGAAGCTGTACCACCTCTTTGCTTTGAATGGTTACATCACAGACAAACCCTTGAAGATGCAAAATGACTTTCCTAGGTGATACAGAGGTTTTGGAACTTTATTGATGACTAAAATTTTAGTGGATCTAACAGAGGTGGAAAGTTTTGAAGTTCCAAGTGGAATTCATTTAAAAATAGAAATTTTCAACAGTACAAAGATTATTGTTGCTTGGTTTTTAGTTTTGAAGGTGCACCATTTAGGCTTTAGAAAATGGTATTGCATCTTAAAATGGAGTTTTCTGTCAAGTTGTAGTGACCCTAACCTACTAATTCCATGTTGGGTTTGTGGCGTTTTAACTTGTTGGGTTGAAAACTGCGACCCCTAATTTTGGGCACCTAGCATGATTAAATTTTAGTTAATTATGTATGGGTAACCACGTAAGTTTACTTGATTTTGTGCTTTTTATATTGGAGGTTTTCTATAATGGTTGTTTCTGTTTTACTTAGTTAAGCAGCTTTCCCACACATGCAGTCTTTCCCCTTTTTGTAATTGATTTCTTTTGGTTTATAGGAAATTTCTTATTTTTCTTGCTAAATTTCTCTATAAATGTTTTTTAGTAAGATGGATCTGTAATTTTCACTGCAGATTGCCTTCCACACTTTTGATGCAGATACGAACTCTCCTTGTTACGGTTCTGCTACAGGGTTTGTCCAGAAAAAAGCAAGGTTCAGCGAACCGCCAAATCACTATGAATTTTTGTATGCCTCCTATGCAGTTGTTTATCGGCTGTACTCTTGTGATTAAGGTATTCTTTAACCAAAATGTAACTAACTAATCTTCACTTTTCGCTTTATCAGTCACAGGTTAGGTGCGGCCATATTGTCGTTAAAAGACTGGATTTTTACTTATCATGCAACTGTTCCAAGTTCATATTTGCCGAATTTGCTTGATGATCTTAACGTCATGTGATCGGTAGTTTCCTGAGATATATTTATACCCCGGAGTGGTGAGGATGGCCAATAAGGCTGATCTTGTGGAGGGGACCAGGAACAACCTGAAAACGGGCTCATATCCGATTCTCCAGGTCAGCCCTCAGGCTCGATTCTGCAGGTCACTGCACTGAAAATGAACATTCGAGCTGAAAACATCTTAAACCAATTGTACACATAGGTGTATAAATCTTATACCAATCGTACATATGTTTACGTCAAAGTCAGGTTGATATCATCTGACTAGCATAGATTTTGAGTACTTGTCAAAAACTAAACTGTAGATTGTGTGTAGCTTAGCTATTTACCTAGCAAGATAGAGGTGGGTCAGTAGTTAGATGATTATACTTTGTGAAGTAACAGAAATGTATTGGGATTAGGATAAAAAAAATTATTCAACTGTACTTTGTGTATGGCGATGTGCTTGAAATTTGTACACCACAAAGATTGTGGATGCATTTCGAGTTCAGTTGATAATTTTTTCTTATACGCGATAATTTTGGTGTCTTGAAACTGGAAATTGCTTTATTGAAACCTCCTTTCTTTTTTGATATCTTTTCATTTATTTATCCGTCACGAATGGAAGTTCCTTCACTGAATTATGTTAATGGAATTTCTGATCCTTGGACAACCAAGGTGCCGCAAATGTGGCTAGTTTTGTTGTTGTTGAGTACAAGCAATAGTCTAAACTACAAGTGTTGGCAGGGATATTTTCTCACACATTGCATTCTCACCTTTCTTCCTGCTTATCCCATCTCATTTTAATAAAAAAATACCCGCACGTTTTACCTGTATAAATTATATGCAATTACTTCTAGAAAGATTTAGAAAGACAAATAGGTGTTAAGAATGAAAAAATTCTTATATAATGCGATATTTACAACAGGTGAATGCCCCTCGAGGGATTTCCATATTTGCATATTGCTCACTTAATGACCAACAAAAGAATGAAGGAAAGTGAAAAAGAAAGATTAATCGCAAATGGGATTGCAAAATCATTGCCTCTTCTCTCTTGTTTATGCTCCTCTTGAAAATGTGTTTCAAAGACTCGGGTTTTACTGTTAATAGTGAACGGTTAATCCTCGTTATCTTCAGGGTAAAAGTCAGTATCTTTAGGAGGACCTCTTCGAAGTTTGTCCTGTAGATCCAAATTCTTGGGCACCACAAGCTCAGTGCCCTCACCTGACATGGAAAAATATCTCTCCAGCACCATCTGCAACCAGAAAAATAACAAAATATACTTCAATTTATATCCTGGATTGCTCCTCCTAAAAATAGGACAGAAAACTGCATTGCTCCCTTCTTATACATGCACCAAAGATGAACACATTTATAAAGCTTAAAACACTTAGTAAGACAACGTATAGCAGACATTATATTTTCTTGCATACCACGGCAGCGTAGGCGTCGATTTTGCTTTGCCGATCAGACTTGCCGAGGCCCCTGAAAAGAAACTTGATCTCAGGCAAATAATGGGGAAACATCCTACATCGGGTGCAAAAATAAATTCACAGAAGGAAGCATAGAAAGAGGATGAAGCACAAGACTCCTAATCTGATGAACTAATACCTCTTCAGTTTTGCACATTTTCTGACCTAAAGGTTTTCACGCCTCACAAAGAGTTAAAAAGTCCGATTCACAAAGGACGCGAATTTATGGATAAATTTGTTTGTTTTAATATCATAATGAGCTCATGTTGTGTTCAGTTTTGTTTCCATTCACATTCTAAATGCCATTTTACAGTTCAAACCAAACAGAAGCTGCTCAAGAAACGAAAACATGCATTATGATAATCAATTCTTTAAACAAAACAAAAAGTATTCAATCATCGAAAAAGGTGATTTGGTAGAAAGGATTACACATTAATCATCCGATCCATGGCTTCGATGGACGTCCCGTTTTCATCCTGCAGGTATACCCTCCAACCCCTGCAATTAAAAACTCCGGTGAACATTGCACTATCTCAAGCACACAAAAAAAAACAAAACAAAACAAAAACTAAAAACACCAGTCCTCGTATTTTGAATGAAGCAAAGCATCCAAAACAAAGAGATTATATTATCATGCACAGTATATTTTCATTTCAAGCAAGCAAGCAAACCAAAAAGAAAAAATGAAAAACAGATACATATTGCATATCTACATTGCATTGTATAGATGACCAAATGCTTGATTTTATACCTCTGAGCAGCACTAACAGCAAGCCTCCCAGCAACGCTACGAATTTTGTTGGACTGAGGCGTCTCTTTCCCATCACTCGATTTCGGAAGTCCGACTATAAACTCATCTGCCTCCTACAATTTTTCTTCTTCATTTAATTATTTAATCCCATATTATTACCAAAAACAAAAGAAGAAGACTATAAGTTTAAAATTAGGTAATAATTTTAGAACCTGCTGCTTTGCAATCTCAAGGAGTTGATCCTCAAGCTTCTGCCCTCTCAAATTCAACACCTAAACACAATGAAAAACGAAATTAAAAGATACTTTCAAAGAACAAAAATGACTTGTTTTGAAATCAGGGGCATGAGGTTGGGGGTGAATTACGGTGAGAGGACGAAAGTTGAACCCTTTGCTGAGAGCGAGACCGGTACGTGACATTCCCAAATCTACCCCCACGCTAAACCCGCCTCTCCAGTTGGGGTCACGCTTCCGGCGGAGGGCATTTGGAGGAATTTCATCTGTGGATATTGCACTTATTCGAGGGCCGTTTTTACGGTTTTTGGTGAGAGGGAGTTGAATGGACGTGGGGGCATTTCGGACTTTGGGAACGGTGCCGATTGGGAAGGGAAGGAAGAGGTCGGTTTGTGCCGGTAGAGCTGCCAGTCGCTGACAATACATTTTTTAGCGCTGGAGGGAGGGAGAGGGATAAGGAGAACGCAGCGTTTTAAACTTTTTACAACTCTCCTATCAAAACGGCTCGTTTTGTTGGACCTGTCTCAGTCTGTCTTGAAGACGTTAAAAAATAAATAAATAATTTAATTTTTGTTTTTCAACATGACGAGACGATATTCTAATTTCTAACCATTATAATGTACCAGAAAAACTTATATGAAACGGGAACAACATTATTTTGCTATCTTTGATCAATCACGCTATGCCAAGTGAAAAAGTTATCACACATGACATAGCATGATTGGTTGGGAAGGAAGATTGAACTCGAATGCAAGGAGGTGAGCACACCTATCTTGACCAACTCCGCACATGCTAAAGTATACGCAATGCAAAAGATTAGTAGGTTATTATTGATATTTCTTTTCTCAATGTCGGAATATGATTTTGTATTTATATGATATGTCTTCTTCCCAGTGTCGGAATATGTTGAACAATGTTATAAAACTAAGTCCACACAACATCGTTACATTGGCAAACCAACCATGTAATGAAACCCTATGAAACAATGCCATACTAAAGAAAAAATAGTTGAAAGGAATATCATTGTCCGAAAAGAATGAAAGTCACTAAATTTGTTCTACCAAATAATGTTCCATTTCTTCAATTTAAACTCACTTAAACTGCAATATTTCGTTTGTTTAACTTTCTAACTAGCTATTAACATATACACGGATACATCATCGGAGGAACATAATCGACGAACATAAAAGACAACAAAGATAACTGATATGTTCCTGTTTTCATATCATATGCATAAAAAACTGTTGTTAGAAGATTTGCAAATAGTCCATGAGTTTGAAATAAAGAAAAAAAATCCAAATTTATATGAAAGCCAACCTTAGCAGACAAGTGGAAACGGGGAAAAAGGAAAATAAATGGGAACTTAACTAGTCAGCATACAAACATAACATACCCATAGGGCAAAACAGCAAAACGGCTAATCGATAGATGCCAATGAGATGTATATTCAGCAAAAAGGTAAAGACATGGGTAATTCTGAACGTCCCACAACCAAAACATGTGTTATACAAAAGAACATAACCATTTAGTTCAATGTAAAATAAAACTGTACCATGGCTGAAATGAGTGTATCTTATTCAGTCATTGAAGGGCCTAGCTTAGGACCTCACTTTGCTCAGTGGTTTCCCCAACAAATATGTAACTGCATCTATTCAGTTCGCTCTTCTTTCTTGGACTCTGGTTCCTGCATTTGGTTTTCAGCTTTTGGCTGAAAAATTGGATCTGAGGGGGCAGCTCCACACTCTTTATCTGATGCTGTCTGAGAAACTTGCTCGCTTGTGACTGGATTCTCTGCTGACGCCACAACTGACGTACTTATAGGAACACTTACCTCCTTTGCTTCAAACTCTGATGTTCTACTTATAGGAACGCTTACCTCCTTTGCTTCAAACTCTGACGTTCTACTTATAGGTACGCTTACCTCCTTTGCTTCAAACTCTGATGTTCCATTCCCAGTGTTTGTTTCTGGGTTCCCAGCCGCTGCACATTGCAGCTGACGTTTGAGTTCCAAGATAACCGCATTTTGGCTCCCATCTTGACACATCGCTTGCAATCCTTGAATCAACTCGAGCTGATTGTGGGTTCCGACTGGTGCAACTGCAGATGCAGGCGCTGAAGCTGGTGATGACCCTTGTGCTTGGGTTTGAGTGAGCACATAAGTCATCAACAATTGGGCCAAGAGGGCTTGAGGATCATTGTCACCTTGCTGGACAGTTGGGGCGGCTGAAGTTGAGGCGGCATTGAAGTTAGATGGGTAAAGTGCTTGAAGCCCCACTTCTCCATACAAAGCACGGTGGCCATGAAACCTTTTAAGGGTGGCTAGGTGCTTTTTACCACTCAAATGACTATCGAAAACCACCTGTGACTCACACTTGATATTGCACAATTCACATATAAAAGGAATCACTTGTTTTGGTTTGGGAGGCTCAACTGGTCTTCGTGATCCTTCATTAGTCCTCATATACTTACCCCCTCGCCCCCCCCTTATCCTACGTTTGAAACCACGTCCCCGAGCTGCAAAGTGATCCCCGGACTTGTTCCCAGGTCCTGCAGAAGCTTCAGAATTTGCCCCAGTATCTTTCTGATCTGTTTCATTTCTATTATTATCAGTAACTACTTCAGAAGTAAGATTTTCTTGTAAGGGTTGTTTTTCCTCAAATCCCTCAACTTTCACAGGTTGACCAACTTCTGTTTTTAATTCAGTGTTGGGCATTTGAGCATTCTGCTGTTCAGTTTTGACTTTGTTGAGTTTCTGCAACTCCTCATATACCTGCATATATTTTTTGTGTCGCTTTCCATTTTTATGCTGCTCAAGGATTTCAGGAGTGTTGCAGTCAACCCTACAAAGTTCACACCAAGCCATACGAGGAGGTCGCCAGAATGAAGTAGAAGACACTTGTGTTGGTACAGGTAATGGTGCCTGCCCGGGAACCAATGCTGAAGGCGGCTGCATTAAAGCAGCTACACCTTCAGCAGGTACAGATGCTGAATTTAGATTGTTTGATGCAGCACCATACTGTGGAAAGTGTCTACCACCACCCTGGCCACGTCCCCTACCGCGGAAAGGGTGGGCTGAGCCATCTGGTCTAGAACCATGGTAACCAAAATGGCCCCGACCACCCCCTCGGAAGGGCCTATTGCCCCTCCTACCTCCACCTCTATATGGAGTTTGCCCAATCTGCAGAATAGCATTTAAGGATAAAGCAATCCATGTAATGGTTTTATTACTAATGCTACCATGAACAGAAAAAAGTAACAGAAATAATGAAAATTTTGAAATAAAATGCACAAAGATACCACTAATGACGATAAGACTTAATATATAGAAAGAATGGAAAGTATATAGATGAATTAAATGCTAAAATTAATATGACCGAACACGTTAAGTGATTTCTGATAAGAGATTGCACAGATTGAAGTAGCAATACATGAATAAAGATTAAGCAAACCACATAAACAACGGGACCTGAATAGAGAAGCTATGAACCAGATCCCTCAGATTCGTTAAAGAATTTTAAAAAATGCATTACATACTAAATTAAAAAGAAAGTCTGTTAGACAGAGATATCCAATTACATATCTTTTTCTTAAAGCAAAATATCAAATTCAAAACATCGTCAAGGCTACACTAGTTTTCTGAAAAGCATTCTGAGATGCAATTTTGGGGAAGAATGGAAGACGCTGCCATACTTAAGAGAAATCCTGATATATGTCAAATACACTCTCTTATAGAGTTTTTTATTGCTTCAACATGGCATCTCCTTCATGGGATAATAAGGAAAAGCACATACACAAACACACACACATGAAGACACTAAACCACCCTCTTACAGACGAGTCTACTGTTTTACCATGATTGCATTGCATCCCCTCAGCAAGTGTTTAAAAGAAAAGCATGAGCACATACGAAATGTCAACTCACATGCATGTGTCCCTAGCAACTTGTAATCAGTTTTTGCTTATCTTCTTGGCTTGGAGGAACGGCCATCAATTGATGAAGAAAACTTTTTTTTATTTTTTATTTTTTTGTTCTTATAAATATGCTCGAGCCATTAAATAAAATTGAAAGATAAGAGAAGCTTGATGGAAGCTTGATGACGAACACAATGACAGGTTTGAGGAAATGGCATCAAATTTTTTTCATTTGTTGTACTTCATTAGTATAATTCTTTCTTAGTGAATTTCTTATATCAAATATATAACACATTTTGCAACAATGTTTTCAAACTCTATATATCAAGTCAAATGCTAGAAACATGGCCAACTCCAAGTAGATTATAAACATTAGATTCATAAGATTGGTCAAATAAACAAAAAAAAGAAAAGAAACACATCACAATTTGAAGCACATTAATTCACAAATGCATAATTTCAAAAATTGCAATCAAAACCAACAAAGCAAACCCCTTACCGGCGGTTGAGTGGCCCTCTGCGCCGCATCCATGTTCGCAGAAAGTTGTGTCAGCTGCGAAAGTGCAGCCACAGCCGCCGGTATCAATCCACCCGAACCCGAATTCATTTGCTGCTGCCGCTGATCTTCAACAACCCCATGTGCATAATACGCATTCTGCAAATGGGTATGCCCGGGATCCGCGTTGTGTGGCGGTTCAGGTGGGATTGGGACCCCAGGAGGATGAATCGAAGTGGGTTCTTGATGGAATTGATGTTGGGTGGTGGTGGTGGTGTCGTAGGAATTTCTGTAATCTTGAGTGGGATTGTAATATTGCTGGTATTGGTGCTGGTCATATTCATATTGTTGTTGTTGATGATTGTAGGGATAATAGGATTGATATGAGTGGTCGTAGGCTTGAATTCTTGATGGGTCATATGCTGCTGCTGCTTGTTGTTCTTGTTGTTGTTGTTGTTGTTGTTGGTATTGTTGGTATTGCTGGTATTGGGTGTGGTCTTCTTGATGGGTTTGTGGGTAGGAGTATTCCATGGCTGGCTCTCTCTCTCTTTTCTTCTGCTCACGGATGCTTCTGTTTGCGCCCTTTGTAGTAGGGGAGCTTCTGTTTGTTTTTTTGGTTACTTATTCTTCTTTTCTTTCTTTCTTTTTTTCTTTTCTTTTCAAGAAGAGGGAGAGGGGACATTTCGGTTTCCATTATTTTATTACATTTTAATAAATTGGAGCTTTTATAATTTTCTATTTTTTTAAAATAGTGATTTTCACATTCCCATCTTTTCATTCTGCACTCTTTATTTTTTTTTTTTTTTTTTTTTTTTTTTTTTTTTTTTTTTTAATTATGAAATTATCATTTGGTTTGACAAATTTTTCATTTTTTTATCAATGAGATAACGAATTTGGATTTGGGAGCTCTTCCAAAATCGGGTAGAGTACTAAGAAGTTGAGAAAATGTTTGACATTATAACTGGGAGATAAAATGAAGTAGCAAATTTCTTCTTCCACAATGTTTAAGTTTATTTTCTTATAGCAAGGGGTATATAGCTTAAGTGATTAAGAGCATTTAACATGCACCGAAGGTCCAAGCTTCGATTGAAAGAAAAGTTTGTTTACTTTTTGGTGAGCAATGTTTAAAAAGTTATTTGTACTATTTCAATTCATGAAACTTCGTAGGCTGGAGGGAGACAAAAAGAAAAGGGTTGGGACTTTGTTGGACTTTAGTGCTTCGAGTGCAAACCTTGGTGAGATGCAGAGACATGTCACTTCAATTTGGGAGAAAATAAATTTATACATTGCAGATGCGGTGGGAAAAAAATACAGGGGCACCTGGTCCATAAAGGAAAAAGTATATGATAACAAAAGTTTAAGGAATCATTTCATCGTCTCAAATATAAATCCTGTCATTATTTGTAACAAGAAGAAATAAGGGTAAATGAAAGGAGAAATCTTAAACAAGAACTTTCAGACTCTCATGTCAATGTCATTTATTGATTCGACAAAATTCTGAATAAGATATGTGAATGGGAGAAATAGTATATCTTATATTTGCAATTATGCTAAGCAATTTTCCCTCCCAAATTGGTACAAGGGCTGCTTACTTTCCGTTTCAAGGCCCCTTTCGTTTTCCTCAGGGCAATCTGTTGGCCTGTACAGAATGCCATCGCATGTCCTTTCTGGTTTGAGGACAAAAGCCTCTTTACTAGAAAGGCAACATATCATTCAAACTAACTGTTGGTTTCAGGTATGTATGTAATTCCTCTAATGGGGTTAAAGGGGCGTCACTAAAAACCTGAACTCCCCATCTGTGTCATCCCCATCACCGAACTTGCAGAAGGATCAGGTGACACCGCCCCTGTCTAATGCAACACTTTCTATAGATTTACAACTATTCCCTTACACTTCAAAGTTCAACTTCATGAAGGTCATCTCCGAAACTACCACCACTTCTTGAAGACTGCAATGATGGCGGACCACTATGCATATGCGACAATGGAGACCTACCAAGTGCTTCTCCTAGAGGTTTTATTTCATTCCTCATAGAAGGATTGCTAGCATGATTAAGGCTTCCACTCCATGATGCTACACGGCGCGATTCAGGGGGAACAAAGCTACTGCCATTTGCCATTTCTTCTGCTCTCTTTTGTACAATGTTGTCCATGCTAGGAAACCGTTGCATAGTGGTCATTGAAGATGATGTTGATGTTTGTGGAGTAGGGAATACATCCTGAAATAATTTTGGGGGATTGTTGATGGTCGCCAATGGCTCTTGCGCGCTTTCTCCAGGTGTTTGAACTGTCTTCTCATAAGAAGTTACAGCAGTGGGGATGAACATCTTGGGATTGGGACCAACCCCAGGTTTGGCAGATGGAAGAGATGGTGACTGAAATAAGCTTCCTGGGGTCCCACCACCCTTGTTGAATGTATCAACATACCTAAGAAAATTTGAATAAATCGTATGTTAAGAGACATTACACTTCTTGTCGAAAAAATACAATGAAGAGCAACAACGAGAGAGAAAGAGAATCCAGGAGTCTACCTTGAGCGAACACCTGTACGTCCACGTGCAGAGAATTGGTTTGAACTGGGTGGGATGGGTGGTATTCCTGAACTCTGCTCAGGGGGCACCGGGCTTTTGATTTGTGGCCCAGCAACTGCATCGAAACTTTTGGTGTTCAGTGCGTCATTTATGTTGTAATCTTGCACTCTATTCGGGAAGGCTGCAGTTGGTGGTGGAGGTGGTAAGGCTGCTTCCTCGGCTGGAGGTTCAGCACCTTCTTCAACCCATCGCTTAAGTTTCTCATCATAGTAGAATTTATTCTTTTCACCCAATTTAGCCTTCAGAAGAACAAAAACAGGACAACTTATGAGGCTAAACTGAGATAATATAATCTCTACGAAGGAAATCCCCTCATTCAAACTTAGTAACAATAATATTTATGTACCTGCCGATCTGACTGGGATCTTTTGACAAATCCCAGAGTCTTTTGGAATATCTGTGAGCCAAAATTACCAAAACGAGATGTTGATGCCTTTTCTTGTGTTTTAGAAGAGTCCACTTTCTTGGATGCATCAACCTGATTGAACACCAAATAACTGCTGTAAATTTCTTTCTGCCTCTGTCTCTCTTCTCTCTCTCTCAGTAAAACACAAGCCAGCTACTGAAATCCAGTTTCTGCTCAAATCTAAAAAGAGCAAGGTTCTAACTTCTTATGCCTGTAACTGATGTTTTACATTCACATTTTATATATTTCTTCTATGTCCATTCACTTCATATGCACGAGCACCTCCCAATAACCCAAAACATATAGTAATGAAAAAGAAAATATAGACGTTACTTGTAAGGGCCATAATCTAACCACAAACTTCGATATTTTATAACATTGTTTTTTTTTAAACAACTTCTAAGTTTAAATTGTTGATCTCACTAGTAACTCAGAAATTATAAAATTTGTCCAATCCTTAATTACTTATCCAATACTGTAATGCACAATGTGTGAAGCTAAGTGGATTACTAATTTTTTTTGCTCTTTGATTGATTGAACCAGAAGGGATCTGCCCTGTTCAGTAAGTTTGGCTGAACTTCAAGACTGAACACCACCACCACCACCCACCCACCCCCCCCCCCCCCCCCCCCCCCCAAAAAAAAAATAATATATATATATATATATATATAAATTCATGACACGGTTGATCAAAACAAGGTCTAATGGCAAAAACATTTATCTACCTTTCCTGGGCTTCTCCCAAAATCTGGCTCTGAAATGCTTCTATTGGGGATATTCAGTTGATTGCTCTCAGCAGTCCGTTCACTTATTGGCTCCATTGATGCTGAAGGCATTAATGAAGACATACCCATTGTTGATTGATTGTTGGATACACTTGGGCCTCCTGGTTGATGAGCATGGCCTTGTGATGTTGCAGGTACAGGTGGAGGCAGGCCTCCAACCACACGATGAGCAGTATTATCAAATAAAGTAAACAATTTTCCCATCAGTTTGGCTGGGGCCAAATTTGTATTGTAACCACCCTGTACAAAATGTCGCTGTAAGAAAACTTACAGACAGAAAGACTTGATAAAGGAACTGAATGTTGGAGAAAAACCTGCTGGTGGGCTCTTATCCGCTCTTCCAGAGATGACACTAACTGTCTCCATGTGTCCAATTCAGGTGCTCGACCATATTTTAAAGACTTCAAAATTGCTTGACAGTATCTGACCAAACATAATGTGTAATGAGCTAGAGGCAGATAAAAAACAACCATTTTCAGTCTACAGATAAAAATGGTCTAGATGAACAACACCTATACTTACTTCAGAGCATCTCCAACTTTTCCAACTTCAGCCAGCATGTGGGCATAAATAAGCTTATATGGCTGAAAAGGAAGTAGGAGAAACTGAGAATTTCCAAGAACCCTTGAGTATTCATACAATTCTGTCCTCTGCCAACATATGCAAAAGGTTGATTTAGTTACAACAAAAAGAACAGCCATAGTAATAACAATAATGAAAACAACAATAACAACAACAAAATAACAATAATAATTAGCAACAATAATAATACAGTGAAACATTTTCTGATTTCAAATGGTTATGCTACATTCTCCAAAAGCAGACTGCCACATACTTCTGACCAAATACAGAGGAACTATGAAAACAAAACTTTTGGAGGCTCCACAACACAATGAGTAGAATGATCAGTACATGTCAATCATAAGTGTAAGCAAATCATGCATCAGTTAGTGAACTAAAGCATATCAAAAAATGGAGCAAAAACATAGGACTGATAATGTAGACCACCTGGATAGCCTCAGGACTGGCATATGTTCGTGGAAATTTCCAATGATCCGCACCAAGAAGACACAGTCTTGCACTCTCTGAATATTGCTCAAAGTTCGCTTCTGCAACCAAATAACATATGTGTGCAGCAGTGTTCTGCGCAATTGCTTTCCAGTCAGGATAAAACCAGAGAAGATAACATCTTTTCGAGACAGAAAAATAAAAAGGAACTCAATCCAAGAAACAGACAAAATACCTGGCCCCTTTCCTTCCATAGGCAATCTCCAAGATGGATGATAACAAGCTCATCATCTGTTGTTCTGTTTGCAGTTAAGATGGCTAAATTCTCTTCCCATTCATCTAACATGTAATTGGCCCCAATCTGTAGTAAGGAAATAATCAATATCTTAAGACAAAAATATACAAGGAACTTCAATAACATAGGATCATGAGCATGACTATTACACACATGCCGTTTCAGTGTTCTATTCAGTAGAGAAGCAAAAAATGAATTTAGGAGAAGAAAAAAAGGGAGTCCCAGGTCTAAGCCTGAAGATATAACCCTTTTTTACGACACAAAGAGATAACCCTTTTTTTTGGCACAAAATAACCAAATTTTTAAATCACCTGTGTATGTTGTTGTGATACATTCATAGGTAGATTGCTATCTGTAGTGGCATTGGAAAACACTTCTGCAGGCTGCCTGGCAATTAACAAGCACAACGTCCTCAATGGTGATCCTGCTACTAACTGGTTTAGAGCCATATGCTTCACAGTATCACCATAAAACTGCATGCAATAATGAACAAAGCAAACAAACATTAGCATAAAGAACAAATTCTGAAATTAGATCAGACACGTTTCCTTGGTATGTTTTGATAAAAAAAATGTTTTTGATAACCTGATCACCAAGCTGTGATGCAATGACCAGTGCAGGACCCCACAATTGACCTTCCTGTGCACATTGTAAAGCCTCTTTCTTCCTACCAGAGACAAGAAGCTTCTGTACCTCAAGAGCAGTAGCCTAAAGCAATAACATATATTCATTATGGAAGGTACTGATAAATTTCTAAAGCCCAAAAGGAAACCCATAATTAAAAACCAAATTTAAGATAGACAGATTATATATATATATATATATATAGAGAGAGAGAGAGAGAGAGAGAGAGAGAGAGAGAGAGAATATGACATACTTGACTCTGTGCTTCAGAAGGCAAGTTATGCAAGCAGCACATAAGAGCACCATACTCGTTACTTCTCTTAGCAGAGGAAAAAAGCTTAGCAACAGCTGACTCGGGACTATCAGTTTCCTAATTTTATGATAACAAAAGTGGTTAATAACCATACCAACCGAGAACTGGTAGATGCTCTTGAATATATAAAGAAAATCTCTGCAATTTCAATCTTCAATGAATCAATAAATTGCAAGGATTTAGGGTTGAAACAGATATTTTAAACTAAACTAAACTCACACCCGAAAAAAAAACCAAAATTCCAAGTTCATATGAAATCATGGACTGCAATAAATTTAGGAAGGAGAGGACCGCATAGGAAGACAAAACACTAATAACAGGTAGTAGAATCAAGCCATCAGTAGAATTCTAAATTTCTAATGATGAAAACACCAGATTTATGGAATTGCAATTTTTTAATCTATATGCTTATTACACTGCCATATGGTTGTTTAAATATAACTGAGGGGCCATTCTGTTGCATTTAGATTTAAGAGGCAATTATCAATATCAATACAAACATCTAATTTGAAAATCTGTCTACTGAACACGCCCCATCAAGAAAGATGTAAAACCAGCATAATTAATGTGACAGAATTAAATCTACATGCTCATGAAATGCCCAGGTTTTGATATTTATGACTGAAATACAATTAAAATGTGATATGGCGTCCAAACAGTCAAACAGGTCATAAATAAACAGTTTACAAACCAAAAAAAATACCTTCAATGCCAGGTCAGTGCCAAAGGGAGATCGAAGTTTTCCATAATATTGGCATGCTATTTTTAGTAAGAGAAAAGCAACCTCAAATGGTCCCCTCTTCTGAAATCCATGCAAGCAGTTTCACAGTTTGCAATCTTGTCATCTATCCATTTGTTTAATTCCCTACTTCCAGCATTCCCCCCAACCAAAGGGCCAGGAAAAGATTGTTGGCACAATGCATGGAAATAATCATGACAACCAGTTCCAAAGCTAGCAGCATCAGTTTTGTCTACAACAACTTCCATCAGATTGAGAACATTAATCACACCTCCTACAGAGTCCTTCACATTACAAATTGAAAGGGAAAAGAAATTAGGGCCTATTACAGCATTTATGCCAACACCAGACATACAAGTATAAACATGTACGCATCTACATATATATCACACACACACACACACACACACACACACATATATATATGTATATGTAGGTATGTGTCTCAGGAAATTGAAGTCGGAAAGTAAGGCCTGACCTGGCTTTGATATGTCATGTTCGCAGGAGAATAACTATTATCTTTCATGACTATAAGTTTCCCACCAAATCCAAAAGTAACTAGAGCATGTGGAGGTCGTCCTGCAGACGACCTCCCCATACCGGCCTCATGAGAAAACTGACTTCCACTCTGGACTGGCTGCTGTGAATAATGTACTGGCTTCTGACAATCAAAGTTAGCAGGTGAGAAACTCATCACTTGGTTTGGCTCCTTCGCTTGATTCTGATGCTGAGAAAAGTTTCCTGCAGGATGAAAGCTTTCAAACCCACCAACCCCACCACTGATACCATAGCCATGACTTACCTCTTCATTAAGAGCAATTGATCCAGAAGGATTGAATCCTGTTTGTTGATTCACAGAATTAGTTACATGCTCGGCTGAAAAATACTGGGTTGCATACTGCTGTTTCTCAGGAAAACTAACAGTGTCGCTCTTGGCAACATTCTGAGTATGCCACATACTCGCACTTTGCTGATCATAGGTGCTCATAGATCCACCCCAGTTTGCAACATTTTGTTCATTGATCAGACTCTGTGACCCATGATTCTCAACATTGGTATTGTGATATTGCTGATTATGCTCCACACTTGTTGACTGATCAGAAGCTGGAGCGGAAGACTCCAACTGCTTCCATTCTTGAGCAATTGTATCAAAGTACCACCCGGGGTACTGGGGATCAAAAACCATATGTGCAGGGTAATCTGTGTTCCCGCAAGAATGCTCATTCCAGTTAGAACCAGTGCTAGTTTCACTTCCCTGGGCCACACTCTGAGAAACAGACTGCGCTGGTTGCTGGAAATAATAACCATCTTCTTTCTGGTCTGAAAAAACCGCATTATCTACAGACTGAGAATTTACATTAAAACTCTCTTGAGCATTTGCATTAACGTTCACATCTGTATTTGTATTGGCACTCACATCATAACCCTCCAACTGATACCATTGCCCAGTATTTGGATCAAACCTCCATCCCGGGTAAAGATTTTCCCAATTCTGACTACTATTCAAGTCCTCCCCATCTAAATTTTGTTCCTCAATAGCCCCACAAGGCTGACCTTCTTGATTCTGCCCGTAACTAGAAGCACCTAAATCAGCAACCGAGTTCTCCAAAACACCATTAGTGACCACCGACTCAGCCCAAGATTTTTCTGTATTACCCAAATTTGCAAATGGGTCTTCCGAGTAATCTCCAAATTCACTGAAAAAATCCGAGTTGCCAGCAGAAGGTTTCAAATCTGAGTTAAACGAACTCCATTGAACTACTTTCACACCAGTTTCCGCTGATACAATGCTAGTACTCCCTGCCCCATCTACCGCACCTTCCTCCCCTTTATGCTCCAGTGCCTTAGCCTCATTTCCATTACTGGCTTTATCATCCAATGCACTAGCCTCATTTCTATCATCTGCTTTATCCTCCAATGCCCTAGCCTCATTTCCATTATCGGCTATATCATTCAATGCAATGAACTCATTTTTAGAATCAGGCGTCGGTGACTTGCTTTCTTTAACAACTTCTACAGGGTCCTGAAGTGGATCCAACGATTCCAACACAACCCTATCTTCATGACCCAATTCACCATTAACCCCAAAACCACCATTGCCGCTGATGTCTACTCCTAGAGAACCGGCTTCTGAAATACTCAATTTTGAAAAAGCTTTGACCTCGTCAGGCTCACTGTTTTGTACAGTACTAGGCACATTTCCAGTAAAATCAATGTCGTCATTAACCAATCTGTCAAAGAAATCCTCGTCTGTCTGATCCTCCAACTCAAACGAAGTGGTGGCCATCTAAAAAAACGCAGACCCCGAACCCTCCAAATCAACCTCGCTATGAAATCAAAAACCCACTTCCCCAATTTGTTTTAGACGACGAGATTCAGTTTACCAACACCACCCAAAAAAAAACTTTGAAGAAACACATCATTCAATCACTGGAAACTTCAGAATTCCCAAAAACTACTACCAGTTATCATCTGAAACCAAACTTATCACAACCAACAAGAAGAAGAACAAAATCAGGGCTCTATAAGTAAAAAGCAAGGCAATTGAAAACTCATATTGACTTTTCTGTAGAGAGAGAGAGAGAGAGAGAGAGAGAGAGAGAAAGCGTGTGCGCGCTTAAGGTGGGGCTAGTTGGATAAGAAAACAATAAACAATAAACAGAGTACTAAATTGATAAAAATGAAAACTTTGGGTTAAGGAGAGAGTAACTTACTTGTTAAACCCTAATAAATTCTGGTGACGAAGACAGGGAGAGAATTAGAGGACGAAGCATCATCCATCTTGCAGAGCAAAAGAGCAGCCTAAAGATCACCGAAAGCTTGCATGTTTTTGTTAGTCTCAGAGTTTGGTGTGTAAATCTTGACCACAGAGAAAAACAATTGCCATTGGCCACGTGCCAATAGTGACAAGAGTTCTGTAGGCGCACGTGATGTATATTGACAAGAGAATACCAAATTCAATACTTGTGGGGTTGGTCTTTGTGATCTTCTGATTCAATATTTGGAGAATGCCAAATTTACCAATTAAGGATTTGGTTGACTTTTTTACCTCTTTTTTCCTTTTGTTTTCTTTATTTCTTCAAAGTGAAAATGGTGTCCTAATTTCTAAATAATTACCACAATTACGGTAATGTGATATAAGGAAAATATGAAGCCCTTTTTGGTACTTTTATCATATTTTCCATTTAGTTCGTGTGAATTTGTCTCCGCAGTAATATTTCGTTGAATTAGTGTGAAAAAAGCGAAACTGATTAGCTTTTTCAACTGATGTTTTTCATCCATTTTAGTAATGTATTTACCATATTCACCAATTTTAGCATTGTTCTTAACTTTAAATGCGTTATTTAATATTAAAATATCTTACATTGGCCTTCATAAATAAATTTAGAAGCAAATTGACCGAATTATAAACACAAAGACTAGATTAGAAATGGGATAAAACGCAACTAGCATGTAGATTAAACCAAAAAAATGTAAATGACTCTGCAAATAATGGAAATGAGATATCCAGGACAAATGCACTTTTTGTTTACCATCCCAACAAAAAAAAAGGGATGATAAAGGCACTTTGGGAGTGAGGTAATAAGTTGGTAGAGGATAAGTTCTACATTCAATTTTGTGGGGGGGGGGGGGGGGGGGTGGGTGTGGTACTGTGGTACATTAGGACTTGCACTCAGATTTTTCAAAGTTGTTTGCCACCTTATTAGATATCGTCTTCTTCTCTTTTTTTCTTTTTTTTTGGCTAGGCAATTTCTTAAGGAACATTCTTAGGGATTTTGTTTCACCAGGGGGGGGGGGGGGGGGGGGGGGTGGGTGTGGGGTGTGTGTAGTGGGTACATTAGGACTTGCACTCAGATTTTTCAAAGTTGTTTGCCACCTTATTAGATATCGTCTTCTTCTCTCTTTTTTTGTTTTTTTGGCTAGGCAATTTCTTAAGGAACATTCTTAGGGATTTTGTTTCATGAATATGCACGAAGACAAATTATAAACGAACTGAACGAAACAAAATTTACCCTTTAAAACGTATAGGATCCGAATCCTCTGTTTTGATTTTCTCTGCCATGATCTACTTTACTTTTGTTTTTCATACGCCACCTCATTAAAATTTAATCTAACATATTTAAAAGTTGACACATCATCCTAAAACAGTAACCCAATTTATTCCTAATTAAAAAAGAATAAAAACTCCTAACACCCAACTAACAGTAGTTAACATCCAGCTTTTTTTTTCTTCTGTATTCACATTTTGTTCTGTTTTTTTTTTCTTCTCCTTCTTATTCACATTTTGTTCTACTAGCCCCTTGGCATGTGCCAATTGATTTTATTTTTAGAATTAAGAAAAGATAACATAGGTAGTTATGTTCCATAAAAGTAGGACCTATTATATGATTTTGTTTTTAATTTTAATTTTTTTAAATATGAAAAAATGTGAATTTACCATATTATCCTCATTTAATTAATAATTTTAATTCTTAATGTTTGAATTAACCAAGGGTATTTTCTGGTATTTTGAATGTTTCACAATTCTCTGCATTTTGCTTTATATATATATATATATATAGATTCTTTTTTCTTTTTTCTTTTTTTTAAATATCTCTTTATGTCATTTTCTCCTTTTTTTTCTCTCCTTGCATAAAACATCATGCCATCATCTAGCTAACTAGAGTGCTAAAGAGAACATAAAAAAAAAGGATGTAGGAAATAGAATCCAAGAAGTATTTATAATCTCCATTAAAAAGACAAAAGATTTATAATCTTCCCATCAAATAAATGACAAACATAAATTTACACATCAATAATAAAAGTAAGAACAGTTGTGTATCTTTGGCAAGCATTCCTATTGATATATTGACCTGTATATAAATAAATAAATAAATAAATAAATAAATAAATAAAAACCAAAGGAAAAACTAGTTAGCATTATACAAATAAAATTTCATAATAAAGGTATTACTAAGAGCAAAACATACCCATGATTCCAGATGCCATCTCCAGTTTGATCAACATTTGAAGCTGTATGTGGCTTATTGATCATCAAGTTCATAGCCTGTATAAAGTAGTTATGAAAATTGATTATAATAAATAAAAAAAACTTACCATGACTTATAAAAAGGATATTATAAATCTTAATATACCTGACTCCGCACAATGTCATTTGAAACTTGCAAGTCTTGAAATTGTATAAGGAAACTTGTAGGGTTAAGTAATGGTTGGAAACTATGTTGGGGTTCTTGGTAAGGCATCCATGATATTGTGTTAGGTGCCCCGTGATCTTGTGCCTATGCAATATTACAGTAACATTTTAAACTAGAAACATGATATGAGAACAAAAATTAAATAATGATACTTACAAGATGTGTAGCTAGATGACATATGTTATTATCTCTTAAGTGTTGCATTTGGAGATGCACCTGTTCATAATATACAAATTAAAAACTAAATTAATAAAAAAAAAATTATTATATTGAAATTGAACTTTGAATGTAAAAGAAGAAAATACCTGTGACGAACGAGAACTAGATGATTTTTTATTCTTAGCTATGTTTTTCTCCAAACAACTTTTTATTCTTTTTCTTCCTCAAGAGGCTTCCCTCTTCTTTAATCCCTTTGCTTGGATAACTTTTGCACTACCCAAGAAACATGCCTCATTAGCACCATCTGTCACTATGGTGGAAGGTGACCCTTGGCCATTCTTATCATGTACTTGACCATCCATTTTTCAACTTAACATGTCTTCAATGGTTTTGCTTAGTTGATTCAAATTACTAACAAAAATCTTATATGTTTCTTCACTCTCAGCAGCTCGAGATGATATCTTGGTAAACATGGAACATAAAGACCTATATCGAGATGTTTGTTGTAGTTTCACATCTGTCTGAATGTTACGTCCATGCATATCTTTCACACTTTCATATCTTGCTTTTCTTGTCCATCTTTTTAAGATATACTGGTCAAGAATTTCTTTGACATTCATGTAATTAGTAAGAATTTTCAATGCATGGCTGCACAAGAAACCTTTCATCTCAAACAACCTACAACTACAAGAGACATCACCATCTTTCTGTTTTCTAACACGTCGCTCTTTCAAGTTACCATGTAGGACAACTGTATACACCAAATCATCACCATCTTTGTCACAAGATATCATGTCTAATTCAAGTGATTTGATATACTGAGCTTGGAAATCCTCAAATATTGCTTTGGTATAAATATTTCATGCCTTAACCACCATTGAAACAGGTATTATCACGTTCGGTAACTTTTGACACAAAGCATACTCTGCTTCCAACTCCTTATATTGCTTATCATTAAGTACCCTTTCAAAATGCATGAAAAATTGCACCACATCATGGTCCACATTCAAATAGTCTTTTAAGGTAGCATTAAAAGTTTCACTTATCCGTGAGGTTTTTACTCTTGCAGACCAAGACCACTTATAGTATGTCATTGCCCGTTTCTTCCTTAAATAAAAAATGCTTTCTAACCAAGGATGTCCACACACATTGTATTCATCCAACATTGATTCCCAAGCAACTAAGAACTCATCTTTCTCCTCATAGTAATCCATAAATTGTGTTAAAACGCTCCTAACTCCACTTGTGCACCTAGATAAATTGTTTACATGTTTCATGGCATTTTGCATTATGTGCCATGTGCAAAGCCTGTGATATGTATTAGGCATCACATGTGCACAAGCCTTAGCCATCGTAGCATCTTGATCAGTAAATAAGGTTTTCGGGGTCCTTCTTGGACATGGCCTCTAAAAATGTTTCAAACAACCATATAAATGAATTGGCAGTCTCATCGTACAACAATGTTGCTCCAAAAATAGCAATCTCATGATGATGATTAAATCCCACAAACACTCCGAATGGACGATTTGCTTCATTAGTTTTGTACATAGTGTCAAAACACACAAAATCACCAAATTGACCATAATCAACAATCATTGTCGCATCAGCCTAAAATTTATTCATAATTTGCTCATCACAATCTAATTGCACGGCATAAAAAAATGAAGGGTTTTCCAATGCTTCATTCTGAAAATACTTTAGTATGCTTCCTGCTTCTCCATATGCCAATTTTCTTTGCCTCTTTGTCCAAAGGTACTTTTTTTGATCTTGTTTGATATATCCAAGAGATTCTCTTCCACCAACTTGCCTACCCATTAACTCATATGTCTGCCTAAGTGGAATCCCATATTCTTCTGTCAAATCTACTTCAATAGCTTGTGAAGTAGATATTCTTCTATGAGACGGTAACATATGAGTGCATTCTTGTCTTACAAGAGGATGATTGTGGTTTTCCATAAAATGGCTAACCCAATACTTACCATTAGATTTATTCAACTTAATGCTCATTTTAGCATTACAACCCGTCCTTGTTTCTACCCGAGAACTTTTAGTTAAATAATCTCGCTAATCTTTCGGTCGAAAACCCTCCTTGCGACAAACAAATACTCATGAAATTATTTGACCAGTATTCTTATTCTTGTTATGTGAATCTCTTCTAATACTAAATCCTACTCTTCACCCATACTCATTATAAAACTCATATCCAGCTTGTTCTGAAAGAAATTCCATATCACATATGGGCTTGTAATCTAAATTATCTTCCCAGATTGTAGGCACTAAATCTTTCATTCTCAATCTATAATAATATTAATCTATCATACAATGATAACCGTCAAATTTAAATTTACATATTAAAAAAGAAGGATGGAGGTAGATATACCAAAACATTAATTGAAATCAAATTCAAAGCGCCACACACAGAAAACCAATTAGCTAGTCTCAATGAAAAAGAGGGAAATTTTGTTGCAGACATAGGAACCAAAAAAGAAAAGGAAAAAAAGAAAGAAGCAAAGCATGCAGCAGGGACTAATAAATGAAAGCATATGCAGCATGAACCAATAAATAAGAGTATGTATCAAGGATAAAAGAAAACGAACAGCATGCTAAATAATCCTGCTTACTTTATGGAATCAAGTTCACGTCTTCACAGTAGCCTTAACAATATATTCGCACTAACCAAAGCTAAGATAATATGAATATGAACAATGGCGAAGTCAGGATTTCATGTGTGTGGGGGCCTCTTACAAATTATAAAGAATCAAAAGTTCGAACTCACAATACATACGAAAAATAGTATATATATATATACATATATCACATATGTCAAGAATTATATTGTTTATTGGTTACAATCATAATTGTCCTCGACAAAGGGATAGACAAATACATTTTAAGCAAGAAAAATTGTAAGAGATAGACAAAGAGTAGCGATTTAGCAAATATATTTAAAGCTATTTCCCCCATTAAATCCAATAGAAAGAACAAATCAAAATTTCACAAACTAAAAAAAATCTTAGGTCCCTTCATGCATTCATATCATACATAAAAAAATGTTTTATGTAAAAATATTGACTAAGTATGAAAAATGGTTTTTCGAAATAATCATTTTCTCAAGATAATTTTTGGCGGCTTTTATTCCTTACACATCAAATAAGAAAACTTGATTTTATGAGATTTTAGTATAAAGTATATATTGAATTAATGAGCCATCATTTTTAGCCTCAATCGTATTTTGCACTAAAACCAATTTTTCATATTTTGATTTGGTGGGAATTTGATTTTCTAGTATTTATATTTGAATCCAAATAAGGGGGTATTTCCTTATTTACATTGTAAACTTAAGTAAATGGAGTAATATATAAAAATAAATGAAAGTAAAAGGAATGGAAATAAGGTAATCTGTACACCTGGAGTGCACCACCACTAACTGAGCAAATGGGCAATTTGAAGCACCTCATTGTGCCTTAATAGATCCGCCACAACATATGTGAGTACATATCAAAACGTAAAGTATTTGAAATAATATACATATAGAAATACATAATAGTATATTACTTTTAAAATATATAAAAACTTGAGTGGGGGCCCGGGACCACACTGGTCCCAGTGTGGCTCCGCCCCTGAATATGAACGTAAATAAAGAGAAGCAAACAGAACCTGAGGCAAGAGGAGGAGAGAAAAAAAAAAAAAAAAAAAAAAAAGAACACGACGAAGAAGGAAAAAAAAAAGAGCTTTGGATGTTAAATATCCCATTAGTTGGGTGTCAGGGTTTTATTCTTTTTTAATTAGGAATAAATTGGGTTATTGTTTTAGGATGATGTGTCAACTTTTAAATCCGTTAGATTAAATTTTAATGAGGTGGCGTATGGAGAACAAAAGCAAAGCAGATCATGGCAAATAAAATCATAGTAGAGGATCTGAATCCAAACGTATAAATGTCCGTTTTTATAAAAACTTTCAAAAATACAATTAAAAATACTTAAATGCCCTTAAATTTAAAACCGAGATAAAACCCAAAAAACAAAACCAGTTCTTCATTTTCAGTGTTTTCCTTCTTCATTTGGTTGCTACTTTTTTACTTGTTCCTTCGTTTCTTTAACATGATTGGAACTAGGAATTTAAATATACATTAGTTTAGGCGTTTTTGATGGCTTGATTGGGTGGTATAGTGCCAGATACTTGATAATGTGCGTTTTTGATGGCTTGATTGGGTGGTATAGTGCCAGACACTTGATAATATTGCTAACAGTTGCAGCCTCTTCTCTGCTTTCTGCAGTAACCAACATATAGATACAAGCAAGCAAATCAAACATAAGCTTTATACTTTCTCATATAATCTACATGTTAGGGTTAAGCTGAGATTAATTAGTAATTAGTTAAGGCTGTTTGTAAGGCCATGTGCTATCATGTGAAGTGGTTAGAAAGTCAGAAAAGCTAATCAATTATAGTGCTTAATCAGTAAGCAAAAAGCTAAGAATTTATAAGCTTACAATTGTACCGTTCAGATTTATTGAGAACTATACAGAAGCTTTGATTTCTTTCTTGTATTGATCTCTCTGTTCTCTCTCTCTCTCTCTTCCCTTCCTTTCTTCTGTTCTTAATCAAACCTTCATCTTAACCCAGTATGGGCTTACTACAATATATAAAAAAATGTTCATAATTTATAAGAGCAAATTTTAACTTGTTAGTTCTAAAGAAAGAGAAATGGGTTGCAATTTTGGTGACTGAGTTTGACAAGCCTATTGGAGAGAATTTTGTTGATGTGGCTCGCTTATTTTAACATTCCGAAGTTATTGAAGAGGCTATTGGAGATGCCATAAGAGCTTGACCATCAACATTAAAAGTATGACATAAAACATAGTCCACTCTTTTTTAGTACAAGCGATTGGAAGAGGAGTGTTTACACATATATTCATTGGGTGAACGAGAGTTTTGAACTTCTGCCCACATAAGTGGAAGTAGAAGAACTCAACCAACTAAGCTATAACTTTCATATATATGTTTTTTTATTATGTGTTTTTGTTAATGAGGTTTTCATAACATACCTTTTCATAATAAGTTACTATAATAAAATTGTATGCACTTTAAGTAAATTACTATAATAAAATACTAGATAGTTGTATGAAAAAAAAAAAGCAATGTACATGCCTTTTCATCTTATTCTCCCTCAAGTTTTTTTACGTAGCTATGGGCGTGTTGTTGGGCAAACCCACGACCACGAAGTCCATCCTTATATGGGCCTAGGTGGGCTCTCTTTCACTAATAAGTTAGCCCAATATATATCTAACATATGAGATATTTTCTTGCTTTCAAAACTTTGTTGGTTATTCAGAGTCAGACGACAACAGAAAAAAAACAAAAAAGAAGAATTTACTTTGTTAGAATAGGTAGCTTGAATCTGCTTCTTGCCCTTTATTAAGGCGGTTTCCGATCTGAATAAAACAAGGTAGAGTTTTGGACTAACATTCCATATCTTACTTTAACAATTTTTGCCTTTAATCTCTTTCACTCTTCACCTTTATACGAAAATGTGTAATTCGTACATGCCGAGACTCGCTATTCCTTTTTTTTCAAAGGCCCTACACTTTTCTTAACCCTCATTCTTAAGAATGACAACAGGGCACAATCAAGAGGGTTCGTGAGCTCGTTCCTAAGCGGAGACCTTGTAACAACTCAGCATTTTTTTTCGTTTTTTTTTTTTTTTTTTTTTTTTTTTTTTTGTTACAAAAAAGTCGTGGGAGGGACGTGAGACAATCGTGCATATGTATTAGACAAGGAGAGTAAATCAAACTATTCATGGCCATAAACTTCTTATAAAATAAAATTTTACTTCATCCTCAAACTACAAAAGATATAAATAAAACAAGTAATTGTGTATTTCTATAAGGAATCATACGACATTGTATCGAGAAATGAGAAATATAAGAAAAAAATGATATAAGAGATTCCATTACAAACTTTGAACTGAAATCCAACTATTATATTCAAAGACAAGTGGGACATGTTGATGAAAAATGACTAAGTCAATCTACTCCTGGTCTTTTAAAACCACAAATTTGCAGGTGACAGTCTAAGCGTCCAGTTATGAATTGACTGACTCAGCTAACAAAATATACCAAGACCAGAAATTTCACAATCTGTTACATCAATGCTAGCATATTTGTTATTTAGAATTTAAAGCATTAGTTGAATTCCTTCTCACAAATTTATACTATCAGTGTATACATCCTTTTCATGTAAGTTTTTCTCCCGAAAAATAATCCAAACCCCTTCTAATATAGTACTATTTGTATGTCAGAGGCTCGTCAAAAATCATTCCTAGAAATTCATTTATTCAATGGCATGTTTTAGG